ATCATTCAAGCTAGGGACTTTGTCCCCAACGAGTTCTAGCGCAGGGAACACCCGCTCGGTAATAATATCAGTCCCCTCTGCTGCTTCGCCCTGCGTCGTTGTGAGAAGGCCAGAGAGCAGTTCAAGTAGACCAGGGTACTTGGGGAATGTTATCCGGGATCCTGGCTCTGAGCCCGAGTTTCCTCCAAAACCAGGCCCAGCGCCGGGAATGGCCCGGCACATTTTTGTGAGTAGGGCACGGAAGAGCATCAGTCCCGAATTGCGAAGGGCCCAGATTGGAGACCCAAGGCGTTCGGCGGACAGCGTCAGTGCTTTCATAATGAATGGCTCGGTATGGGAGCCAAGCTTCGCGTTGGTGAAGATATCTTTCAGGCAATTCATTGCATGAACCTGGGGCAGTTCTAAGTACTGTCTCTCTTTGTCGTACTCAACGGGAAGGGATGAGATCTCGTGGAGCTCGTTAATAGCCTCATTGAAGAAGGGAGTCCCGGGATCGGAACCAACGATTCCAGTCACCAGTGCAGGTAAGCCAGCAGACCGACGGGTGAGTTCAGATGCCGAGCCAAAGATAGTCGACTTAGCTTCCTGGTACCAGGTTCTCGGAAGTTCTCGGATTGCCGGATCCTTCGAGGAGCTGCATCGTTGACAGCATGTCGCAAATGTCTGTGAAACGTTGGAAAATGCACCTCTATGGCGAAGTTCAGCCAACTGTGTGAAGCTCACGCCTCCAATGTTTGCGAAATCCGCCATATTGAGTCCATCGTTGCCGCTTGGTCCGTAACTGATGTTTACCATGGTGGCATGAAGCAAGAGGCTGCTCCAGTCAGCGATCATGCATAGTCAAAAAAGATTTGAACTTACCTTGCTTCGCGAAGAGATCTCCAGGAATAAGAAAGGGCGTCCTTGGGTCCCACATTCAGGTCCTCGGTAGGCTCGTCCGAGTGACCTTCGGGTGAATCGATACACAGCAAAGGCTTCGCCTCAATCCAGATCTTATCGCAAATTGCAACAATACGGTCATGGACAGACCGCCAAGCAGCGGATCCCGAGTCATCAGATATCAGAGAGTGGAAGCTTGGCATAAGAACAATATACCTGGAATTGCAATTAGAATTTTATCACATATACGGACCGGGACAACATACCTAAGACCAGACGTATATCCATGAAGTGGTGCCTCGCGCATAGTTGAGCTGAAAAGGGTCTTTGAATCAAGTAGACGTTCCTCAAGCTTTCTTAAAATTGTGTCAACTACTGATGCCTTAGTTGTCCACCAATCAGAAACCGGTTGACCGGAGTTGGCTGGCAGGGCTGCGCAAAAGACGATATGATAGAGACGAGCAACAGTATCAGCGTGATCAGCTCGGCTCGTGTTACTTGCAAGGCTTTCCGCTCGGGTAATTGCATCTGTCAACCGCATGCCCGCAGTGGACTGTTGGTCTGTCTTGTTGTGCAAGCCGTTGAGCAGAATCTCTCGAGGGCACAGAATCAAGATCGAAAGCGAAGTTTGTCGAACTTCTTCAAATGGATCTAGCAGGAGATCAATCAACAACCGAAGTAGGTGGGCATCAAACACTTCGATATGAACTTTCCAAAGATTTTCCATCTCTGATTTTTGAAGCTTGACCTCTAAACGTGGATCAAGACCGGAGTCCAGCAGAAGCTTCAGAGCTTTGAGCGCCGTTATGTGGCGCGAATATGAGGCCGCAAGACGCAAATCATTACCCAATAGCTTTAGGTATGCCTTTAGGAACTCTATGGTTTCAGTTTCATTTCTGACCTGGCCTTGACCTGGCTTGTTGGCTGTTTTGTCTGTCTGTGAAACAACGTCTTCATCTTTAACAATGCCACCTCTTAGACGAACAAAGAATTTTCGTGTCAGACTCAGAATTTCTCCGCGAGTATATGCGTCGGATTCAGCATGCATCGAGGGTAGTCCTCGAAGGATAACGTTCGTTGCCCCAACAGTAAATGGCTTTACTGTGGAAAATGCCGTGATCAACAGCGAGAGAGCTGCTATACGGATATTGGCCTCGCGGTGCAGGAGAAAGTTGCCGATCACGTCGCTCTTCAGGACTAACACCTCATTTTCGTCGAGTTTCATTTTGCCAACATTAAAAATATCTGCGCATATTAGCCAGTCACCAATAATAATAGGTCAACAATGCCACTCACAATCTTCATGAACCAGGTTGGTTTTCTTGCCGATCTGCAGAGCAGCGAAAAGAACCATATACTCTGCCTCAGGCGCATCAGTCATATCACCTTTGAGAAGGCTCTTGACTGGAAGTGTGTCAAGGAAGATCCTGAAGCCATTGGGGTCGATGGTAAACAAAGGCTGCAGGAGCCTATTTGACAGATCTTCCAAGGTTTCTATGTTTTGTAAGACCATGCGTCTCACTGGGAGTACCCACATCGCTGACAGCTTTTCCGGTGAGGTTTCAGGCTTCATCTTCTGGATCAAAATTGCCAGTAAGTTACCAGCTGATACGGCCATGGTCCTATTGTTGGTTTGGATCAAGAGTCCCAGAACAAAGATCCTCGTTGCCAGTTCATCGGGCAGGCTGCCAGATGCAATGTCAAAAGCGGGGCCCGCTTCGCCTAGGGAGAGAGTTTCATGATCGTTGGCGAAGAGATTTGCCCATTTATCTGTATTCTTTAACAGCCACTGGCGAGTCAATGGGATAAACTCGCTGGGTAACAGGGCATCCCTTCTGATGAATGTCTCCAAAAATACCAGACACCCCTTCAGGCGTGATTGAGGCTCCCCAAGCACAATGCTAGGAATTATGGCATCAATGACTGCGGTTTGAAGGGCTGCTCTCGTTGTTCCTTGGTGATTTTTGACTAGGATAGCAATAACCGAGGCGAGGAGTTTCTTAACAGGCTTTGGCTTTGCATCTTCATATCGAGTCAAACAAATATCGAATATTGACAGCCATGCTTCTTGTGAGAAAATCAACCGTTGAGTCGCGTCACATTGTGACTTGGTGGCAGCATCAATAAAAGCAGAGGCAGCATTGCATGCCTCTGCTGAATGAGGTTGCGAGATAGATGCTGTCGATAGCGTCAGAACCAAAGACCGCCATACCCGGTTCACCTTTCTTGTGGAAATATTAGAACAAATTAGTTATTATGGATTGAACATATACTTCACTTACTCGGTGTCTTGGCATGTCAGTGTGAATTTCACCAATGGGCCTTTGGCGATATCTCGGAGGGTTTTTTCCGAGAACAACTGCACAATCTGCGCAAGGTCGTCCATTTTGATACGACACATTGCACCTGACGTGAATCACCAACAGTCAGAGTTCCAATCACACAAGCCTCGGTATCTTGGATAACGGTTTACGCGAAAAAGATCTCCCCGACGTTTAATTTTTAGAGATTTATGCTCCCCGCGATGCCTCAGGCCGCCAAGTGATAAATGTGGGATTCCGAATCGGGTTAAGCGTCTATCCCTCGGCCAAATTCTTCTCCGTAGATCGCCGGAAGTCACGGGACCGAAGTTTTTGCTGTTCCGATGCCAGTGGAGCTGCGAGCACAGGGTCATCACTTCTTTTCCAGTCATCCGTCCCTGCCTTCCAAGGTTCTCCTTAGGTTCTTGTAATTTTATCTTCTATCCTTTATTTTTCTATACTTCTTTTCACAATGTCCATCTGGGACTCCCTCAGCGGCCGCAAGCAAACCGGGCCCGAGGCCTTCGACCCTTCAACCGCGCAAGATGCCACATCCTTCCTCTCCGAGGTCGCTATTCCCGATCCCTCTCGCCTCCATCCTCTGGCTGGTTTGAACCAGGATACCCTCGACTACCTCTCCCTCGATGACACTGCCCTTGACGAACTCCCCGGCTCCCGATCAGTGTTGCCATCCCGTGGATGGTCAGATGACCTTTGTTATGGTGCCGGTACTACCTATCTCGTTGCACTCGCTACTGGAGGCGCGTGGGGACTTGTAGAAGGATTGAAAAAGACACCACCCACGGCAGCACCCAAAATTCGACTCAACGGTGTACTCAACTCCGTTACCCGTCGCGGTCCGTTCCTCGGAAACTCGGCTGGTGTTGTAGCTATGGTTTACAACGGATTCAACTCCAGCCTCGGATATGTGCGAGGCAAGCATGACGCGACTAACAGCATCGTGGCCGGCGCATTGAGCGGCATGGTCTTCAAGAGCACGCGTGGACTTAAGCCAATGATGATCTCTGGCGGCATTGTGGCTACCATTGCTGGTGCCTGGGCTGTATGTATATTGCTGTGATATGCTGCCTGATTTTTGCTAACCTCGATCCTACAGGTGACCCGAAGGGCCTTCTTCTAGATTGCTAGCTTGGCCAGTTTTACCCTACTCCGCTTCTCGGTTATCCGATACTCCATACCCTCCACGCTACCCTTAAACGACATTGGCGGTTGACTATTAGCCGCCTCGCTTTGTCTTTCCGCCTGCGATGTATTACAACTATTTTTTTTTTTATTTCCCCTGCGGGTCTCCTCACTCCGGCGCTTCGAGCTTCATGTTTCGCATTTATGCGTGGGTTGGGAATGGGATGTGCAACTGGGTTTGTACTTTGTATTTCTTCTGTGTACATAGAAAAGTCTCTTGCATACCTGCGATTCATTGGCTATGACGCTTGCAAGTGTCTGTCAGTTACGTATTCTAATGCTGCTAGTGACTTCCAATAGACAAATTCTCACACTTCCTGATTTCTAATGAGTGGAGTTCACATTTCTACTCACATTTTAGCTGCGAGATGAAAGAATATTCGGTAACCTTGGAGAGCGATGCCGCAAAAAAGCAGGCTATAGCTCAATATATAACTCATTTGTAGAAATACTAACCTTCGGAGCCAACGAAATACTCCTAAACCTAGTTTATTTGCTGGCGCAATACCACCCGGCGGTGGCAAACATCCGCGGCGTGGATCAGGGACCGGCGATTGCCGACGTGCGGGCAAATGGGTTGCCCGGGCCAGAGCTTTCACCCTTCCCAGATCCTTGGCAATGCCGGATATATCGTCAAATAATGCAAGAGTCCCAAAACCACGCACCAAGACTTTCACTGGATGCTGGACTTGTCGAGACCGCCGAGTGAAGTGCGACGAAGAATACCCTCACTGTGGGCGCTGCCAGCGGAGTGGTTGGGTGTGCAAAGGGTATGGTTTGCGCCTAGGATGGTCTCAAGCCCCCGGGCGTCGCTCTCATCGGCGCCAATTGCGAGCCCCATTATCAGATGCGGACCAAGGGTTGTCATCTGCCGCTGTTACGGAACTACTGGTTGAGTTAGATGGATGTTCAGGGCATGGCTGTGCCCAACAACGAGGACCGTTCTCGGTGTTCTCTTTGTCAAGCCTAGAGACTCAAGATTCAACCTGTGTTGATCTACCTAACTTGGAAGTTTCACTTTTAGACCAAGAAACGGAGGTTTCACAGCATATCTCGGACTTGGTCGACTTAGCAGATGGCGACAGAGGTAGCGAGTTGGCTTCACCGAAGCCCACGTGGGCCGGCTCATCATCTACTACCGCGCCGTTTATGTTTGAATCCCACAAGGACTTATGCACGGTATCATCAAGGCCTAATGATCTGGTCGGTGATATGTCTATCAATGAAGTCGCCTATGTTCACCACAAAAGCCCCAGAAATATGCCGTCAGAACCGAGCGACTACGGCAGACCAATATCAAATATCTACAACAATCGGACTGTGATATCCCCCTGGGATTCCTTGAGTCCATTGGTTCTCCCAAGACCAGAGACAGAGCTAGTCCATCACTGGGTTGTTTTTCTCAGCGGAAACATGCTCTTAATTGACACCCCGGACAATCCCTGCCGGGCAGTGTTCTTGCCTCTGGCTTTGAAAGGCCTTGATGCCTCCCCAGCAGAATCGAACATCCATCTCTCAATCTTCCACGCTATCTGTGCCTCCTCTGCTTTTAGTCTTTCTCACCTCCGGCATGATTCGCGGTACCATTCCATCGCCGTCCACCATGACCAGCTAGCTCTGGGTCATTTGCGAGGAAGCCTACAACAGGCTAGCTGCCTAGATGAGCCCACTTTAGCCGCTGTCCTTACCTGCATCTCCGCTGAAGCTATGTCTGGTCGCCGCAGCCGATGGAGAGCACACGTTTCTGGATGCCTTGGCCTCCTGGAGAACGAGATCCATGGCGATTGGATCCGTACTCCGACTGCTGCTAGATTGGTTAAAAGCTACTTGTCCCTTTCCTCACTATGCAGTCTTCCTATACCTGACCAGCTCATGTCGCTCCTCAATGGCCCCTCCCATTTACATCACTACCTAGAACAATCGCATGGAGTCACAATACCACTGGTCCAATGCCTCGCTCAAATCACCACACTTGTTGAGTCCCAGACACAGCTTTCCACCGAAGAACTCGACCGGCTCCAACTCCAGCTCTACTTGAACTTTCCGTCCTTGTCCAACCCAGACGCCCCCGGTTCGGTCATTGTCCAACACGCTTTGAACTCATTCTACTATGCGACGATTGTATATTTCCGCCGCAGTTTGCGTGGCGCACCATTGTGCGACGTACAGGATCTGATTGAGAAAGGCATACACGAGCTTGAATCTGTCGATGCGCTCACGCGCGACAAGGGTGGCTGTTCCTATAACTGGGCAAGTTTTGTGGTTGCGGCTGACTGCGACCGGCCTGATCTGCAAGATCGAATGTTGGCATTCTTTCACCGGAAGAGTCGGCACGGCATCCAGAGTATCAATATATTATGTGAAATCGTTCAAGCTCTGTGGAATCGGCGGGCAGTGGCTGGACCGTACGTTGATATACAGTGGCAGGATATTGCAAGAGAAGCTGATTTTGACTTCATGCTTGTTTGAATGTGTATATAAACATACATATCCCAACGTGCTATAGTCCATTACACTAGGGCTGGCTCTTCTTAAGATTTTAACCGTCCATGCTCCAATATATTGACCTCGGCATGTTACATCTATAAATACTCGGGGCCCACAGAACAAGAGGCTAAGCCATGTGGAGCCCAAAGTGGGTACTCGAACCATTTCCCCAGATGAACGGCTACAGAACTTCGATTTAGATCTCCACAAATAAAAGTACCGGGAATTTCATTTGTGTCTAATCACTGTGATCCACCGAGACCGTTGGTACATAGTAAAACATGTCCTCTTCACAGTATGGCCAGTGCGTTAGGAGGACTGGCGACAGCACCAGGGAAATTCAGCGGGGACGAAGTAAGCAAGAAAGAATACTGCCTACTAGCCCTACAGGCATGAGCCAACGCTTTCAGATCCCAAAGCTCACCTAGCGGAATACCCAGCAAACTAAGACACCACTGATGCAACACAAGCTCATGGGTAGGCTGCTCAACACCATCGATGATAGGCGGCATAGCCTCAACCGCCGTGTTATCACTAGCAACAGCAGCGAAATGCCGATCCCAAAGCCAACGCGCCATTTCCTTACTCCCCTCCAGCCCACACATCTTGCCGCTGCTCATCGCAGCGCCCTGCTCGGCACCGGTCATCTGACCCAGCGTCTCTGTTACCCCGAATCGGATAAGGAGGATATCTCCTGCTTTGAAGGTTATCCCCTGCCAGGTAGCCACTGCTTCTAGCTCTGTGGTCCCGATGCGGAAGCCGGAGAATTGGTCGTAGTTTATCGCGTGCGTCTGCGCGTAACTCTTGAAGTCGATTAGTACGCCTCGGCCTGTCACACAGCCGCGTTGGTGCCAGTCTGGTGTCCTCCATTAGCCTTTTTCAGTGTTGATGTTGAAATTGGTTGGACTTTTGCTTACGGTCTAGTGTTGGAAGATCTGGGGCAGATTCGGGAGTCTGAAATGCATCGATTGTTGGTTTCGCTCCGTTGTAGGTGAGGCCGGTTGGGAGGTGCATGAAGTGAGCTGGGTTGCGAGTCAGTTCTCTTATGAATTCAAGAATCTAAAGTTCTTGGACTCACAGAAACTATCCCATTGACTACTGGCTTGGGTGTTAAATTCGACCTGGGATTAATTAGCTCTGGTATGAGAGAGAACAACCTGGCAGCACAATACCTCGTCGTCAAATCCAAAGTGGCTGCCAGATGCTGCGTCTTTCAACTTCATGACATTGTGACAGAAGCTTTTTCGAAAGAACCCTGGGATTTTGATGCTCCCGATGGGCCAACTAGTGGTATTAGGTCGTATTCTGGAGATTATGAAGGGCATTTCACTTTAAGGAAATAGACACGCCTTGGCGTACCTCCGTGACAGCATCCTTGACGACTTCTGGAGTGAGTAGATTCAGGGTGCCGAGAACATCTTTCTCGTCGTCTTTGTCGAAGATGCCCCATGCACAGCCTTGCGGCATCCCCTCGACAGGAGGAAGGTCATCGAAGTTTGGAAGAGATGCCATGCTCCATAAGATAATAATGAGGTCTGAGTCAAATGGCTTGTAGAGGGTAGAGGTCCCGAATTGGGAAATGTGTGCCAAAAGGAACTGTCAAGTTCCCCTGCCCGGGGGGTATCAGTTGTTTTGATTCTGTCACATCCGGGTTTGGGCTTTGGGGCTTTGTTTTTAATTTCCTGACGTTCGGCGTTCGGCGTTCAGCATCCCGAGGGATTGAATACAAGACTTGCCTCAATAGTGTTATGTCTTCATCTTATCGCGTCTCTAAAATAAATATCAATCCAATGTTATGAAAGAGGCTGCTCCTGTCCAACCACAGCGCCATGCTCCTGCACAACGTGAGCACAACCTAACCGTGTACTACTAGCATGAAGGATTTGTACGTTTTTCTAGATGAAGCAAAATGTGCAAAGCCCTGATAGGAAAATTCGAGCGAGCTTCAAGATAGCTTATAGCTTCGGCGCGAGCCTAGTCAATCGATACATGTGGGGTAGAATTCTAGTCCGATGCATCTGCAGACATCCGACTCAAGAGGAGCATGATGTGTGCAAAGGATAATGACTTTGCAGATAATCTAACAAATGAGAAGGACACCCCAAAGCCAATAGTTACTCCTTTGCTCTTGATAGTTGATATCCCATCATTTTCGGTCTGACAGAATTCACCATATAAAGCCCCACCGCGGTCGGGTCCGTGCCGATCCTCTCCCAGCCACTCGCAGCCAGCAATTGAGCACGGAACATCCGTGGACGGCGATGATCGACGGGTTCGGAACTGGAAGGTCTTGTCTTTTGCTCTCAATCCCGCAGTAGTGGGCCTTGGTCACGATGGCAAGAAGAGTGGATAACCCTAACACCCGAAAACTTCCCCCACCAACCTTGGATCTCGCCATATAACGCCTCCAATTAATTGCATGTAGATAGTACCCCTTGCCATCGACGCCTCTCCCGCAGTAGCCGCAAAGATCCATGGATGGCCCAAGCAACATCATGCGGCTGATTTATCCGGAGAATGGGTTCTAACGGGTTAGATCGGGGCCACATCAGCTCCCAGGAATGGAGATTTGGTTATTGGTTCGTATATTACCGGGTCGGAAGAAGAAAACTTGAAAGGCTACTCAGTCAATGGGACTAGGTGTCGTCATACGGTTAGCAAGGTCTTTCACGATTTTGGGTTCGGGGGCAAGCCACGACGAATGCTAAAATTAGCTATACCAGTGGCGTACAGGACGTGTTTGGCCCCTACATGCAGGTAAGCGATTCCGGTTCCAGCCGCTAAGCTATCGTTCCCGAGGGCCGAGAGCAAGGGTTGAATATTGAGGTATATTTGAGGTATGAAGGAAAGAGAATGAAGTGTACGGCGTAATATGTAGGAGGGTAGAATGATCTTCGGATAAGATATGTATGAGGCATAATCTATATCTGAGCTCCGAGGTCACAAAAAAGTGCAGATGATAGTCACACCACCTTCCCCTTTGGGAACTACAACTCGGAGCAATCAGATTCGGGGCTCACAGGTATCAACGCAGAATTAAAGATATATACCGAGATCGGATCTGATCCAATTGGCTCCTAATGTGCAATAGATATGAAGATAAAGTAATATATGCCATCTCCTATCCCCGTATCTCCTTATTCCCATCTTACCAAATCGAAATTGCAGTATAAACTCAAGTAAACACTGCGGGGAGCACATGGGGAACTAACCATATTGGGATCGTCAGCTGACTAGCATCCCCATTCATCCTGCCCAGGTGATTTCTTGAATTTTTTTTTTTCTTCTTTTCGCTGCATCATCGCCCGGCCTTGCGCAGGTGGCGCTTTTTTTCTAATTGCATTTACTTTGGGTCCTTCATTTCCCCCTTTCCTTCATTTCCCCCTTAATAATCCATCTTGCATGCGGTCTGACCTTCCGTTATACCTACGGAGTAGAGAGGCGACCCTTAACGGGTCTTACGCTAAGGCCATTTAGGCTTGGAGGCTTAATTGGGGGGTTCCAAGACTCTTATCTTTGGCCGTTTTTATACCTTGTGACTCCGACCCCCCAAAACACCCTCGGAGGATAGAACTCAACGCACCCGGCCTTCCGTTTGCGGCCGCGTCATCCTTCCTCCCAACACCTTTTCGGTTCCAAAATGATACACAAGTCCGGTCTATCGACCATGTCAACAATGTTTCAAGATGCAAGCGACAATGAACATACAAAGAAAGAGGAGATTGACAGCCCTCTTTCGGTAGACGACCTCGCACCTTCCTTCGCACCTTCCATAGCACCTTCCATACTTAATCACGTTTCGCCACTGCCGTCTCTTCAGATTCGCACCGATCTACCCAGTATTCGACCGTCCAGCTCGCGAGAATCCGATCCTTATGCTTCGACCAGTTTTTCCGGAAGCTATCCAAACCGCACCCCGAGCCTTCGTGCCCTCATCGCACCACCTACATACAGTGGTTCCTTGTCCCCGGCATCCATCATGTCCTCGCCTCAATTGAATGCGATGGGTGACATAACTCCATTGCCATCGCCAATTGGAGGAGCTTCCCCGTGGCGGAAAGGTGATTTACCGTCGTTATCTCGTTCTTCGTCGATAGCGTCGCGCAACGGCTCCAGTCTTCGCCTGAGCGATTCGTCACAAATGCTTGGGCCCCCCGTCATGCCCCGTTCGCGCGCCAAACCATACACTGGAATTGATGGCCAAGGGGAAGAGTCATTCGTGAATAATTGGCATCGTCGCGACTCGTCCTCAAAGCATTCTCATTCTCGGAATCGCAGTCTGAGTGACTATGCACCACCACCCGGCCGGGTCTCTGTTCCTCCCCGTCCGATTGCAGTGCAAGGGAATACTGGGCTTGGGATCGCCCCGTCGTCGAGCATAGATTCGAAGTCCAATGGACTTCATCGCGAACAATATCTCGCTGTCTACCGAGGTATCGCATTGCCGACCGTTCGTCCTCCCAGCCCGCCTCGCAGCAGTGGCAGTGGATACAGTGACAATGAACCCGTTATCCGTTACCCCGCCCCTCTGTCCGCGTCTCAGGATATCTATTCCGTCCGGTCGGTCCGTACAGAGCAGGCCCGTATCTACCAGAAAGTCCGGACATTGGGCCAGGGCACATTCAGTCAGGTCAGTTTGGCAGCACGTGTGGAACCTTTCCCCGGGATGCCTTTGTCGCCGGATGGTGATGGAGCTGGCACATTCCACGGGTTTGTCAACAATCAGAAGCTGGTCGCAGTCAAAATCATCGAACATGGACCCGCTGGAGGCGCGGATGAGGGCCGACTGGAAATATCACTCAAGCGCGAAGTAGAAATCTTGAAGTCGGTCAACCATCCGTCCCTTGTCCAACTGAAAGCATTCGGCAGCGATGAAAAGCGTGCTTTGTTGGTTTTGGACTATTGTCCTGGTGGAGATTTGTTCGAGTTTGCCACATCAGGAGCTCGTATGTCCGCGGATTTGATCCGGCGCATTTTTGCCGAATTGGTTGATGCTGTGCGTTATCTGCATGCTCATTACATCGTTCACCGAGACATCAAGTTAGAAAGTGAGACAGCGTTGTTTGCCAGGATACTGCAGACCTTATACTGACCATGTTTCCAGACGTTCTGCTTACCATGCCCGCTCATGTTATGGATGATGTGCAAGACTGGCGTACCTACGACCGCGCCGTCGTCACCCTCAGTGATCTCGGCCTGTCTCGACGTATCCCTGAACCACCAGAGAGTCCGCTCCTGCAGACCCGGTGTGGAAGCGAAGACTACGCAGCCCCCGAAATTCTGATGGGCCAGGCTTACGACGGCCGCTCCACTGACGCCTGGGCACTCGGTGTTCTACTCTATGCCATCATGGAGAATCGGTTACCCTTCGATGTTCTGCCTGGCACTCGAGGAGATCCTGCCAAACTTCGTGCCCGGACTCCGCATCGTATCGCACGGTGTGAATGGGCTTGGTATAGATATGCCGACGAGGACGAGGAATGGGACCCCGAAAAGGGCAAAGGACTCGAAGGGGCCCGTGACTGTGTGGAAGGTCTTCTCAAGCGCAACACAAAACGCAAGACCCTTGATGAGATTGCTGCTATGGATTGGGTGCGTGATGCTATCAATGTACCCGGTGGTTTGAAAAGAGGCGACAAAGAAGTGCCATAGAGCCGGTCTCCAATGTGCCTTGCTGTCCGTTTTTTTTTTTTTTTTTTTTTTTTGGCCCTCCTTTCGATTCTTTTTCTCCCCTTTCTGATGCTCTTTATTCTATTCCCTTTCTTGACTCACATACCTTTTCTCTTGTGTCGTTTTTTTACTCATCATTATTATTCACGAGGCATGATGACTGAATGAGTCATTATGTGGATTGGATTTTATGTTTTTATGGCTAGACCGGCTTTTTATACCCTTTTTTACATACAACTACCTCCAGGAGGTAAGACATGGAAATACAAAGACACGTTTCCCATCTGTTCATTCCCTATCTTGCCCATATCACCCTTCACATACCCCTTCACATACGAAGCTTGCTACAGACATGCGAACTGGTGATAGTCACGATATCGTGACCGAATTAGTCGATTGAAAAGTTGATCACCATATCCGAGCGGTCAATAAAGAAGCCGGACAGAGCTGCGGTTCCTGTCCCAGCCGTTGACAAATGAACTACTAAACCATTGACAGGTCAGCAACATGATACATCATGTGGGATTGGCTCTTGGGAATGTGCGCCCGAATGAAACACTAACAAACGACTAAACCGATGTCCTTCCTCAGTTTCAGCGTAGATGGTTTTACAGTTTCGGATCTCATTGGCCTGTCATTGTTCCCATCGCGTCTCTTCTAATTTCATATTTGTTACATTCAGCCTTGCTATTAGTATTCGACATCTCCAAATATCATGACGTCAAGAACTCGACACAATCATATGCTCTAGAATCCAAGCTGAATCCAAGCCAAGCCAAGCTTTGTTCCCATGCGGCCAATCGTATTTGTTGTGGACGCCCTGGATGGCCCGGATGGGGCTGTGCTCGTACTCGGATTTCAGCCTATCGACGGCCAGCGGAGAAGTCGACGGAGAACCCGCGTGATGGGAGTGCCCTGCTTCTTACGCGTGCTTGACATGAAGGACCTGCATGACTCCTGCATTGCCTTTTTCTTTTTCGCTTTACATCGCTGTACGATGTGCGAGGGACAAGGACCGGGGTTCTTGAGAATACGTATAGGATAGCCCATATTGAATCCAGGCACTCCACGCATTTCACACACACTGAGTTGGGATATACGCCATGGCCTTTGGCCGTTCGAGTCGCTCAAAGAGACCGACATCTCCTAAACCACCGCCAAAACCACCACGTCCGGAAATAGGGGTACCGCAGAAATATGTCGATCCTCCGTATGGGTCGCCAGCGGGGGCGTATTCAGTCAACACATTTCATACATTTAACACATCTCATACATCTACCGTGGCATATAATCCAAATATGGCAATGTCTATGGCTCGTATACAACCTCAGCCACTCTATCCTTTCCCAGCACCTGCCTCAAGCAGTCCCCCCTGGAACGCTCACCCACCGAAACTTTCAAAATGGACATCGTGTACGAATTTGAACCAGTCAATGACCAGCTTGGTATCGCATACGTTCGAGAAGACCAATGCGACAATCCTTGATCTCGAACATTTGGTCCGCCAGAGTTTGGGTGGTGGCGCAAACGTCAAGGAGGCCACATCGCGGTTGTTAGATCAAGTCATCACCTCGATCGACCTGGGGTCGTTTTGTGGGAGAGAAACTGAACTAAGTAAGTGGTATGGTTCGGATTGTATTATCGAATGATACTCATTTGTGACAATAGTTGCTGCTTGTAAAATTCCTCATCAGTCAGACGAGAAGAAAGATCGATCAAAGCGAAAAGCGAAGAAGCCAACAAGATCTGTGGATTACTTCTCGAAGGTGTATCTGTATGCCAATTCGCGGTTACCGCCTCATTTAACAACGCTGAAATTGTAAGACCCTCCACACTCCGGTCATATTTAGCCCAACTTGCTCATCTCGCATTCAGCTATCCTCCAACATATCCCCTCCTCCAGCTAGCAGCCAAGTACTCGCGCCGGGTTTACGACAAGCCTTCAGGCCATGAACGGCATTCATACGTGGACTCCGATTGGCTACACGGCACCAAAGCCATGGTGGTCAAATCGCTCCCAATCGACGACATGAACACGATTGTCTTCGCCATACGTGGCACGCAGAGTTTCCTCGACTGGGCCGTGAACGTCCGGGCAGCACCAGTTCCTCCCATGGGATTTCTAGACGACCCATCCAACTGCTGTCACTCGGGCTTCCTATCCGTGGCCCGAAAAATGGTTGCCCCCGTCGCTGCCCGGCTACGTAGTCTTCTTGAAGAAGATCCCTCACGCATGTCCTATTCGCTAATCTTCACTGGCCACTCCGCGGGCGGTGCCGTCGCCAGCTTGCTATATCTACACCTCCTATCCGAGTCTCCAGCCGTGCAATCCGAACTCATTCATCTCCGCGGCTGCTTCAAACACATTCATTGTGTCACATTTGGTGCTCCACCCATATCGCTTCGTCCCTTGCAGCTCTCTCCTACTGCCCAGAGGTCAAAGTCCATGTTTTTCGCTTTTATCAATGAGGGTGACCCAGTTTCCCGTGCCGACAAGAACTACTTCATCTCATTGCTAGATCTGTATGTTTCGCCCGCTCCGGGGTCAGTGCTAGCCTTGTACGACAAGAAGAAGAAAGCCGCTCCTATATATTGGAGGACTCCCTCGTCCGATCTGTCACTCGCTGGTCGGCTTGTTCTACTTCGTCCGCGAGACCAACCGACTAGCCAACCTGTGTTTGTAGCGCCACCGGTCCCTGGTGGCCCTCCTGCACTGCCACCGCGGGAGAATGTGGATGCCTGTGGGATCGTAGACACTGAGCTCCGAGGTGTGGTCTTTGGTGATCCCGTTATGCATTTCATGGACTTGTATTCTCGTCGCATTGATGCTTTGGCTAGAGATGCCTTGACCAGACGATCATGATGTATCATGGCTTAGTGTATAGAGGTTTTGTTCCCATTAGCAGCTTTTGAAATACCCAATACCCATTTACTATTTTTACATACGCGGCAGATTTGTTTACTCGCTATTTTTGGTTATTTAATATTAGTGTTTCAAGGTTATACGTAGCAAAGTTGTTTTCACAGAAGATACGAAAAAGACATCTGAAAAGGCTACCTGCTACCATTGAGCTAACTAATGACCCAAAACTTCACACTTTGTTATACAGAATACTCCTATCATCATTTTCATTTCTGGCTTTTGAGACAATGTTCTATGTATGTCTTTGTTGATCTGATGTCTCACCCGCTCAAAGCGTGTTAAAGAAACAAAGGAAGAGACCGAAAGACCCAAAGTCTTCAAAGATCAATGAATATTCCGCAAATATATAACCATCTACATAGATTTTAAAATCACAAGCCAGCCTCAAGAGCAAAGCAACAGAACCCCTAAGTATACTATACCGGGTCTGTATCTCTCCCATTGACTCAGCTACAGAGAATTAGCCTCAAAATGTGTTTCCAGACTTATAACATGTGGACGATGTGCAATTGTATTCATTTCGGACGAGTTGAACGCTGTAAAGAGTTCGGCGTGCCATTTCTCATGCGAGAGCGTTGCTCGGGGGTTGTTCTACGAGCTCTCAATATCGGCATTCTTGGAATTCCCGAAGAGCGACTTTTTCAGAAGGCAGGAATGTGCCCGGATTGCTCAGAGAAGTTGTATCAAGAGATGTGGGCACTTCGTTGGAAATGGACTTCTCGTCAGAGTGAAGAGTGGGCGGCGAAGCAGAAAAGCGAGAAGGAATAACGCATGACTAGTCTATGGCCTCTTTATTAAATCAAATTTCTGGTATTATGTTTCTAAACCCTTTTACAAAATGATTTGATTATGACTAGTTCTAAATGTAAAAGACCCGATGCTTTGTCACAAAGGCTCCTTGTTTGCAGGGGATGGGCTCTGTGGATTCCGAAACACATCGTTTGGGTCAACTAGCTCTTTGATCTGCTGCAGTCGGGGGAGATTGGTGCCCCAGTATGCCTCGGGTGCGTTGGGCATAAGAGGATCAACGTAACCCGGGTAGGCAGTGTAGGGTAGCTTATTATTGGTGACAATCTTGTTGAGCCCATCGAGGAAGTCGATCTGGGCCTGGGAGATTGGTCCCAAGAAATTGACTGTGTAGGACTGTAGCCAGATGAGGACATCACGATGGGCGTAAGATGTAGCGTTAGTTGGGATGTCATTGGTGTAGCCTCCCTGCAAATCGAATAACAGGAACCAGCCTAAAGTACCCTTGTTGACGGTAGCAATGTAATCGAACATTTTGTCGATAGTCTCCGGGGTCATGAGGGTCTGGGGTGTCCAAGAAGTAGACTTTGCGTAAAAATTTGTTGGGATTCCAGCGGCCAACCGTAAAATAAGATCTTCAGCCCAGTGGGCGACAAGACCTAACCAGTCCTCGAAAACCAATGCATCGCCATTTGCACCAGGGAACTTGTTGGTTAGGTTCAACTTATCATACTCTTCCTTGGTGCCGAAGAAGGTGCCGCTAATTGCCATACTATTCTCAAGCATAGTGAGGGTAGACGCCATCTTTCGAGTCAACTTCGGATCTGACACGAAGGCCTGCCAGCTCTTCAAAAGGGCCGCTTGCTTCGTGGGGTTGCCAAACTCCATACTGTATGCATACTGCACTGCAGTACCAGGCTCAGGCTCGGTTCGGACCTTGAACTCCGTGACGATACCGTAGCCCGAGGCAGCACCTTTGATAGCCCAAAAGAGGTCCTTATTCTCGGTGTCAGAGGCTCTGACAATACTCGAGTTGGCCAGAACCACCTCAACCTCCAGTACATGGTCAAGTGCGGCACCGAATTGACGCGAGGTCGGACCAAGACCACCAATTGTGAAATGTCCTCCCGAACCGACTTGAGGACATATTCCGTGAGACATAGCCCGTCCTCCGGCGTGGGACAATCGCTGTGTCACATCACTCAGCAAACTTCCCGCCCCAATTGTCGCTTGCCAAGTTGTCTTGTCCATGGAGAATTGTTGGAGATGCTTCAAGTCAATCGCAACGGCGCCGTCGGCCCCTCCAAGACCTGTCACGTATAACACGTTAGCCTGCAGGTGGGATTCCACTGTGCTACTGTAATTTGAGGATCTCACCGTAGTTGCCATAGCTGTGTCCTCCACTTCTGGCCTGGACTGGATATCCGTTATCCGCGGCACATTTGACTATATCAGCCACCTGTTGAGAAGAGCTGTGGGTTGTGAGCGAGGAACACAATGTATCATTCTTTCAAGAGTACTCACGTAGGGAAAGCCAACGCTGATGGAGTAACGGGAATGTTAAGGTTGTAGCGATTCACAATACGGTCATAGAATAGATCTCCAGCGAAGGCAAAGCCTGCTCGGTCTGTGAACACATTCTCGAGACATTGTTTCAATGCCTCACTGGAGGCAGCAAGAGCCACCGATGCAGCGACTGCCAAAAAAAATAGTTTTAGAAGCATGGTTGGTTTCTCCCTCAGATCTATGATGCAGATCGATCAAAGGAAGACAGTAAGGAGCTGAGAAACAGAGAGAGAAGGTTCAAACAGAATCAAACGAGAGGACCCATATCAGGTAGGTCTAGTTCTGTCTCAAGCGTTGAGGCAATCTCGTTTGCTCCTATGACAGAGGGTACACAATATTCGTGAGTTGGCCCAATTTACAACCAACTATTCCCAGGTCCAATCAGCACGATTGACACGTTCAAGATACGTTGCTAAGGTCTCGTGTCGACAACGGTCATCGAGCCACATGACGAAGATATCATTCGTACCTAAATAGAAACCAAGCCTAAGCCAGGTCAAATATTCATCCTCATCAAGATCCATCCTCTACAGTTATTTCTGTATCTAGCAAATTAGATTCAACTCGCGAACTGCATATGTGCGCCATGTACCTGCAGCATTGGCGAGAGTGAAACAATGTGTTTGGGTCTAAATATAGCGAAAGAAATACTGTCTATGTATCAAGATCACCATGTCCGACGACTCTTACTCCAAGCTCGAGAAAATTCCTGCTTCTCTTTCACCCCCAAGCCAACCCGCTTAACCCGACCAAGACGGGCGAGCGACTCGCCCACATTATCCAGGAGCGCCTTCTCGCTGGACGATGCCAGTTCTTGCCCGTCCCGGTCCAGTGTGTCCAGGTAATTCGTATTATAGGTCGACTTCGCAGTCGCCAGAGAGGGAGCCGTATCAATGGCATTTTGGCTTCTTGTGATGCACTCCGCGATGCGCACTCTGATGCAGTGGGTCGGCTTGCTAAGAAGCGTCCACAGCAAGCTCATATAGCTCCCAGGGAGGGGGGTCACGATATCCATAGGCGTATAGCGCAGACTAACGGGGAAGATCTTGGTCTTGGGAGGTACGCTGAGAAGGGAGTTGCTCAAGGTCAAGATGCCACGGCCGTTGGTGGTGGTACACTCTGGGAACAATACAATCGGTCTGTTGGGGTACTTCTCGACCAAGCTTGAGACATCCACCATCAGGGCACCAGGGGCCGGTTGCGTTGCGGGGGAAGCGAAGGCTCGCAGTATGGCTTGGAACAGAGAGATGCGCTCGACCTGGCGAGTGTTGGGGTAGGATGCTGTGAAGATCGGGTCGAAGATAGCCGCCAGGTACACGGCATCAATAGGTGATGTGAAGGACGAGGCGATGACAGAGCCGGGTTGAGGCAGACGTGCTTGCTGCTGTTTCAAAGACCTGTGCCGGATATTTTAGTTACCAGCAGAACAGGCTATAGTTTCGATGGTGCAGCACGAACCCTTTGCGCACTCCGTCCACTTGAAGGTCAATCCACCAGATGCTGGGAACTCCAAGTATACACCACAAAGCAGCCTTTTTGCCCAGCGATCCGATAGGAAGCCATTGTAGGATCAAAAAATAGCTAAGAGTGACGAAAATAAATAGCGGGAGGCGGAAGCAGAAAAGGAAAATGCGAAGAGGCGTTTGGAGGCCGAGTGGTTCAACGGGGATCGGGAGGAAGGGTGCAATTCCCGAGCCTAGAGATGTCAGTATAACTGGACTTGGGGGCTGGTTAGCACAGCGCAAATTTACCTCGATCCCGAAACTGTGAGTATCTCTCCATCTCGTGTTATGACAAGTTTAGGCAGAATGAGCAGTGATACAGGCCCAATCATCAACACACCATGCGCTAAACAAGTGTATATTTAGGAGCGTGCTGGCAGCACAGGTTGCAACTCGAACTCGGGCTAATTCTGACAAGGGAATCGGGTCGACAAGCTGGTGATAATCACATGCGAGACGAGCTGCCACGTGATATTATGCCTGAGGCACTCGGCACTTTTTCCCGGCGTATAAGACTCGCGCAGGCGAGCGAGTTACGTGGATAGATCTCTTGTATTGAGTTTTGGTCTATCTGATTGGTTATTTTCGTACATCGCTATATATAATATAATAGATACTAAAAAACAAACGCTCTAAGTGCGCACGGAAGCTATGAGTAGTATACAAGATCTATAGATTCACGCCCTGTCATCCCCGTCATAATCCTCCGCAAAGTCCGGTGTCGGAGGACTTGGAGGAAGATTAAAAGACCAGATGGCTACCCCGACCAAACAAAAGAGCGTACTGGTCATCATCCACGCGAGACCAATCCAAACTCCACCGAGACGCAGCCCAATCTGGAAAACGGTGGTGATGGATAAACTCGCAACCACATTTCCTAATGATTGGATAATCTCAATCGCAGTAAACAAGCGAGCAGTCTCATCACGTTCAACCAAAGTGGTAATGATGGAGCGGGCAAGGAAAACGAAGCCCGATCCTGAGGTCTGGACAATCATGCTGGGGATCAGGGTCGCAATGGTTGGGGAGAGGCCGATTCCGAGGGTTCCAACAGTAAGACAGAATATACTGCGCCGCGCTAGCCAGAGGTCTTTTTCTGTTGAGGAAAGTCGGGGATTCACGACTCGTCTTTTGAGGAAAGGTAGGACAAAGAGGAACAGGGGGATTGACACAGTCGGACGAGCAGATACCAAGAAGTTGGCCTGTGCCAGTGTCCATGAATAACGTGTCGATATATATTGGGTCAAGAACCAAGATGAGCCTCGGCTCAGGCGGTAGACTAGGAACGCAGTGAGAAGGAGGAGCACTGGTTTTCGGTTGAGAATGAAGCGGTAGGGTCTAAGGTAAAAGCGGTAATTTGCGCGAAACTTTGCCAGAATAGATCGGTGCGAGTATGATTGGATACTCCAAGAAGGCGGTTCGTCGTCATGATCACCATTCATGTCGGGTTCTGCGCGATATGGTTCGGGTACGCGAGGGATATGTATAGAATTTTTTGGCTCGGTGTCATGTGTCAAATCCGACATCTCCACATGAGTTGGTTCAGCTTTCCGGGGTGGCAGTGCATGCTTCGTTTCCGGTAGGGCCAAAATGAGCATCATTCCGGCCATTACAATTGCGAATCCAACCACCAACGGTATCCAAGGATTCAAGGTCATCAGATAAGAACTAACAGCACTTGACGCGAAGTCGGCACCCATCGATACGATGGCAAATTGAAAAAAGAGTTCCGCTCTGTTCCACCTGATCAGCATCTATAAGACTCACGCCCAACATGGAGGAGTAGTATACCTTTCCGACTCGTTGGTTACATCGGCCATCATGGTCCAGATAATCGCGAACGACACGACTGGACCACCCCCAAACAACCACGTCAAGGCAGTAAACCAAAGCGCACGCAGGGGAAATATATCCGAGAACCACAATATGAGGATTGTAAATAAGGCGTTCAACCCAAACCCGGGAAGAGACAAGGCGAGGGTAGATTTGCGGCCACGACGGTCTGCCAGCAGACCATAGGGAATCGCCAATAGGGCGCCTGCGAAACAATTAGATCATAGTCTAGCGCTAAAAATTCCAATCAACGTACTCAGTGATCCATCAAAGAACATATGGTAGCCCTTCACAGCCGCCAGTTCAGCTTGCACCTCGCCAATCTTACACATGGCCTCGGGCACTTGTCCATCCGCACCGATCTTAGTCGGATCCACACCCAAGAAATACTGACGACAAGCAATAGACTCCATGATTCGGACCATGGGGCCCTCCAGGAAAGCAAAGCCGATCTCAACTGCGAGGACCATGGCGAATAGGGTCACCTTGAGGCGAAAGGTGATGGTGCTAGCAGAGGCATTGGCCTTGAATGGGTGGCTTCCTATACTGGGCTTGCTAGAAACATGGCGATGGGCTGAGCCCGGGGTGCTTAAATCGGGGGAGTCGAGGAATGGGGCATCCTCGCGGTCCTCACGGTCAAGAGACTCATGACGTATGGAGGCCATCTCGGCCAGTCATACCGTCAATGAGGGTATATATAATAGAAGGTAGTCCGATCGGGATGTATAAATGAGGGCTAGTATCAAATCATTGTCAGAAATGCGTTAGAGAGGAGTGAGAAATTGTGTCCGACGTGTCTAGAGGCCAAGTCGCCAATCGCCGCAAGCCAACCCGGCACGAGGGCTTGGCGGGTTCATAGTCTCTCGTCCAGGGGCTTAGTGGCCAATCAGCGTCGTCGGGGGTCCACTGGTGCTATTCTTATTCACTGAGTTGCATATCAAATTCCTCATTGGTCTTTTGATAGATTGTTCATGAAGAGACAAAAATAATACTGTATATTGATACCTAGGTATACCCCCTTTAAATACAAAGAAAGAAAAACAAATCAACACCCCTTTTCCTAATTAAAATCATATCCTGCCTCTTCAAATAGGCTTCCTCGGACTTGTACTACCGCCGACAACTCTAGGAGGAATTCGTAAAGAATGACCACATTCGTCAGTACATGACCGAGGGTTGCGATTGGAGCCTGCTTGGTATCTTCTGAGTCCGAGGGTTCCTCCCCAGTCGATGGATACGGTGGATCCGCGGGTGCAGGCGGGAACGGTGTGGCAAGGCGCTGGCGAAGAGCCTCGGCGGCCACCGCTCGGGCGTTCAAGGATCCGCGCGACTCGGAAGGAACAGATGATGCATCCCGATGAGAAAGCATAGAGGGCGAATTGACCGGGTATGGAGACCGGCCACGGGCAGCTGGGGTAGAGACACCGGCTGAACCTGAATATGACGGGCGCGAATTATTGGTTGACGCTGGATGCTCTGAGGACTCTCGGGATCGGTCCGGTGTTTGTGGGCGATCATCCTGGTGCAAGAGTTCTCGTCGGGCAGCGACCAGTACATCGAAGTCTGGGAGTTCTTGTTGCCATTGTCGGACCTGGTTCACGAGTTTTTGGAGCGCTAGTGTCAATGTCGGAGCAGCCGTGGCAGGCCAAGTTGGGGCCTGGTAGGCCCGGCTAACATCATCCAATCCGTCGTCGGTTTCTTCCGAGGATGGGGCCTCGTATTGGTTGGGATCAACCAACACCCACCCGTCCAAGGAGAAGAGATGTGAGGATGCCAGACTCATGAACACACCTGTCAATGCCAGATTGACGATGACACTGTTAGTAAAGAAAGTTTCAAGGCACTCGAAAAGGGCCTGCACTATGGGATCATCTTGCTGGAGCTGCAATGGCAGAGGTAACGTCTCCTCGTCTTCCCCCATTGAAGAGATGGGCAGACACAGGCGGGATTCAAGCACGCATGTCGCATCTGAAACATAGTTGTCATACGACTCATTCAGCGTGGGGTCATCAACGAGGGACGTTCCCATGACTACTAATTGCTCTAGCTCGGCATTCAAGGCGCCAACGGGGCGCTGATTTGCAGGCTGAGTAGGAATGGTATGGATCAGCGCCCGTGCGAATAGATGGTGTCTCTGGAGAACGGTATTTAAAAGGCGTAGTGTAGCTAATACCGTCTGGCAGTTCGATGACTGGAGTCCTAGTAGGGCCAAATCGCGAAGATTGAATAGTGAGGGTGAGGGATGAGCCGCTTCGGAGGCCAGCGCAGCTAGCACATTGAGTGATTTGCGACGGCTTGCGGACATATCCATTTGCTCCTCAGGCTGAGGGGTAGACGCTAGTAAGAAATGTAAGATTCGGTGGACCAATTCGCCTTGATCGATTGAGTCGAGAATGCGGCACATGTAGGTCAGCACCGCTGCTGTCGAGCCACCAGCTACATCTGATGATTCTAGCAAAGAGGGGTACCTGTAAGGGTCAGTGATAAGTCCATTCTGGGGTGACGAGTGTATACTCACAAAAGTTGCTCCAGAAACAGCACCTGGAAATGGTCTAGTAAGGTGTCGTTCACTTCGGCAGATTTGCAGTGGTCGATTGTGTCCTGCCAAAACAACAGATAGGACATGAAAGCATCCATTGTTTGACCTAGGGTTGGCTGCAAAGCGGTCTCCTGTTTGCCATGATCAGATAGAGCAACAATGTGAGGAAGGTTATCGTCCTCGGCGGCAGGAGTAAACGACAAGCTTTATTCGATTAGTATATTGTCCCACAATGATCAAAGAACCGAACTCACTGTCCGAGCTGGCTGTAGAGTGCGCCCAGTCCAGTAGCCATGAGCGTAGCCAGGTCACTCTCGATCAGCCATTTCTCTAGGTTTTTAGACCGCGATGCGGTTTCAATGAGGTAGAGCAACCCCGTTCGGGCAAAGTCCCCAGCGCGTCCTTCGTGGTGAACATAGTCTACCAGCAGATAGAACAGAGGGAACTCGTCCTTCCTCGTAGCTCCTGCAAACTCCGTCCCACTTGGGGCTTGGGAATCGCTATCCTGGGCGTTGGGTGTCACCCGAGGCACAAACCACGCGGGCAGGATACCAGGTTGCAGACGAATGTTGTTGGCAATACCAAATAGCAATTCGACGAGTCGGCCCTCAGCCTCATCGGAGGTCTTCTCGGCGCGGCGGACCAGATCCACCATTGCACGAGCGAACAATCGGTTGTCCACGACCCCGTCCACCTCTGCATCGATCAGTGTGTTGAAGAATACCGTCGCTGATCGGATGATTCCTTCATCGTGGAAGGAAAGGGCAAGCTTGGTCACGGTCACGAAGACCTGGGATGATGCCGCATAGGCCACACAGGGGTGTGGTGCCGCTCCGCGAGCTTCCTCGCTCAGAATCGAGTTGAGTCGTTCAACGTACATCCGCGCATGCGTAACCGATTGTTCGCCCGAAGGGGTATTTGTCGAGCGCCATATTTGCTATCAATTGGTTAATTGGTGGCCTGGTGGAAGCGGACATCGTCGGTACCTGGAGGGCATTGCAGGCGCGCTTAAATGCAGTCAGCCGTTCCGTGGGCGAGGTGGCCTTGGAGGATTTGTTGGACAGCGCGCGCGAGCCGCCGATAAGACGAGACCACTATATTCTATTAGTGAAGATCATAGAGAAGTAAGGGGCACGTACAAAGTCCATTCTGTGAGGACTGCATGATCTCACAGAGTGAAAGTGACGGGGGGTCGAGGATGAGTGGATACGGTGTTTATCGCGCTGATCGCCGCTTTACACCCACCATCAACTATCAACTTCCAAGCATATGCGGAGTACTACATGCAAATTCCAGATTTACACTTACAGTCATACAGATTCAAGTTCCAACAGAAGATGCCCGTCTAGGTCCTGTTTGAATAAAAAGACCGTGCGCGTATGAGGCTCGAGTCATTGGAGCCCGAAAAACCAAAAGATATTCACAGACAAAAGCGCTCCCAGATCTGCCTCCCACTATTTAAACGCCTGAAAGAAAGAACCACCATGAAGTTATGCGCCTAATACCCATCCCATCTAGCACGTCGTCAAGTCATTTACGGGTCAACCTCAATCACTTTCATCCTTCGGTCGCCGCCCGCCACGCTTACGGCGACCCTCATTTTGATCGCTCCCGTCGTCTTCGTGTTTGCGACTGGCGGGTTGATCAGGGATCTTGGAGATGATGTCAGCCAAGAAGTCAAGCACTTCATCCTTGGCGACGGCCTGTTTGAGATGCGAGGCCGTGACGCGCTTTGAGTTGCGGTCCTTTGCTTCTTGTGCCGCCTTGGTGACAAGAGAGATCATGAAGAGTTCGAGAGCCTTGGCTATCAAAAGAGTCTGGTCAGTATCTCTGGCAGATTGGTAATAAGGGGAGCGCAAAGGGCGTACATACACACAGCAATCGGTGTCACTTGAGCAACCTTGCCGACATCCTCATCGGCCTGCATGATGCGCTTGATGCGCGCCACGGGAAACTTGGTCTTTACTTCAATCGCCGCACTCGGAGGCGCCGGTGGCATCTCTTCCTCTATCTCCGGCGCAATAGCGGGGACCGGCGCCATTGCGATCGGCTCTGGGGTTGGTTGGATTGCCTCTGGGATTGGTTGGATTGCCTCTGGGATTGGTAGAATTGCCTCGGGCATGGGTTCTGGGATGGGGGTACGGTCGGACTGAGCAAGACGGCTAGAACGGCGAGCCATGTCCGAGTCTGGCTGATAAGGTGGAACGTATTGTTGACCCACGCGACTTAGAATTGGGCGTTGGTGAGGTTGGTATGAGTTGAAGAAGGGAGATTCGTGGGATGTAATTGGACTCGCAAGCGCGTATTGTTGAGGAGGAGGAAGAGATAGATCAGGAGAGCGAGGCCGATAATTGTTCTCTGTCATGGTCAAGCGAAAAAAAATTTAAAAAAAGATTTAAGTGGAATCGCGAAAAGTAGGTGGCCCAAGCTCCCTGGAGAGGAGAATCCGACGACGGGCGTCGCTGTCCTTTTTAAATTCCATCGTTGTTTTTTTCGTAATGTGTTTACCGCGTCTGACTGTTTTGGTCTGTTTTTTTGCAAAATCGCACGTTATTTTGCCCTTTCATCCTCTTCTCTCGGTGAAATTTCATTCTTTTCATTCTTCACCTTTTCAATTTTCGGTTTTGTCGCTTTTTTTCAATTCGATCCCTTCTCCCCCTTGTTTGCCTTGTATTCTCCCTCTCCTCTTTGTTACCTTCAACTTCTCAATATACTGAATTGTCCATACATCGTAGGTCGCCACCCTTTCTCTCCCCCTCTAGGCACCCGTAGAATACCAAATACCCAATGACGATAAATGCAAAAAACGTCGAGTTGAACCAGATGAAACCATCAGCGTATCGCTGTTCTTCTGTGAACGCCCAAAATAACTTGATCTAATCTGAGGGTCTCATCGCACAATGCACTTTGTTTGCTCGGCGTCATCTCTTAGTTCCCAGATGCCCACGGCTTACTTCTCTCTGACATGTAACTTCGGCTAAATAGTTTTTCCGACCAAATTCACAGCATCAACCTCTACACTTTTTTACCGGACATTGAAGCCATGTCACTGGAGCTTTCTGTCTAGTCAGAGCTCATCTAATATCTCCAGCCATCTCCAGCCATGGTGGTGGCGGATGTGCCAGCTCTCATGGACATTGCCAGGTACGGAGTACTCATATGCCGACCAAAAATTCGCGATGCTAATGATTCGGCAGTACCCTGGCCCAAGATGAGATCCCCTTCAAGCTGCGATGTGCCATGTGCAATAAGCTGGCGGTGAACGCATTTCGTCTCCCCTGTTGTGACCAGTCCATCTGTGAGACCTGTATGTTGGAGAGTTCTGCACCTGTCGCAAATGGTAGCTAATCTGATCTCTGTTATAGGCCAAGCTTCTCTCTCGGACACATGTCCTGTCTGTACACACACCCCCGTCTCGCCCGATCTCTGCAAACCCAACAAGGCTCTGCGGACCACGCTCAAGGCTTTCCTACGCACCGAAGAGAAGAAGCGGGAAAAGGACCGTCAATCTGCAGCGCCTCCAACACCATCCAGTATCACACCTGCAGATACAAAAATATCGGCAGCTCCCGAGCAAAATGCGGTTGAGCAGGTGACATCTGTGGAGACGGCGGATCATACGGAGCCTACAGAGTCGAAGTCTCAAGTGCCGGGACCAGACACAGCGGTGCCAGCCACAGTTGGAGAGAGCATTGCAGACCCAAGTGTCCCAGGTTTGGCAAATGAACCAGCTCAGGTGATTTTTTACTGCTGTATTAACTCTTCTTTTTCTAAACTGACCCTATTTATAGCCCGAGGCAACTGGTGATCAACTCAACGGTACCGAAACGGCCCTTGAATCGACGACCGAAGATGCCGCAGTTAACGAAACCCCGCTGAACGGAGAACCTGTTCCCGCTCCTGGGGAGGTTCCTGGGGAATCCGGTATCTCAAACGTGGCTGGAAACTTCCCCGTGATGGGCTGGAACGGAAACGGCATGAATCCTTTCATGGCTGGCATGTTCAATTACCCGAATACGATGGGTAAGTTTAATATTACCCAGATTTGCCGTTTCAACCTCGCTAATCTCTCCACAGGTATGCCGATGGGGATGGACCCGATGGCAAGTCAGGGGATGTACGGAATGAACATGACTGGCATGGGCATGAACACTGGGATGAACTACAACGGGGGCATGTATGGATCCTTAGGATGGGACGCATCCCAACAGAACAACAATATGTGGCAAGGCGGCCAAAATAAATTCAATCCAAATGCTTTCGCAAATGGCACGGGTCCTCCTTATGGAGGTGCATTTGGCGGGTCTAATATGTCTGCTTACCCTTCTCACTCAGACTACCAGTCCGGTTACTATGGCGGTTACGGTCGCGGTGGATACCGAGGTCGCGGCCGTGGCCAGTTTCATGGCCCCGGTCGAGGTGGCTTTGGACCCATGCAAGGTCATTACCGTCAGGCTAACTCAGGCTATGTCAACCAGAACCCAAGCATGGCTAATGGCCTCAACGGTACTCCAATGGATGCTGAAGGTAATGTCCAAACAGATGAGACTGCAGAATCAGGTGAAACTGGACCCGATGTGCCGGGTAATCCAGAAGATATCCCCACAGACCAACCCCAAGGAATTCCCACCATTGACAGCCTTGATAATTCTGTACCAACTGGCCCTGGATACGGTCACATGAGTAATGAGTATGGTCAATACAGGTATGGCCGATATGGACAAGAACCGGGGCCGGGCGTCGAAGGCGCTCCAGCTGCTCCGCGTGCCATGCGGCAGGGGCTACCCAACACCAGCGTTCTGCGACAACGTGGCTTCCAGATTCAGGGTCGAGGCAGTATCTCCTGGTGAGACTTTCCTCTTCTATCTTTCCTTTTGTCTTATAAATGCTAACGACCAGTAGTGAACCCTCTGAGGATAATCGCACAAAGGCTACATCCATCGCTCTGTCCCAACGTGCGCATTCTCGATCTCAATCTCCCTCGCAAAATCCAACTTCTCGCCCCCGTTCACCATCTGTTCGTGGTACTGAAGACGATCGTGACAGTCGGCGTGGGGCAGAGACCAAACGCCTAGATCGGGTTGATGAGCTACAATCCGTCGCCCGGCACTCTCGCTCTCCATCCCGCACATCCTCTCGTCCATCCTCGCGGCGCCGACATCACGACAGTGATCGGGAGCGAGATAGAAGAGACAAGCACCGGTCGCAACGCTCCCGTCGTCATCGCAGCCGTAGCCGCAGCTCCAGTCGAAAGGGCGATTCCCGTCCCTCTGATCGCCTAGAAAAGGTCGCAGAGAAAGATGGATCAAACGGCAGGATCAAAGCATCCTCCGAAGCCCCAGGGTCGCGCGATCTAGCAAGCCGAATCAGCAGCACCTACCGCTCCTCCAAGGACAGAGGAAGCCGACGCGAAGACGACAGATCACGAGAACAGGACAGAGATCTCCGACGCCGAGATCGTGAGCGAGACCGCGACCGACGTGGCAGAGACCGCGATTCCGATCGCGAACGACGCCGTGATGGCGACCGCGATAAAGACAGAACTTCAGAGCGCGACCGAGATCGACCAAGGGAGCGTGATCGTGACCGTGATCGCAAGCGCTCTCGCCGTGATCGGTCCCCGTCTGCCATCGGCGGCGACCATCCCCCAGCCCGTCGTGTGAAACGTGCCGATGAGGACCGTAGTCGCGACACGAACGGAACCTCAACCAAGAGGGCCGAGATCAATAAAGACCCTTACACCCTTGAGCGTGAAGCGCGCAACAAGGAGCGTCTCGAGCGTGAGCAGCAGCACCGTGACAAGGCCAAGTCGTCTGGCCGCCGCCGTGATAGCCGGCAGGACCGTGTGGTGGCGGGCCGCCGCATCAACTACAAGTACGAAGATGAACTCTGAGCTTGGAGTTCGATTTTTTTTTCCCTTAAGTACAAAATCATGGGGCATGGCGTCAAGGGCTCAAGGTTGCTTTTTTACCTTCTTGTATGTTGTTTTTTCCCTTGAGCTGGTATGTGAACTTGCTCAACAGTAGATATGGGACTTGCGTAGGCTATTTGAAATGGCTTCTTAGGGATAGAGCCAATGGAACTCCGAGTGAGGGAAATGAATTCTTTACTCTAATCTCTACTTTGCTGCGATCATTCAAAGTAAAAGAGGAAAATACAATTATCTTCGCTAACATGGTCTATCACTAGTATATATCATGGTGTTACTCTCAATAGAATCACATGAGATTTAGGAGCAACACCTTCAAATCATCTAGTAGCATATTGCCAGCCCATGAATATATCATTAGCTTACAGTTAGTTACTCCGTACATGTGTTAACTCCGAGCCATAAAGCCAATCTACTGCCGTAGAGGAGTGTTCTAGCGGGCTAGCTGGCTTTTCACTGAACATCATATCCGAATTTTGATTTTAATGGGCAAATGTATTGACAATTCCGCTAAAAGAAACAAAAAAAAAAACCTATCCACACACTGCACCGCCTCATATACGTTGAACACCGCATGATTCCAATACGGAGCGTAATCTCCCAACAACGAATGTACCTAAATGATATTTGACCAACCTAGTAGTCTCCAGAGACCAAAATTAGGACGACATTATTCAGTTCAGCTTGCTCTTCAATGCCTCAATCTCGGCGGTCAGTGTTTGCATTTGCAGTGCCTGAGATGCAATCGTCTTTGTCTGTTCGGCGATCAGGTCTTTGATCAGCTCGATGTCGTTCTTGGGGACGGAAGTGGTGGGCGAAGGAGTCTCGCTAGCGGGTGATGGGACAATAGAGGACTAGGAAAGTTAGCAGCTGGCACAATTTGACAAATATAGATGGGGAGCGGGGAACTTACAACTAGGGTGGGTTGAGAGTTTGTCTCAGCCTGCTTTGTCTCGACTTGCTTTGCCTCAACTTGCTTTGTCTCAACCTCCTTCGGCCTCAACGGGCTGCTCACGCGGGGCGAAGCAGACTCGGCAGCGGCAGGGCGAGTGGGACGCTCCACCGGCTTGGCAACTTCCTCGAAGCTCGAGTTGTCATCGTCTGAGACAGTAGTCTCTTCTTCACCATCGGCGAACTTGTTCACCATGGCAGCCATTGAAGCACCCTGTTCCTTCATCGAAGGGGCGGGGCGCGCGGCGGGGGTAGGTTCAGAGACGGGCTTAGGAACTGCCGTCGAAGAAGTAGGCTTGGGCGTAGGCTCAGCAGTCTTGGGAGTCTCAGCGGCTTTGGGTGCCTCGGCAGGCTTAGGGGCGGGGGCATCCAGCGAGCCGGTCGGCTTTTCTTGCACTCCTGATACCTCCTTGATGCCCTCGCCATCGAATAGGCTGGCCATGGAGATCTTGGGAGGCAGTGCCTCCTTGCCGCCCAGCCATTCGGACGAAGACATGGCGGGGGACACACCGGCCGCAGGCGGGTAGATATCGTCCTGGAAGTTCTCGGACCGGCGAGGGACAATGAATGAGACAGGTTCGATGTATTGATCGTTGACGGTCTTGTAGGCGCGAGCGACTTCGTTCTCATGCATGTTCACGCCACGCTTGGGCATGAAAGCAACTCCTCGCTGGGGGTCAGCAGACTTGTGCTCAGAGAGGAACTCGAACTTGTCGTTCTCGAGCTCAAAGTATCGAATATTGCCGTCACTGCTTGTTGTCAGAAATTGCGAAGGCTTAAGGATTAGATCATGGACACTCACCCTCGTCCAGCCAAGAATAGCATGTTAGTTCCATCATCCCAGAAAGGCATGCACACGCCAGAAATGGAATCCAAGGTCTTGAAGCCATTGATGGGTTCCCGGATGGCACGGATATCCCAGAGCGCCAGTTGACGGTCGCTCATCTTGGAGAAACCGGTAGTCGCAATGCGATCACGCTCTCCCAGCCACACAACTCGGCTGTTCTTAGCACCGGTGTGGCCATTGGTCTCGTGAGCCGGTCGTTCCTGTCGTACATCCCAGATGCGGAGCTTCTTGTCACGCGAGGTAGTGACCAACAAAGAGCCGTTGGCACTCCACGACTGCGACTGCACAATATCGCCAATGTTGAGCGTGAGCTTCGCGGCGCCAGCTTCAATATCCCATATCTTCACGGTGTAGTCACCCGAGGCCGTGGCCAGCACATTTTCTGCCGCGGGGTTGAAGAGCACGTGGCCAATCTTCCTGCGGGGAGGGGTAAGCATGGGGCCATAACGGGTTTAGTCAAGGATTCGTACTTAGGATGGCCACTCAATTTGCCAATAGGCGCGAGATCCTGGATGTCATCGGCCTCAACCTCAGGCCGAACGGTGAAGTTCTCCGGAACCCGCCAGAGGAAAACCTGGAATTAGTTAGTCGCAACGCTGATAGCTGTTGTTTATTCGCACTATACCTTGCCGTCATCGGATCCCGAGGCAATCAGGTCGTCATTGAAAGGGTTCCTGCAGGGTTTCAGTGAGCTGCGACGCGGGGGTTCTATATCCGAATTCCTTACCAGTCAGTGTCCAAAACGACGGCAGTGTGGCCTCGACACAATGGGATGCGCTCCGGGAGCTTGCCCCGTTCCTCAAGAGGAATAATCGCAAAAGCTCCGCCACCGCCTGCTTCCCAATTGACCGCAATGTGTTTCGGGTTGACCTAGATGCGCCGTAAGACCGGGTTCGCCAGTGAAACGTCAGGGGTGATGCGGAAGGCAAAACACACACCTTGAGGAGGTTGGTATCCCAGGCGTTTCGGGAGACTCGAAGATTATCGTAGCATTGATCCTGCGAAAGTCAGAATAGGAGATCCGGTGGTATAGGAGGTAGCCTTTACCTTTCTCGTCGATCGCCCGAAGACGTGGCCTGTAACGGTCAGCGGGGAGGCGCATGTTGGATTATAGAGGTAACTCACGATATTTGGAGGAACGAACAAAACGCCCAGACATGATTACCAAGTGTTCGAACGAAGACGTAGAGCAAACAAAAAAGAAGTAGAGCAAGGAAAAGGAGTTGGTGAAGGAGATGTTGGAGAAGCTCAAGCAACGGGGCTACTGGGGCCGCTGTTTCGGGAATTCGAGTGGAGGTAAAGACGCCCCACGAATCAACTACTAATTTCGGAACAACCTCAAAAAGGAGTCAACAAAGAACAGGATTGGTCGTCTCTAGCCTCGGATAATCTATTCTTTTGTCTGTGCTTGTTTCATTTTGGACATTGAAGCCTTTGATCTTTGGTTTCCGGGTTGATCACGTGTTGATTTCAAATACTTCCTTGGTAATACGAATACGGGATAGCTGATGCTATTACCGGATATGGACTAGCGTCATACACATGTCTGAGTCAGCAAATCTTTGTTTACTTCGCATTTCGTCCCTCTAGAAACCGGTTTGCGCTCATTTGATACTCATACTTCCAAAGGTTACTGCCCAGACCATTTATTGGTATGTAACATAACTGCTGGCTTCATCCTAACTTCCGCTGACTTTAAGTCCAAGCGGCCAACACAGACAGTGGCTCGACGTGAGCTCCTCCTACTCGCCCGGATACTCTTTTCGCCGGTAACCTGGCGGTCAACAAATCCCAAGATGGACGGTGAAAACATAGTAAGTACCCCACTGTGGGTTTCAGTTTCATCAGAGTGCCTGCGGATATAACTGACCATCTTCAGACCAGAACCAGGTCGTCTACTCGGACACGGCTACCACAGGCCGGCCTACGTGAAGCCAGCTCTGCGACAACCAACTCGCGCTCTGGCATCATGGCGCCAGGTACAATCGCAAACAAGGCTATCAGCACGTCGCGTATGGAAGCCCCTGACTCGTTGGAGCAACATGAACTGACAGCACCGGAAGCAACCCGTCCGAAAACCGGAAACCCGGAAATCAAGAGACCTGGATCCGTCACTCGACAGCCTAGCACCACGACCAGGGCGCATAGCCGAGGAAACTCGTACTCGTCTTCAACGATGTCCCGGCCGATTGCACCTGCATCCCGCACAGCCAACGGCTCCTTTTCCTCAACCGTCGGCCCTGGCACGCGCCCAGCATCGGCCATGTCCCGGCATCAATCGTCCTTTATCGGCCGCAGACCCGTCGGCGCATCGATCCCCCGCGCAGCGAGCGCCTTGGATACCCATATGGAAGACGTCTCTCCCAGTGTGCTAGGAAAACGAAAGGGTATGCTACAATTTCTCTCATCTCCCAGCCGTATCCCTTCTTGCCCCGTTGGAACCGTTTCCCCCGGATTGGATGAAGGTTGGAATGGAATTAGTGAATTGGCAGCGCTCCCAGTGTCTGAGAACCCTGTCTCTTTGCCAAAGCCTTCCAATCTAGCAACTATCCCCGTGTTGCCCAGTACCCCATTTCGGAATGTCTCCACTGTTACCACCCCAAAGTCACCCGGATATGCGCATTCATTCTCGTCCTCTTCTTCTTATTTTACCGCTCCCACTGCACCCCCTAGAACACCATCATATTCCCAGCGGCGCATTGTCAAGAAGCCCTCCCACCCCGCATTTTTGACCAAAGGTTCTTCGATCAGAAGTTTTGACAATATCACAGGCCCGGAATGGGATCAAGCTTCTCGCGAAAAGAGTATGGAGGGATTGATGCAGACTTTTATGGCCCAGGTAAATCAACAAGGTCAAGCAAGCTCCGGTCTCAAGGAGACACTTGAGATCTACAAGTCCAGAAGTAAGTTGAGTCTGATAAGGGCTATGTTGAGACGAATCTAATCCTTTCATCTAGTCAACGAGCTCGAAGCCTCTCGGGATGAATTGAAAGAACTCAATATTACCCAGCGGGTGGAGTTAGATTCGCTGCGAAATCATCTAAGTACGGCAGAACAGGCGCGTAAAGAGGACAAGCGAGAGCATGAAATCGCTATGGATGATCTTTACCAGCGCCAGCGTATTGAATTGGATTCACTCCAGCAACAAAGCAGAAGAGAAGTCGCCACAATCACTGACCGACATCAAGAGGAGGTTCGCGATCTGAAACGACGGTTTGACCGTGAGATTGAAGACGAGAAAGCAGCACGAGTAAGCGCGCTCGGCAAGCTGACTTCCCAATCTGCGCTTGACATTCAGAAGTCGCAAATTGAGCTAGAAAGGAAGGACCGCGAAATCACAACATTGAAGGATGGGCTACATGCCCTGAAGGCAGAGGTCGACCGCGAACGAAGGATGGTGCAAGAACTCAAACTCAACTTGGATACCACAAGTAGCAACAGTGTTACGCTAGAGTCATCAATACGTGCTCTCAAGGCACGCATCGAGTTCCTTGAAAGTGGACGGGAGGAGCAGTCTAAATCCTTTGAGCGGTGCAATCGGGAGATGATGGATGCATTTGCCGAGACAGAGGCGATAAAAGAGAAGCTGCGCAGGGAAGAGACACTTCGACGCAAACTTCATAACCAGGTGCAAGAGCTCAAAGGCAACATCCGCGTGTTCTGCCGAGTTCGCCCCTCGCTTAAGAGTGAACCTACTTCCGATCTCACTCTTATGCAGTATCCAGATGAAACTGATGATGGAAAGGAGATTAATATTCTTGGTCCCGAAGAGAGGACCAGCCTTGGAACAGTTACCAGGAAGAACAACACTTTCTCGTTTGATCGTGTATTCAATCCATCTACACAGAACGCCGAGGTCTTTGATGAGATTAGCCAGCTTGTTCAGAGCGCCCTGGATGGCTACAATGTTTGCATTTTCTGTTATGGCCAAACTGGTAGTGGCAAGACACACACAATGTCATCGGCCGACGGCATGATCCCTCGTGCTGTTCACCAGATTTACGAGACCGCGCAAGGTCTGGAAGAGAAGGGTTGGCGGTACTCAATGGCAGGCAACTTTGTCGAAGTCTACAACGAAAACCTCAATGATCTGTTGGGCAACCCAGATGAATTGGACAAGAAGAAGCACGAGATTCGCCATGACATGCAGCGGGGCAAAACTACTATCACCGACATTACAACAGTCAATTTGGACTCCCCCGAGATGGTCGAGTCTATTCTTAAGAATGCGGATGCCAACCGCTCGGTAGCAGCGACCAAGGCCAACGAGCGCTCATCGCGGTCCCACTCTGTCTTCATTCTCAAGCTTACCGGCCAGAACCACATCACCGGCGAACGTAGCGAAGGCACCCTAAACCTGGTTGACTTGGCAGGAAGTGAACGTCTGAGTCACAGTGGGGCGACGGGCGAGCGTCTGAAAGAGACTCAAAACATCAACCGTAGTCTCAGCTCTCTGGGCGATGTGATTTCAGCTCTCGGCCAAGGCAAAGAGGGAGGTCACATCCCATACCGGAACAGCAAGGTATGTTTTTTTCAACATTTATTTCTTCGCCAGATACTAACTTATCCTCCAGCTCACCTACTTGCTCCAGTTCTCCTTGGGTGGAAACTCCAAAACCCTCATGTTCGTTATGGTCAGCCCTCTCCAGGCTCATATGTCGGAGACCTTGACCAGCTTGAAGTTCGCCACGAAAGTGCACAACACCCACATTGGCACCGCAAAGCGACAGGCGCGTGTTCGTGACACCTGATTATGATGATACCTTTTTTCCTTCCGTGAATATATTTTGTTGGTTTTTTCTATGGGGTAGGGGTCTTTGACGATCCTGTCCTCTACCCTATGGTCTTGGTCGGGTTTTTGATGTTTTTTCTCCTTTACCAAAGCCCTTGGAGATATTCAGTTCCGCCTTAGCGTGTGATTTACTGTATGGACAATGATACATTTGGTTTAATCAATGCACATTAGCAGGCTCGCAACATTTTATCTGTTTGGTTTACATTCTGAGAGATATGCTGGTCTTGCTTGCAATGAATTTACGGATATCCAATATGGTCTGTTCCCTTTTCTCAATCCAGGGGAAATGGCCACATTCACTGTAGGTAATCAGTCGGGCGCTTGGAATATCCTTTGCTGTCCGTTCCCCTATCCCTATTCCACAGATCATATCATCGCGGCCGAATATGATGAGTGTTTCTGCCTGTACATCCCTCAGTCTCTCCACCATTTGCATTGGATGCAGCAATTTCTTATCACATCGACCCTGGGCTTGGTGGCACCAACCCGACAGCTTCCGATCGCCAATATCACGCAGTAGCTCTGGTACATACTGCTTCGGATCAAAGAAGCACAAGGGCCACATGCCTCTCACCGACGCTGTAAATTCCTCGTCAGATTCGGTATGCCGATCCGGCACACTGTCCCAAGCAACCTGGTATCGAGGATCTATGCGCGTCGCTTCGAGCTGCAACAATCTCTTATCCCGAAATCCTACTAGCTGATGATCGAGGAGAACGAGCTTGCTGACACGACTGGGATACATCTCCGCATACCCTAGCGCAATTGCCCCGCCGTTGGAGTGGCCCAGTAAAACCGGATATTGCTCGAGATGCAGGTGCTGCCGCAAGTCCTCCAAATCGGACGCAAGATCGGGCATACTGCTCATTTGGGATGCTAGTGGTTGGGATGATCCATCCGTTCCACGAGAATGGAAGAAGATGACAGTATAGCCACTAGTAACTGCAGGACTGGTATGGCCTTCTGGGGTCCACAACCCTTGCAATCCATTTTGAAGATATTGAGATCCTAAGCCCCAGCCAGGGCATTGAACAACAATGATATTACGTGGATCTTCCTTTTCGGTGAATGGACGACGGACCACATATTCAAATATCAACTCTTTTGCCGGAACACTAAAGGTGTGGATTCCTGGGTCGAGTACTTCCGACATTTGGAAAGAGTCAGATGTAGTATCTAGCTATGGTAGGTCGAATATACAATCGAAACCAACTTTTATTTCGTGCAGCAACAAACTGTGACGTCATTCGGAATAGCACGACTACATAACGTTGTAAAGGCAGAAGTAAACTGGAATCAATTTCCACTCAAAGTTGACCAAAGTATCTGTCCGCCTTTTGCTTTACTTGTTGAGCCTTCTCTTGAATAGCAGTGGCGTCCAAAGTCCCCTCTTCACAGATATACGCTTCTATGAGTTCAGCCGGAACCCATTCGAAGTAAATATTCTTAACTTCAACTGTGTAGTTTGTGTTATCTCGATCAGCATCAATTCCCTCAGCAATAGCATTAAGTCCTTTGATGCCATATTCCACCCAGCAGCCCACCAGCTCTTTTGGATCATTCTCTTCCTGGCTCCGATTGCTCTCGGCGTCAGGCTCGGCCACTTTCTCCAGCTCACTGAGAACCAAGACTTTGGCGGCAGGACAGACATGCTTGGCACTCAGAACAGCTGGCAAAGATCCAGTTTTATTGCTCACTGAGCCTGAATCCGAGATCCGATCTGCCCCTAGCAGGATGAAATCTACGTCCTTGCTGGCAAGAGCGGCGGATGCATCGGTGTACACAGTTAATTTGAGATGCCGATCGGAAGATGAGGGAAATCTTGTTTTGAAGGCAGAGAGGATGGAAGATGCCATATTGACACCCTCGCAAAGCGGACGAGATTCCAGTATGCGAAGATCCAGATTAGGAATTGGAAGAGACGCGAAGGCTTCTATGATGCTGTCCCGGATGGTAGAGCTCGACGAGAGGGTGAGAATAACGAGAGAGGGCGTAGGCCTGGAGCGTGTTGTAGACAAGAACTTGGATTCAAGATAGGTCGCAAAGGAGTGCTTGATGCGCATGGGCATCTCCTTGCGCTTGTCCAAATGCTGGTCGATCAAAGCCAACAAGCGTTCCCGTTTGACCGTGGAGTCGAGATTCTCATGTATGATAACTTCCATGTCGGCCAGCAATCCGAGAAATGCATTCAAGGTGGCTGCCCCCATGCTTTCTCGTCCATTTTTCCACAGATGCCATGCAGCCATGCGAGCATTCTCCCACCACTGCGTGTCAATATCCTCGTGCATCTGCGCAATAACATCTCGGTAGGCCCGCAGCGCAATCGAGGTCAGCTCGTGCGATCCGCTCTGATGATCTGCCTTTAGCTGTTTCAGGCCAGTTATCAGTGCCTTGCTAGCGCCATCATTCATGTCAACTTCGAACCAGACTCGTCGAAAGCTTTCTTTCAGATGTGGTACGCCACCAAACTTGTCATCGTCTTGGATTGCGTCGGGACTATACCACTGCCAGCCTTCATGCTCCCAGTCAATTTGAAGACCCGCCTCGCCGCGGCCACCTTCACTGCAGTCTTTGAGTCGGTATAGGAACGGGAAAATGGTCCATTGTCGACCGACAGAGGGATCACTGAATGTGAATGCCTTTCCCTGTCGCCAAAGCTCCATATCTCGTGAGGTGAGAGTAGTCTCCTCTCTCAGCTCCCGCCATGCTGCTGCTAGTGGACTTTCGGGACTTTCTATACTGCCCGAGATGGGAGCGAGGTGGTGCCTAGAGAAATCAGTTCATCTGGACTACAGTAATTTATAGTAAAGCGGGACTTGAGGATACATACTGATATGTGCTGACTTTATCACTTCGCCGAAAAATGGCAATTTTGGGTTCTCCTGCATTTGAGCAGATGAAAGAGGATACCACTGATCTTGGCTTCAAGGACTTCATCTTGCTGTTCGGGTGTAGGATGTTGAAGTATCAGATGTTTGAGATATAAGTTTTTTAAGGTATTAGATCTGCGGAAGAAAGGTTGATAAAGATAAGCTCAAAGCTTCGCCCCGGATATCAACGCCGTCATCGTCACATCATCACTTTAGTAGACAATTCTATTATTATTTTGACAGCTCACTAGGATAAACAGCTTTGTCAAATTTTTGATGGGCTGTTCTAGATGTCTTCTCTCCCGTTTTAAGTTTTCTAAGCTCATCACCATCATCATGCCAGAAATCAGATGGTGTGACCTCCAAAGCTAGTGACGTCATCGTGAAATATCACACGAATATCGGAGTGATCCAAAGCTTCAACATGCCTACTCTCACAGGATCTTGTATTTGCCGGGATATCGAGTATGAGCTGAAGCTCAATTCGATTGATGATGCGAGAACATCTCTCTGCCATTGCCGTAACTGCAAGGTATACACTTTGAATTGAACGGGGATATCATTTTACCGAAGCTGAAATCATTGAACAGAAAGCTTTTGGGACTAACTATGGCCTGACAGCTAAAGTCCCAAAGGATACATTCAATCTTACTAAAGGGGTACCAAAGGAGCATGTCGCAGATAACGGATCTGGAGCTCTTATTCATCGAGAATTTTGTCAAAATTGCGGTAGCTTCATCCTGGAATATGGGGTATGTCAGCATTATACAATGGGTACAGATGTTTTCTAACAAATGGAATCAGGATGCTGCCAAAACCTATTTTCGCTACATCTGTGTCGGATCCTTGGACGACCCAGAAGCATTACCCCCAAAGGGGGAATTCTTCTGCAAGGTTCGGGCGAGCTGGATGCCGGAGATTCCGAGTGAGTTCAATATGCTAATATCCTGGCTTTTTCTTATATCTGACAAATATACCTAGATGTATTCCACAAGCAGATGATAAAGGAGTAATGAGTTACAAATGAATGAATGTTGCTCAGTTTGTCCAATATGTAGTATATCATATACCATCCACTGTCACGCTTTTCAGAACAATGTCCGGGGCCAGCAATTTCTCTCGAATGGAGATCGCATTCAAGAAGTCATTGCTATCCACCCGGCGATATCCATCCTCCAGCGTCTTCTCAATACCTGCCCGTAGGTGTCGCTCAGCCAATCGGCACCTTGCTTCTAGCGGATCAGAGTCGACGAAGACGCGATAGTCGACAAGCTCAGCAAGCTCCCGCCAGCCGGGATCATCGAGAAGTAGATAGTTTCCCTCGATGATAATGATATCTACATCCGGCGTGATAGAAATCCCATTCTCCACAGGGTCTTTCGCTTCGTGATCGAATGTCGGTGCGCGAATGACATCCGCTGACGACCAGGTTCCAGAATATGGAGCTGCTAGCGGTTTCTCGTCGGCCCAAGTTCGCAGGCGAGAGATAAAGGCTACAAAGCGGCTCACGTCGAACGTCCATGGAGCTCCACGACGGATATGTGCCTCTTTGGGGTTCGGCAGCTGATCCAAAGCTGCCCGAGAAAGGTGAAAGCCATCCATAGAGAGTAGGACAGCACGCGAAGTCGAACTCTGATTCAACTGTTGCACTACTGCCTCGGCTGTGGTTGTCTTCCCTGAACCGGGGATGCCGGCGATGGCAACTAGGTAGCGTGATTTGGGATGAGCGTTGGCCTGGTTCCGGATAGCATCCGCTAGTCGCCGGTACTCCGATTCCATCTGTGTGCTGAGGTTAGATTGGCCACGTTGAGGGTCTATATAGGATTTCACCTCGAATCAATCACACATGGATATAACGTATAGTGACGCAAACTGCCTCAACCACGGCTGGTGACAATCAACGACTCATACTGCATAAAAAGCAAAGAGCAATTCAGCAGCTATCCGGGTATTCCTCGAAGGGTCTAAGAAAAGTGCAGGCCCAAGTTATGTGGAAGTTGGTGGAGCGGGTATCGGGTCACAGTGTTCCGAACACAGCTCTGGGTGTTGCGCTGTTGTGCCGACTCGGCGTTCGTCGCAAGTTTTATTGTGGGGTAAGTCAAATAAAAAGGTGGGGGAGATTGGAGGTGCTGATGGTTCATTTAGACGACTTTGATGCCAAATCTTTCATTTTCCGACGTTACACCCAGCTTGCACTCTATGAGATTCAAAAGAACCTCGTTTAATTCTGTTGAAATGAGACTGGAATATAACCTGAGCCTTAGAATGTGTATCTCAAAAGAAGAATAAATGGTAGAAATGCAAAAATACTTAAGTACATATAGGACTTTGATAGCCTCGAAACGTTAGGCCTACAACCACCTATCATCCATATAAATACTCGGAAAAGAGAATAAGAGCAAGAGAACAATAGTTACAGTCACGCTGTCGTGTCCTTGATCAACCCGGAACTCGTTTCCACTTCACTGAAAGTTGCCTTCCGAATATTTTTCTGTTTCCTCCGTTTCGGGTCCACATAGAAGCACAAGAGCTGCTGTGACCAACAATGAGAGCACTGAGGTCGTGTATGATCACAGGTAGTATGTTGTTCACGACAGGCCTTACAGTCCCCATGATTCAGCTGGTATGGCTTTTGCAAATCTGGGGAAGCACCTTCGAATGCCGTACCCCGCCATCCAGACCATAGCCACTGGGAGACGCGACCGCAAAGTCCACTCTCCATCTGCTCGTATGTAGGCATATCACGAGGGATCTGTTCTCTGTAGTACTGTCAGCCTTCATCCAACCTTTGAATAACCATGAGAGCTCTAACCGGTGTTCATGTTCTCCTTTTACTAAAACGTTCATTGCGAATTTTGCTCATGCCAAAGTGGAGGTGAGGTAGAAAGAAAAACTGGAATACGAGAGATGTATCCAAGGCAAAGCATATGCCCCGTTCAGGCACTCGGGCCTCCTGCAGCAGCAAATAAGCAATCACCGCACTTCGGACGTCATATCAGGCAGCTGCAGATCCAAGTCATGGGGTCGAGGGAAGCTAGCATGTCCTTAGGGATTACTTTAAGACATATTTATCCGATCACGTTATCTCAACCAGAGTAAATGTTCGGAGTTGTACAGTTCGGAATCACGTTCCACGGGACGCTGGGATTACTATATAGAACCCTCGAAACGTCATGATAACTTCAGTGAACCAGAAAAAATGCGGCTAACAAAAAGGCAACGTTAAGATGAACTCAAGGTTGTTCACTATATCAGCCAACATGGTTCGGATAAGCGACGTGATCAAAGATGATCACCGGAAACTCGAATCTTATTACAATATCATTGTCAACTCTGAAGATCAAGATGAACAAACCCGATATCAGAACCAGTTCACCTGGGAGCTTGCACGACACGCCGTCGCCGAGGAGCTGGTAGTGTTCCCTGCACTGGAAAAGCTTCGAGCTGGCAAGGAGCAGCTAGATGATGATCGGCGTGAGCATAAAGCGGTAAGTGTTGATATCCTTCATGGAGAGCGATGCTGATATGACATAGCTCAAAGAAATGCTCAACGTTTTCCAGGATCTAAACTCCTCCGATCCGCGCTTCTTCCCTACAATTACATTGTTGATGGAAGGTCTTGCCCAGCATATGAAAGACGAAGAGGCCAATGATCTGGCCATATTAGAGGAGTCCCTCACTTCCGACGAGAGCGAGAAGTTGGCTGAATCTCTGAGCCGCACTAAGATTTTTGTGCCCTCTCGCTCGCATCCACATGATCTGGACAACCCACGCTATGAGACTGCAGTCGACCTGCTCACAGCTCCCCTGGATCATCTCCAGGATCTATTCCGAAGGTGGCCGGATGAAGAAAGCACTCTGACCGCGCCAATGGAGTAGAAGAAAAGAACAAGAGTTATAGAACATAGATATTTCATTTCTTTTGCCTTACTTGCCCTACGAAGAAGCTTGTTTAAAGCCTGCAGAATATGCTAATGCGTGAACGTAATTCAATTTCTATCCTAGATGATGTCTCTCCACCTAGTCATCCTCGCTTTCACTATTATCGTGATACTCAGGTGCAGCTCTGGAAAAATATTGTCAGTAATCGACTTGGTATTGTACGTGAGTATCACTTACTTTTCCACGCCAACTAGACCACTCGAGTCTGTACTCTGGTCCGGAACCTCATCACGGTAATGTCGAGGTGTGTCCCCGTCAAGCTCATCATTGAGTAGGTCTAATGCATTATCCTTGGACTTTCTGGATACTTTAGGATTATTAAGAGCACTGGAAAGTATTAATAATCGCTATATAAAATCAGAACATCCAAGCTTACGCTGAATAGCCTCGTCTCGCGTTCACTTCTTCTTCGATAGATAAATTGACATCTTTGGCTTCCCCCAAGCTTGACATCATGGACTTAGGTATCTGAACCTACAAAGATAAAATCAGGATTCTGATAAGATCATTGAAATATCGGAGGCCATAGCGGCAGAAAAGCCCGGGTTAACAACGTCACATCGTCATCACAGCTGGGCAATAGGTACTAAAAGTATCGGAAATGCCCCGAGCGCATAGTTCCGACCACCAATAATATCTGCAACCCTATCTCGAGATTATAGGAATTTGCTCCCATGGAAAAGTCTTGAAGACGATAAGGGCATGTTCATCACTCCATAAAGGACCTTGATATATATAGCGGGTCCGGGGAATCCGAGTATACGACGATGTAAAACCACGAAAACAGTCAAGAACTCAAAGAATACGATTTGAACAAATCTTGGAAGAGTCGGACAGCAACCTGTCAATCGCGATAAGCATTCCACCTTCAAGAAAGGGCCAACATTGGTGGATGAGAAATGCCAGCACATCACCCGTCACATATATATATCGGTCAACCATGGCGGCCTGATTAGGGATCTAGACTCGGCTGCGAGAAGAAAGATTTAATCTGCACTGAAATAAGGCTTTTTAATATAACACATGACTGCATTATCGTGGGGTTGTAACAATTAAACTATGCTGTGTTTCTGTACCTTTTGTATAGGATTGCCACACAAAAGATACCTAATCTATAATTTGCTATCCACCAATACGGGGTATAACATTGTAGGAGTTGGGGGATTGCCACGATCATCACCGTCTATTCCTAGAATATATACCCCAGCATAGACGATGGTAGATAATTCCCCGATTTGCTTTGTTGCCGACATTCCTCGGGTTCGGGAATGTGACGTCTCTTCAATGTTTAATATTATGTGGCTTATTGAAATTAGCACCAGGACAAGGATATATTCTGATTAGCTGAACAAAGACAAACAAAGGACAGTCTAGACTTACAAGAGAACCTACACATAAGCGCCCAACGGCAGCCAAGTGGATATGTAGATCGAAAGAGGCAAGGTGGAGAGCCGGCAACTCCGATCATAACATCGCACATTTTGATCCTGATTCTGACGTGGAATGTGCCGATGAAGGAATGAGGCGAGATCGCGATGTGAATTACTCTCTAGATACTTTTCTTTGTCGACTCTTTTTATTCTCCTCTTCAAATGCAAAGATTCTCCTGTTTCACCGCTTGTTTTGGGTTGCCCCTTGGTGGACTCTAGTGGTTTCAGATTGAGAAAAAGTGACTCCTAACCGCTGTGACAGCGACCAGTCGATCCCCTTTATGTTGTTCGGCCTATTAGTCTGAAGAATGGATCATCATGAGTGGACTGGCCTCCTGGACTAGAGCGCCACGGGGTTTGTTGACTCCGGAGTTGCAGCCTATTACAGAAGGTCTCAGGCACTGGCGCATTGTCACTGGATAGACAAGATTGATCTCCAGTTTTTTAGCATAAAGCAATATGGGCGTGTGCGGCTGGTGAAAGGTATTTGGGCCAAATACTTCCCACTTTTGCTGCGTTGTACGTTGGACACGCTCACATTCTTTTCTCCTTGACAATCTTTGACAATCTGGAATTGTCGGTCTTTCTTTTAGTCTCTCTTTTTATCAAACTCACTCTCGCTCATTTTATTCTCGTTGCTTTCTGGTTTATCTCAAGCATCTGGTCTTGTTATACGCCTCCAACATGGTTTCTTCAACCCTTTCATTGAGCGCTGGATCGCTGATGCTCGCTTTGTTATCTTCCCCCGTGGCCGCCACGAGTTACTCCCTGGTGGAGACTTGGCAGGGGAACAATTTCCTGGACTATTTCAATTTTCACGTTGGTTCAGACCCGACCAATGGCTTCGTCAACTACCTCGACAAGGAGACCGCCGAAAGTTCAGGGCTCGTCAAGGTCACCGATACCGGCAGTGTATATCTCGGTGTCGATCATGCTACCAAGCTGAACCCCAACGGCAACACGGGCCGTGACTCAGTACGTATTGGCAGCAAGAAATACTACGACCAGTCGCTGGTTATCGCCGATATCGCCCACATGCCTGGTAGCGTCTGCGGTACCTGGCCTGCCTTTTGGTCTGTCGGAAAGAACTGGCCTGCAGACGGTGAGATTGATATCATCGAAGGTGTCAACTTGCAGGATTACAACGAAATCGTCATGCACACAGCCGGCACTTGCAGTTTGACAGATACGGATATGACCGGTTCGGTCAATGCTACAGGGTGTGGTGAGGATATAGGAACCATCGGTTGTAAGGTCGAGGGTCAGGAGGGCAGCTATGGCACATCTTTCAACAAACAAAACGGTGGTGTCTACTCACTGCAGTGGACCGACGATTTCCTCAAGATTTGGTACTTCCCTCGCAGCTCGATCCCGGCCTCAATTACTAGCGGCAACCCCGATGTAACGGAATTTGGCACTCCTATGGCCGTGGTACAGGAGTCGTGCGACGTTGCCAACTCCTTCAAGGCCCAGTCGTTTGTATTTGATGTCACCTTCTGCGGAGACTGGGCAGGTGGTGTGTTTGGTAGTTCCGGCTGCCCCGTGACCGATAGCGATTCCTTCCAGAGCTGCCACAACTACGTCGCCAACAACCCGGCCAAGTTCAAGGAGACGTACTGGGAGATTAACTCGGTCAAGATCTATCAGACTGGAGTTGCCTCGATTTCGTCATCCGAGTCCGCGTCGGCTACCACTGCCGCTACTTCTGTAGTCTCGCAGACAACTACTGAGACCCACACTACTCACAGTGCCACCACTGTGCACTCAGTTGCTTCCAAGGAAACTCAAACCGCTGGCGCAGTTCAGGAACTGACTTCTACTTCGGTTCCTACTGTCGCAGCTACTACCGAAAGCATTGCCACCGAAGCAGTCGCGCAACCTTCCACCAGCACTACTAGCACCAGCACTACGACCAGCATCGCCAGCAAGAAGACCCGGACTATCACCTCTATAGTCACTGCAACTGCGACCTTCTGCCCCGAGGCTGAGGAGTCCTCATCTATTGCCGCACAGTCCTCTGTTGCGACAACTGTCTCCGCTCCGGCTGTGCAATCCGTCCAAATCCCAGCCACCGCCCAAGCTACGGAGGCACGGACCTCTGCAGCTGCCGTGGTCCCTCCCTCCAGTGTCGCATACGTCCCAACTGCTCAGAGCCACACCAACTCGAAGCCTGCAGCTGTTCCTGTCGCTGCTACGTCCGTTGCAACCCTCCCCACCGAGACCTTCGGTGGATCATGGGCGTCTTCTACTATTTCTTCTGCGGTTCCTTCTTTGGTTCCTTCTGCCATTGTTTCTAGCGTTCCATATGAGGCCTCCAAAGCCTCCAAAGCACAGAGCTCTGCCACTACCGCTGCTTCTCCGGAGACGACTACATCCGCTACAACTGGCTACTATGTTCCCACCGGGTCTGAGTCTGGAGCTAGCCCGGTCTTCACCGGTGCTGGCTATCAGTTGTCCATGAGCATCCCAGCTCTCTTTGTCGGACTAATTGTTGCGTTTTTGGCTTAAATACTTGTTCTAGATCGCGTTTGAAACTGGTCCAAATTTGGCAGATTTCATCTTTTTCATTGTACAGTACAGCAGGCCCTATAGATGTCCGTATCCTGCTTGGTTTTGTTTCGATTCAGTCTGTATTCAGTCTGTGTTTTGCCTCCGAGGCCGTCGTCTTGCCTTTTCTTGCACATTGCATACAAAAGGAAGCATAAGTAGTTAATGAAGAATTGATTCCTCGAACTATTAGTGATCCAACAATATATACAGACACCCTTTAGCCCAAATTTAAACATTTCACTCCCTAGACTGTCCACCTCGCCAACCAATCTTGAGCATAGCATCTCAGAATTCCATCATCAATAATTCTCAGTCGGCCATTCCGCAAAGTCACACTACTCCTCTCTGCTTTGTCCGTAATAAACCTCTTGAGACTGTTCTGTATGAAAGAATTCTTCCCATGCATCGTCTCGTAATGATGAATGAGCTTGACCGCCGGATTGACAAGTTCCTCACCTTTTGTCTCACTCCGACGAAGTCTCAGCAACCACTCTTCAAAAGGCACGGCATCAAACCGGAACCCAGAATCCTTCAGCGTATGAAGCAAAGATGACCAGGTGAATTCGCGAGAATTACACAGATTGAAAATCGAGTCATCAACGTACTCCAAAGCCGAGCTGGACGCATGACTTTCCCCAAACTCACTCGGCGTAGCACAAGTCCTAGCTAGTTCAAGAATACTGGACGCAAGCTTATCCACCGGCAACCAAGAACATGGCTGAGATAGCTCAGGCAATGCGCCCAGTGTCAGCGCCGACCGGATCATCAGCGGCAGGGCTTCGGAGTCATTCCACAAGCCCTTCTTCGAGTGGCCTGAGACCTGGCCAATCCGGAGTGAATAAGCCCTCGCCCCACTCCGCCGCGCGTTACTCACAATCCGCTCCCCAACCAATTTGGACTGCCCGTAACCCATAAAGGCGCAATCCAAATCGACTGGTTCTTCGGGGATTTCGGCTGCTCGGGAACCGAGCGCGGTGGAGACTGACGAGCAGAACATCATGACGGCAGGCTCGCGTCTCTGCACCGACAGGGAGAATTGGATCAGATTGTATAGTCCCTGGATGTGCGGCTCGAACTCGGTCAGTGGGAGATTGAAGTTGACGGGCCATGCCGTGTGGATAATGAGCGAGACTGAATCCAGCATGTGGTTGATTGTACTTTCGTCCAGAGATAAACCGAAATCGGGTTGGTCAATGCGGCTATCGAAGGCGACGATCTTCATTCTCTGTTCTGGGGATATGAGAAGATCTTTGTCGGTTAGAGTGCAGAGTATTGCTTCCAGTGGCGATTCTCGCCGTGTGAGACAGTACACCGTCGAGATGGAGTCGTCATTAAGCAGCTCGTACAACACGTGGGCTCCAATCGACCCTGTGGCTCCTGTTAAAAGCTTGGCTATGTTAGCTTCTGAACCTGATTCGTGACAGCAAGATAGGATAAACACTCACTACACTGTTCGGACCTGAACAATCATGTAGTTCGGGAATGTGCCTCTCAAACACAGAATATTTCTCGATCAATTCAGTCATCGCCGAGACATCACTCCCGACCTGTTCGAATATCTCGCCGTTTTGTAAAGCACAGATATGCCGAGCCAACTGTGATATACAGCCCGTTTCAAATATGACGTTCGGACCAGGAGGCTGGCTTACCTCAAACTTGAAATGCTGAAGAATGAGACGTCGGAAGTGGATTGCCTTGAGACTGTCAACGCCTTCAGAGAAGAAATTGGCGTCGACACCAGAGAGGGCTATCCCAAGTTCGTGCTCGGCTAGTTGAACCAGGATGCGCCCTGTCTCCACAACGTCAAGCTGAAGATTCCCGTACATCTGTTTCCCTTCGGTATAGAGGCCTTCGATAAGTTCGCTGTATTCCTGATAGACCTGTGCTCGGATCATGGACCCTTTGTCTGTTCGAGAAAACTTGGCGCCATGTGGCAATATAGCAACCAGATTGCGGGAGATTTGGGAGAAGGCCTCTGCCTGGGAGTTGGCTTCTTGGATTGTCGGCCAGATTGCACTGAGGTATTCTTCGTCTGAGAGACGATTGGCTTCAGGTTCGTCCGCTCGAAAAATCAATAGTCCCGGAGCAGCTTTTCCTACCCCGACGACAACTGCATCATGGATGAAAGGGTGTTGTTTGATGTGGCCTTCAATCGGGAGTGGTAAAACCTTCTCGCCATTCACTAGATTGATTCGATCATCCAATCGTGAGATGTACTTCCACCTTCCGGCAATTGTAGGATGAGGGGTGAAGACGTCTTTCGAATGGAAGGATCCTGGCGGCTCGTTTGAATTCGAGGTTGTCAACGCTGGATGACCAGCAAGATAAACGCACTCGAAGAGCAGATCTGATTCGGAGATGGGCTTCATCCAGACATATGATCGGATATTGTCGAAGAATTTCAGATAGTTCCAATAAGGGTCACCTTTCGGTCGTGAGATTGATTCTGCCACAAGGCCAGCTTCGGTGCTGCAGATTGTTAGTCTTTGCATGGCTGTAGATACTCGCAGAATAGTACTTACAGGCCGAATGAACCTCCAAAGTGTACTCCTTCGCTTACTAGGCGATCCCCCAGCTCGTCCGGACAGGGTGCACCTCCGTACGTAATCAACTTGCATTGCCTTAGCGCTGTTATACCACGGGGATCATCAATCAAAATTTGGAGCATATATGGAACCGCTGCTACAGACTCCGGTCTGGCCTCTTCGAGGGCCCTGGCCACGAGTTCTGCAGTCAAAGGCAGCGCAGCGTTCCACATATAGGCTGTCTTTCTCATCCACATTGCCTGCAATGCAGTGGATAGGCCATGGAGGTGATACCATGGCAGGGTATTGAAAGAAGTAAAACCAGGACCTCGCAGAGGATGAGTCATGATTGCTTTGTGTGTGAGGAAGAGCGGCTTTGGGGTGCCTGTTGATCCCGATGAATGAAGGATCAAGGCGACCTTTTCAGGATTTCGATTGCGACGCAGACGCAGAACATGCGATGACGATTGTAATTTGTTGTATGAAGAGCATGAGAGCATTGGGCGGCAGCTCACTAGCCTCCGGCAAAGGATCTCGCCCAATGTTGAGCGGATATTGGGGGATTGGCCATATATGATTGACTCGCAATTGACCGTTTCTAGCAATGACACGCAGGCTTCGCCCGAAAGTCTCGGTGAGAGCATCATGACAGTATAACCCAGTCGACTTAGGGCGAAAAAGGTGATCACCATGTTCAAGTCGGACAATGTAAGAAGTGCCACGATGGATGGACTCCGCGTTGCCTAGCGATTAATTTGTTAGAGATGACATCACGCAGCGCAAGTTATTACCAACCTGTTTGAATCCATCATCGATGAGCATGATGACAGCTTGGTTTATCATAGCATCCAAGTGTTTCCCAGTGTAGTATTCATAGGAAGCTGCATCGTTGTCGAAACGGGGATAGGCAAGAATGGGAGATTGAACAGAATCAGCAGCTCGCAAGCGAATCAAGTCGTCGAGAACTTGAAGCGATCCAAACTCTTGCACCAACGGGTTGATAGTGCCGGAGGGGCCAGCCTGTGCTGCCGGACTCCCACGTTGGATACCCATTATGAGTACAGAATGATTCTAGAATGAGAGGAAGGGTATCACAGCAGCTTGGTATTCGAGTGCAATATTGAGGGCCAACCCGTATTTAAGGGACGGGTGCTCCTATAGACCGCTTCAATGATCCATGTTTCCAAATGAGCCTATACTGACTGCATTCGGGATGTCCGGGAAAAGAAGTCCTTCTGCATCGGGAGAAGGATATACACATCACAGGGATCGGCCTAGTAGCAAACAAAGGACCCGATACTATGCTGTGATGACTATGCAGATTCCAACAAAAGTCATCAAGGCGCATATTGAATAGTTCGGATTTGAGGGAATAATATCTCAGGGATAGTCATATGCATACACTCCATGTACAGCAGCACAATTTCAATGCACGAGGACTGGATCGCCGAGGGACTCGTTTGTGTCACTAGCAAACGCTCAGCTTGGAACCAGAGATTTCATTCGCCGAGGATCCAACAGTGGCGTTCCGTTAACGTCGAGATTGGTCTACTACATCTACTGTGGCTCAGGCTACTGACTAGCTACCTTGCTAGTGGCCAGATTCCAACTTTTGGGAATTATTCCTTTGTCTAGCTTTAACCAAGTGCATACATTCTGCATTTCCCTCCATATTCGGAGTGGAATTTCAATCGCAACCAGCGGCAATTGTTACACCGCAGAGCTGCCCGGGACACATCCGCCTCAGTTGGGATTAAAATGCCGTTGGGATAGCCCCAAAAGGCTTTCTACTAGACGCCGGAAAAAAAAGGAACCTGTGTGATAGAGCTTCAATGTGATAATGAGTTGCAACATACCTAAACGCATAAAATTAGGTCTAGATCTGCGCTGGGACTCTGAAACCTAGTGTGCCAATCAGTGTAACCGAGCTCGGCGGTGAACGTTGGCCTTCAGTCTGGAACAATTTGGGTCTCATAAGTAAAGGCTACACAAAGCGCTGTGCTCGGATATGCCCCGATGAAGTGTTTGCTCTGTTTTCATTGGCCATCATATATATCCCAAAGTTGTTGAACAGGTTTATCGTAACGTACAACAGTCTTACTCTTCCACCAGTGCTAAATCGGACTAAGACCATTCTAGACAGCGAACGAGTAAAGGGCCGGGCTCAGCGATGTCTCACCTGAAAGCGTATATTGTAGGGGACGTCTCCTTTCACCCCTGGCTAGGGGAATGACACAGAAGAGTGACGCACCACCCTTGAAGATAGATCAGCGGTAAGTCTAGACATCGAGGTCCATGTCAAACGGGATTTAGCTGTTTTTTCTAGGAACCTTAGAGAACACTACAGCGTTGGGAGTCATCTAGTATGCAGACTCCACTCTAAAAATTGGATCGGGAGCGGGCCGGCAGAAGCATCCGGGAAGCCGGGGAATGTGCTGTGGAGTTCTGATCTCTATACGGAGGAGTATCCGAGGAGGATAAACGTTCTCGGGAACCATTCAAGAATGCCGACCCGTTCGATCGGTCTACGCGGATCATTCCAACCTTATTTTGAATTTTCTCAGTCTCAAAATACAGACCTGGGCATAACATTCCAGTTAACGGGAATGATCCTGTAGCGTTCCGTTAGAAGGAGATGCACCCGATAGTTTGGTTGGGTATGCAGTTCTTCGGAGTTCTGGAATGATTATTGGTTTCCTCATTTGAGATCTAACACATTTGGATTGCAGAAGGGTATGTGTGTAGGCCTCGAGCATGACTGGTTTATCGACATCAAGAACGAGAATACGATAAAAGGATATTGCAAAACACTGGCCTATTTTACCACCAAGACTATCATTCCTCTGTGCCAATTGAATGCACTCAGAGTTCCATTTATAACCGAAAAAATGTAGAATAACACTGACTGAAACAAAATGCGCTGATCTTCAAGCCTCTCAAGACCTAGATGGATCCCTTCCCCGACTTTTCTTTCAAAAATTCCAGAACCTGCCACCAGGACCGACTAGCCCGGGCAGCATGCTCCATCGGCACGGCCGGGTTATCTTCCCCGGTGGATCTCGAGAAGACCTCCATACTGACCCACCCGGTATAACCCAAACCGTTGATGCAGGCATCCGTCACCTCGCGAATCGGAAGGTATCCGCCCTGGTCCTCTTCACACGGAAACAGACGCGCATTCCTCGACCAGGCTAGCAGAGTTGGCAGGCCTGGTGCGTGAAGGAAGGGCGTCTCGGGGGCTACCCGCTCGCCGTCGGCAAGCTGAACCATCAGCACTCGGTCTGGATCAATCTCCCGTACCAGCCGGTCCATCGAGTTCCGCAGATCTCGGTCTGCGCTCGGACCAAGTCGCCCTGTTGCGGCGGTGGGGTCGGCCCACAGTCGCGCTGCTATGTTGAATGTGTCAAGACAGATGCCGAGATTGGGTCGATTGGCCCGTTTGATCACATCCCATGAGTCTTCCCAAGTGTTGATGTATGTTCCCCATGCCAGGGCCTCGTATGCGATGCGCACGGGGAATGCTACATCTGCGGCCTCGGCCAGGTCTGCTGCGAGACGTTCTCGGTCGGAGGTGATCTCCGAGGCGTCGAGGAAAGATGATGGGATCAGGATGAAGACTGAGTCGCCAAGAATCTTGCATAACTGCACCCAATGCTTGAGTTCGTCGATACGTTCCGCATGCCGTTCTTGATCAATGAGACCTTCGTAGTGTCGGAAAGGTTGGAGAGCTAGAACTTGTAGATTACGCTCAGAAGATAGATCTCGAATAGCATGTGCTGCGTCGATCTCGAAGTCCCGATCAGTGCAGAGGGCACTGTCAGTTGCATGGGCGCGAAGGGTCTTGGCGAGCTGCGCTATATCATCATGAAAGAGTTCGAGTCCTTGCTGACCATTCCAGGCGGCAGCATCGAGTTTGGCGATAATGGGGTGTAAATGCGCTGCTCCCAGACTAACTGTTGCAATAGCTGGCTTCCATCGCGAGTCAGATTCGGACTTAATGGTATTTGGAAGAGAAGGCATCACTGAAATGTTTTGGGGATTGACCTGGCAGCGGCTAGTGATCACTATCACAGTCTTTATAGCATAAGTCACAAAGCCACATCGCCAGGTTCCTTTTTTTGTGCCGATCGTTCAGTGATTTGCTTTTTTTTATTAAAAAAAGTAAAGTCCAATGAGGATAATGTGAGTACAGAAAGTAGACACTCGCAGATGGTCCGGATTCAAATCGTACACCCTAGGTCATCTCGATCGGGTTAACTTCTCTCTCAAATGCGGTGTATTCAGACGATGGACCAAGAATGATCGAACAGTGGAGCGTCTAGATGTGATATGCCCCGGGTTTCAGCTGTTTTCGGTGTAAGCTTACCCATATTGCATCCGTCTGTTGTAGCAATGAATTGAACGCCGATGGAAACAAGGGTCTTTAATTCATTTACTTGTCCGATGTTACTGTCACCAAGGGGTGCGCCATGAACTATAAGATGCAATCGAGATCCAGCCAAATAGTTCCATCATCCTAGCTTGTACTACTCGAAGCAGAGAATTCCACACTAAGTATCGGTGTTTTCTTTCCATTGAACAGCGATAATGACGATCACCACACCCTTTCAATGTTTGGTCAGCCGTCTCGGCCAAATGGCTCTGAAAGAAGCCTTGGAGCCATCGCCACAAGCCCACTTTGAGCTATTACGAGTGATCGACGAGCTGAGGTCTGCAGTGGAAACGCCGACGGAGACCGTGTTGCGTCTGATCTACCAGGTGAGGCGTTCCACGGACCAAAACTGACTTCTCATTCTGACTGGACTATAGCCTCCTCAAAATGCTGCATTGCGCGTTGTCATTGATTTGGGAATTTTCGCCATGCTTGTGGAGAAGCGGCACAGAGGAACGGGGCTTTCAGCCGCTCAGCTGGCAGAATACACGGGCGCTGAGCGTGATTTAATTGGTACTTTTTCCTGCAATATCATTAGTTCGTCACACATTGTGATTCGGCTAACTCCGTGAATTAGTCCGACTGATGCGTGTCATGGCTTCTCTTGGGCTGTGCGTCACACCGACTCCCGAGCTCTATGTTGCCAATGAGAAGACGGTGGCACTCACTCAGCCGATTGGGAGAGATGGAATCCCATGCATGTATGTGATGTGGCTTGGTGGCTTGCGTCTCTTCGCGCCGTTACTCACTGACCCTTGTTTAGATATGATCTTACCTTTCCAACCCTGAGCAAACTTCCGGAGTATCTGCGCTCCCACGGCTATGCCAATCCCCAGGATTATACTCAGTCGCCTATGCAATGGGCCGTTGGTCAGAGTCAGTTTGAGTGGCTTTCGAGTCATGCCCAGCAGCAGGAGCTCTTCAACTCGTACATGGCTAGTCGTCGCGAGGGTAGACCGATGTGGTACGATATATACCCCGTCGGACGACTGTTTGGCCATGCCGTGCCATACAAAGATACCGTCTTCCTAGTAGACATTGGTGGCAACCAGGGGCATGATCTGGGCAAGTTCCGCCGGGAATATGGCCATCTGCCTGGCAGAATGGTACTGCAGGATTTACCAAGCGTGATCGAAGGGGTCGAGGCAGAGAGTGCAGGAATCGAGGTGATGGGATACAATTTCATGGATCCTCAACCGGTCAAAGGTGCCCGTGCGTACTACTTTCGCTCTATCTTCCACGACTGGGATGACCATATCAGTCGCAAGATCCTCCGCAATACGGTGACAGCAATGGCGCCGGACTATTCTCGGATTCTCATTGTGGATTTCGTCCTGCCAGACACCGATACGCCGCTGATGCAGGCCTCCCTAGATATTCAGATGATGAGTATAGGAGCTGGTGTCGAGCGGTCAGAGCGACAGTGGAGAGATCTCTTGCATAGTGCCGGCCTGGAAATCACGGGGATTTGGAACCAGAGTCCGGCGATGGAATCGGTGATTGAAGCGGTTCCAATGTTAAAATAGAACGATAGTGAAATTCGAGCCGATTGTTATTTCAATTCAAAAAGATGAAAGACGAATAGAGTGTTTGAGCAAAGAAAAAAAAGAGAAGAAAATTGATTATAAGCGAAGTAGAAGAAGTCTATTTATTGATTTTTTGGAAAAAGCAGCCCAACCAGGCTCAACGACTCGAGTAGGTGGCACCTGAACGAGCTGCATCTTCAACAACCACCGTTCCTTTGAAAGACAATTTCTGCGAGTCCAGTTGCTTATCGAATGTGGCCCTGTATCTCTCATTCTTCATCAATCCTCCTGCCAACACCAACACGGAGGCCTCGGATGGCTGATAGCCAGTAGCTTCAGGCTTGACCAAGCGACCGAGAGTTTCGCCAACAAGCAAAGCTACTTGGGAGCTCACGATATCTGCTGCGGTCTCATTTTTGTCCATCAAGTCGAGAACAACCGGCGCAATGCTAGCAATGCGTGCCTTTACCCCTTGAGAGTAGTTCTGGGCCAAGATGTTGTTCAACATGTCGTGGCTAGCACTATCGGACACCTGACAGCCCAGTTTCTCCGCAACCGCCTTGGAAAGATCATCACCGCCAGTTTTATCAAGCCCCAAGGTGATATTCTCGAAGACGCGCATGGTGTGTTGAATGGCTTTGATACCGATTGTGTAGCCACCGCCCTGATCACCGAGCATATGGCCCCAGCCTCCAGAACGGGCACAACGTGCGTATCTGTGTTGATCCTCGGACCATTTGTACCGCATGGCAACACTCCCCGTGCCTGCAATGACCACAAGGACGGAGGGTGTACCGAATGATTGTGGAACACCCGCAGTCAACAGATCTACGTCGTTGGTTAACCGGAGGTCCTTTTCATGAGTGATTCCGAACGCTTGTCTCAGCTTGGGTGCTAGTACTCCCTCGAGCCCAGCTCGGTCAATACCAGCTAGTCCAATCCAGACAGAGCTGAAGGATGTTTGGAGACATTCCTTCCAAGAAGATTCTGTCTGTTCCACGTCGCTTGGCAGGGCGTCTTGCAGAGCAGCCTTTGCGGCGTCGAGTAACGTGGCAATGACTCCGTCTATATTTCCAATGCTATCGGTTCTAGACAAAGTTAGCATTAGGGTGAACATAGGATAGAATCAGAACGAGAAGAGATCATACAGATTGCATGGACCAGCAGAGCCCTGGCCGACGACATTGGGACCGTCGGCCACAGCAGCAGCACACTTGGTACCGCCGCCATCAATGCACAAGGCAAACTTTTGAGTAGGGGTAACTGTGGCCTTCTGTTCGATGGGCTTAGAGATGGCAGCCAGCGCGTTGGCCAAGACTCCCCCGGCAGCGTCGAAGTATCCCCGACAATTCTCGACTGACTCCCCGGTCTCCGCAACCAAGATAGCCAGCTTGACACTGGCATTGCATCTCGCAAGGAGAGCGTCCAATTCAGCGTCGGATAAGGACTGACACTTTCCACTCAACCTCCGTAGAATATTGCGGGATCTTTGCTCGAGTTTCAAATTCGAGGCCACGAGATCAACCATCTTGAATATCAACATTTAGCCAGAGTACAACGGTCGGGGGCAAATCACATACCATGTTTCCATAAGTCTTTCCTGTGCGAATCATGGTACCAGTACTTAGCATATTCAACACCAGCTTAGTAGCAGTGCCGGCCTTGAGACGGGTGCTACCAGTGACCACTTCAGGCCCAGACACGGGTGAAATGAGGAAGTCCACATTTCCGGAAAGGCCGATCGCAGAAGGAACTGTACAAACAACCGCAATGGTCACACAACCGAGACGCTTAGCGAAAGCAAGACAGCCCAGGACATAAGGTGTGCGGCCTGAGCTTGCAATTCCAATGATACTATCAAGCTCGGGGTTCAGGTTGAGGGATTTCATCTCATCCTCACCGGCTTTCTCATCATCCTCGGCTCCCTCCTGGGCCTCTCGGATAGCGGCATCTCCACCAGCAATCAGGCCGACGAACTGTCCGCGAGGGGCAGCGAAGGTCGGGGGGATTTCCGATGCATCCAAGATCCCAAGCCTAGAATCGGTTTAATCTTTTTGTTTATTGACTACCGGACCACTGTCACGTGACTCACCTTCCGCTAGTGCCAGCGCCGACATAAATCACCCGACCGCCTTGTCGAACTCGCGGCGTCAGTGCGTCAATAGCTCCCGCGATAACGGGCAAGCAAGGAACAACACTCTCAGGGACTTTTTGATCGTCGGCATTGATCACAGTGCACATGTCAAGGGTCGACATGCGGTCAATATGCACGGTTCGGGGATTGACCCCCTCCGTTTGGAGTTGAGATAGACTTCCGAGATCCATTATGCCGGGTGTTCTTCCAAGGATGGGATGATTGCTTGGGAGATGACAAGCTTAACGCCTTTGCTTGTCAGAATATTAATATAATTTTTTTCACGAATCACGAGTCAGAGCTCAAACTACACGGAAAAAGGGCGATAAGGGGGGCTTTTAGACGATTGGGGAGACGAACAGGATCCATTTCGGAGATAGCGCGATGTCAGCCACGTGCCTAATATCGCTCCATTCCACGAGGTCTATACCAAGATGGGAAGTTGACAGATTCTCTGTACGTAAAGCGAGAAGTCCCTGGTACCAAAAAGACAGTTAGTGGCCCGATCTAATGGGAGCCGTTACAAGGTAGAGTTACAACGACGGGATCTTGCCCTCGCAGGATTGGACCGGTTAGCAAGCGACCGGGGTGGAGACCTCAACTTCTCCAGACTTTTCCCAGAAAGGAATCGGCATGAACCGATGTGGCGGCGTAGTGGAGTTTATCTACCATAGGATTCGTCGGCCGAGAAAGAAGAAGTCGTGTGATAAGGCCCGATAATGCAATTCAATCTAAAGGCCACGGTCTTGCTCCACTTTTGCTACTACTTCACAGCAGATATCCACATACTATACGCTGAAGATACGCATATCATACGCCGTTCTCGCGTGCAACCATGAGCGTATCGCGTGCAACCTAACTGCCGTATCGCGTGGGGCCCCAGACTCGATAAGCGCTAATTGTCCGATATAGGGGAATGTCGGGACTAGTACTATAAGTCTTTAGCATAAGATCCCCGTCGTTCCCTCCCCGGACTTTTTGTTTCATACGCACAAGATGTCGAACCAATCAGTCGAAGAAGGGCGTGTCGCCGGCACCCACAATGAGAATCGCTCTACCTTGTTCAAGATCTGGACCGATTCTTGGTTCCAGATCAGCTTGATCAGTTTCATCTGCTTCTGCTGCCCGGGAGTGAGTTTGGCAAGGACTGGTAGTCCAAGTTCCAAGAACTAACAATGCTATTAGATGTACAATGCTCTCAGCGGTCTTGGTGGTTCCGGTCAAGTTAACCAGACCGTCGCTGCAAATGCGACTGTAGCTCTCCTGGCCTGTACTGCCGGAACTGCACTCTTCGTTGTCGGCCCTATCTTCGATCGTGTGGGACCCAGAGTTTGTCTCTTGCTCGGAGGATGGACTTATGCATTGTATTCCGGCAGTCTTCTGTGTTTCAACTGTATGATCAGCTTCTAATCTGCACTGCCGTTGTATACACAGCTAACGTATACTTCCAACAGCAACCAACAATGGTGCATTTGTGATTGCCTCCGGTGCCCTTCTCGGTGTTGGCGCATCATTCTTGTGGGTGGCACAGGGCGCCATCATGACTACCTATGTGCCCGAATCACACAAGGGTCGCGCAATCGCAGTCTTCTGGATTATCTTCAACCTCGGTGGTGGCGTTGGATCTCTCGCTAGTTTCGGCATCAATTTCAAGTCGACGAGCGGCACTGTTAGCGACTCAACGTACATCGCCTTACTTACCATCATGGCCTTCGGATGGGCCCTGGGAGTATTCATTTGCCCGCCATCGTATGTCAAAGGTGCCCAATTGCAGATCACACCGGAGAGCGAAAAGAACTTCCGCCACATTCTTCGCCATGCCATCCTGACTATCTGCAACTGGCGGGTGTTGTGTATCCTGCCGCTCTTCTTCTCCGCCAATGTTTTCTACTCCTACCAGCAGAATGCTGTGAATGGTATGAACTTTAATATCCGGACGCGTTCGCTCAACGGCGCGCTTTATTGGATTGCGCAGATGCTGGGTGGTCTCGTCATGGGTCTCATTCTCGACTTCCCGGGTCTGAACCGACCCATGCGCGCTCGCATCGCCTGGGTATTCTTGTTCGTCACTGGAATGGGCATCTGGGGTGGTGGTTATAAGTTCCAGTTGTGGTCTACTGCCCGTCTGGATAAGGGCCTGAAGCAGGATATCGATTACACACAGGGTAGCATCTCAGTGGGCCCGATGTTCCTCTACATCTTCTACGGTGCTTATGATGCGCTGTGGCAATCATTCTGCTACTGGATCGTGGGCGCTCAGTCCAATTCCCCCGCTACATCGGCCGTTCTGGTCGGAGCGTACAAGACCTTCCAGAGTGTTGGTGGTGCAATGGCGTGGCGTATCAATGCCATGAAGAAACCCGCGATGACCCAATTCGCTATGGACTGGGGCCTTTGCATGGGCTCATTGGTTATCGCTATCCCAACCGTCCTGGCTATCACTCTGACCAGTGATGTAGAAACAATCGCCGTCGAGGAGAAGGACTTCCCAGAGATGAAGGAGCCCGAGGCCGAGGTGGTGAAGTCTTGATTTTTTTGTATGTCAGCCTTTAGATAGGGGAAAGTGCAGAATCTTTGTGGTCGAATAAATATAGATGTAAAGTAGAAGAATAGAAAAAAATAAACATTGAAAGTTTTATGCTTGTCCCGATTGAGTTGAAGCTGAATGCTAATAGACCATGATTATGGATACCTGATTAGGAATATATACACGACATGGCCCAACCGAAGGTTTAGGATTCTTTCGTATGCGAGGTCCTTCCCTTCTACCGGATGCACTTCTTCAACACGGCGGTTTCCAGCAATAACTTAGTATACTGACGGTGTGCCCAAGCCACTTTGTCATCCATAGGCGCACCTTCCGCCTTGCCGAGCCCCTGGTAGAAACAGCTCTTCAGACTGAACTCAGCAACGCCTTCATTCGGCTTGATCTTAGCGGCGATTTCGAAGAGGCCATCGGAGGGACGGACGTCACGGTTACGTGGAGAGTCACCACAGCGAACGACAATACGGTCCTCGGTCTTCTCGACGACCTCAAAGTGGTCGGTGACGATGGTTCCTACTTCGTATTTGTTTTTGAGAAGGTCCGATCGGTCCCAGAGATGACCGGCAGTCTCGGGGCCGCGGTACTTTCGTTCAAGGATGGCTCGCTGGGGAATGTATCCTGGAGAGAAACCCAACGTGTTAAAAAGCATGTTACATCGCGACAAGGCTCGTTTCCCCAGGGTAGGACTTACCCAGGCCACCCCAGACACCGGCACAGAACGCTTCCACCAACTTGCCCTTCTCCTCGACCAGTGAGGGTTGAATCTTGTCTAGGGGAATGCGACGAACGCAGACATCATGAAGGGTAGGGTTGTTGTTTGGGTTGAACTTCTTGTAAAAGGCTGATTGGAAAATGGGATCGGAGCTGTCCATGGCTTCGAAAACGTCATTGCGCGTGGCACCCCAGAAGACACCGACCGAGGCAATACTGCCTGCGACGGTGGTCTTGACCAATTTGCTGAAAATACCCATTGCTGAGGAGAGGAGAGGAGTTGGAAATAGGTGGGGAGTAGCAAGAGGGAAGCGAGTGCGAGCTCTCGGGGAAAGCTCCGACTGCCAAGACCAAGGCATCGGGCCATTTCCCCAACGTCAACAAACGTCTGACGATCCAGCTTCCAACCATTCTCTCCTTGGCATCGGTTACTTTTCTATATATAAAGAAGGCACTCGGATATTCAATGGGCTTGATTAGATTTCCTCAAGGGAGCTCGAAAGAAACAAGACAAACGAGGGATGTAGCTATACCGGGTTACAGCATTGTACAGATACTTTTGAGAAATGCAGAGAGACGAGAAGTGAAGCATTCTCTGTTTTTCCTGTTATATTCGGAGGCAATTCCGGATTATCCTTAACCCTCGAAATTAATGACTTTGGAATTGATATTCGTCTGTGTCGCCTTGAACAAAGTCGAGTTGGTGCAATGGTTATAAGGGTAACTAGACTCAAGGGAAATCTAGTGTTCAACTTCTTCGTAGCTATGTATGACGCAGCGAAGAAAATAGATTTCAAGAGACTTTTTGAAAGATATCGGAGTGTTATCTTACATATGATAACGTCCATTGTAACGTTGAGCTAGATAATCAGATTCTCAAAATCTTGCGTCGTTAGGAGAAGTGGCCGCATATCCGGCCGGAGTATTGTGATTCACTCCGGGTTCATGATCATTAGTTTGATAGGCCATCAAGCAAGCCATGCCCAAATACAGATCAAGATGTCACATACAGCTGATACAACAAAACACCCACTTTCGTCTAGGCATTTGAGACTGATATGCTACTACTACAACATATGACTCTATGGTCCGTATGTAGTTCCACGATAGATTACTAGGTAGCATATTCACTATATCCACATGATAAGGATAAAGAATGGCCAATCAGAATCAATGGTATGATTGGCTGTCCATGTACGGAGTTCTCGGATATGCATATTGAAGTCAAGCGTGGAGAGGTTTCGGTGCCCGTAAATTAGGCATGCCGATGGTGAACCAGTGGACCGATCTCGGCAGGCCCGATAATCGGAAAATTCAAGTGGCGATGAGCCAGGCCATCATTCTTAACCAGAACTATCTAGACCACGGATACAAAGATCCCAATTCCCAACCACACTTGGATCGCCCAAGTCTCCTACCTGTTGAACCGCTGGACTTCATATGCCAAACTACAACAGTTCCCTATATCTATAGGGAATTCCCATATGGCTGAACCTTAGAAGCTCCACGTGCGTGCCCAAACTTCGATAGCCGGGTCTAATTTGACATATGGCGATGCAATACTTACAATCTTAGGATGAATTCAACCGTGATCAATCAAGTTTGTCACCCGATGCTTGAATATATATAATTGATTAAGCCGATAGTTATCTATGAGCTTTTCACTATACAGACCCTTACTTTACTTCTTGACCCCCATACCCTCACTGCTACTGCTCTCCTTGGAACTAGCTCGTCTAAGAATCCCAGCACGCTTTTTCTCTTCCGGCGTTGCTTGTCCTCCCAGCTATGCTACTTGGTAGTATATCCTTATCTCGTCGTCTTCTAGTTTGGTTGCTGGTGATTTATTTTCATAATTATCTCCAGTTATATAAATAGTAGAACTTAACCGTTATTCACTCATGAAACCATAGAATTTTCTAGAGATTGCTTGTTAATCGCTCGTTTGAATTAGGTTATTTTAAGGTATGATATACTGCTTGATCAACCAATGTCCTACTAGAAGATCAATTGAAATCTCACTAAACTTCATTTTCACATAGGAGAATTCCAGATTAGTTGGATTCTTGAGTCAAAAGAGATTTCGATTTGCACCTACAATATAGGTACGGAATGATTGTATAGTCGATCGTGCCTGTTGAGGATAACTCCGCCCCACGTGTGGGTACAGGCACAGACAGCACAGCCACAACAAAATCGATTCTCCTCTTCTCCTTCGTCATTTCTGAGATCCGTTTCTGAGATCCATCTCATTTTGTTGGTTCTGGGTTGGTCATTGTTTTCATCTGGTTTTACGGCCGAGTGCTCTCTTTTCCCTTTGTCTTGTTGAACCTTGGTCTATCACCCCCTTTGTGGAATCATGGCCTGTTGTGCTGGCACCAGAGGTTTGTTGAATGGTTGAAAGTTGATTTGGCAATGCCCTTCGGTTGTATCAAGTACATTGTCCGCCTTCGGGACCTCATCCAGCATGTCCGGTAGTGATGGGGTAGGGCGCTGGGCATCACAGATTGGTGAGTGGCTGCTTTCGCCTGACACCCCTTTCCTTTCGCATTCTTCATTGAACCCTCATGGAGTATACGAGTATGCTAATCGAGATGCGAACTAGGTCGTTTTGCCCCGTTTCTTTTGCCCCGAGTCCGCCCTCAACATCGAGGTTGGCGCCCAATGGCTCTGCGCCCGCCCTACCTGTCCACTCTTATATGTTTGATGTTAACGATGCTGCTGGGCCTGGAAGGGTTGCGGCAGTATAGCGATCGCGAAGGGGGCTTGGTCTTTTTCAGCTACACGGAAGACGTCAACGCCATACAATCTTTTGCCTACAATTACCTCCCTATAATCATCTCCCTCGTGCTCGTCTTGGTATGGACCGTGACCGATTTTGATGTCCTCCGCCTAGAACCATACTTCCAGTTGTCCCGCCCCGAGGGAGCGCCGGCGACCGTCCTCTTCATCAACTACAACTTCGGCCAAAGTTTTATGACTCCGATTAATGCTGCAATCCGCCGCCATTGGATTGTGCTCTGGGTTTCATTTGTCACGCTCTCAATCCGAATGATTCTTCCCGCTCTACAGAGTACGGTATTTGAGCTACGCGAGGTGACGGTGATCGACGACAGGACCGTAAAAAGCTGGCCCAACCTTGTGGATTTGGACACACAAGCGAACTGGATCTCAACGCAAGCCAATGGCGACGTGGTTCTCTCACATGAGCTATTGGGCCGGTCCCGATCACCCAAGTATGCCGTGGCGCCTGTGGAGATACCCGACAGCCAGCAAGACGAGAGCATAATGTGGACTCTTGATCAGACGCTGTATTGGGCGCACCTTTCCTGCGAGAATGTTTCTGTTGGGGACAAGCTCACCGTTGCTATCAATGATCCCGAGTCGGCATATCCAACAATTTCATGGAATGCCACTGGTATTGATTTCAATAATGCACACGAAGGCGCCTCAAATTGTACCGTTGATTTTCAATACGAGAGTGTCTTCTTCCCTACCACCGATTATCTGCAAGTACGCTATTGGGAGCCGATGATCAGTGCTGCTGCCAAAGAAGCATTTCCGGACCGAATCCAGGCCTTCACAGAACATGGCTGCGGTCCGTATGATCTGTATGGTATGCTCATCGGAGTCAATACGACCAGCCCAGATTCGACCAATTTCCCCACGTCTGGTATGGCATTTGCCTGTGATATCCTCTATCACAAAGCGGAGGCTCGCGTGACCATGCACTCCAACAGCTCCATCATATCTATCAAAGTCGATCGAGCCACCACCCGCGCGCTGACAAAAGCTCAGTTCAACATTGAACACTTCCAAGCCCTGCTCTCTCAACGCGCTCCATTCACTAGTGACATGCTCTTCATTCGTGAAAATGCTACCACGGGCGCTCGCACAGTGACTGAACTGCCTATCATCAGCCAGGAGTTAGGAGACATCCAGCCTGTGCTGGTGCTCGACACATCGACCGTCATGACCGAGACCGAATTTGAATCCAAGATTGCGCGTGATGTTAAGCAGACGTTCGTGCTCACACTCGGTCGCCTGTTTGATCCGGATAGTGCACCCAGCATCCTCGCTGCCGAGCGCCTGTCGAACCAAGTCGCAATCGCTGTCGTTACCTTTGCCGCCCTTTGGTCTGAGTTCATTCTTGCCATAGCCACTTTGACCACGGTGTACCTCCTTTACATGTATAGTTCTCGTGAACTATTTCTCCAAAGCGACCCAGGGTCTATTGGTGCCATGTGTAGTATTGCCGTTAATGTTTTCCACCCATCCAACATCCTCGCACAGCCAGTGGCGGAATTTCATCAATTCTCTACTCGGCAACTTCGTCGTATCTTCAAGAATGCAAGATGTTACTGGCGACCGGGACCTTCTGGCAACAGGCTGGATATTCTCACCGAAGACGGTTTGTATCACCCCGACCCTTCGAATCACATTCATCGTCGAGAATTATAACTGACTGTATCATTAGGCTCCCCCGTCCAGCTTGGAGAGAACCTACAAACCCGTGTTGATCGGATGCCTCACTTTCTCGTAATTCCTTTCTTTCTTATTGAATTCTTGGCGCTAGCTGGAGTCATTATTCTCATCGGATTAGTGGTCTCATCTTTACTTCGAAACGGCCGCTTCCGCCATTTGACCCAATCCGATTCAAGTGCATTCCAGGTTGTCCTTTCCTTCCTACCTTCCGTCGTTGCATCGTCCGTGGGGGCTCTATGTACCTCTATTCACCGGAACCTCAGCGTCCTGGAGCCTTGGGTCCACCTGCAACGAGGCAACGCCTCGGCAAGGACGTCGTTGTCATTGAACTATTCGTCCCAAAGTCCGCTCGCCATTTTCTTCAAGGCAGTACGCAACCGGCAGCCTTTGCTCGTTCTCGTATCAATTGCGTGCCTCGTCAACATGGCTTTGACTGTCGTTGCGGGTGCGCTCTTCACTCAACAATTGACAACCTCAACATTGGAAACCAGCGATTTGTCAATGAACTACAGCCAGTCAATATTTTGGCGGACCGACTTCGCTGTGGAATTCACTGAGTATGATTTGATTCAGACTAGTATCAGCAGTGGAGTCCCTATGCTCTCTTGGACTAGCCCAAATCAATCTTTTGTCCCAATACACGTGTCCAATCGCAATCCGGATGTGACTTACGGTGCCTCAACGCTTGGAGTTGGAGCTGAGCTCAAGTGTGAGCCCCTTTCATCCGATGCTCTTGTCTATGATAAAGCCAATGGCCATCAACAGTGGCGCTATGAACTATTTGGCAATTCCTCCGTGGAATGCACGGCACGCATGCCACCCCTGAAAAGCAAAGAGGAAGGAATCTCACTATCTATCCATTTCCTGTCCCCGGATGATGTCGAGGACTCGGACATCTGCCAGACGTCGACCGTTCTGGTTGTCGGCCGTTGGGATTATTTGCCGGACACGCCAATCACGGATGCCAACACAATTGCTTTGCACTGTGAACCCCAGGCGAAGTTGCAAAACTATTCTATTGCTTTCGACCAGAAGGGACAGATCAGTTGGCACGAACCTGTTCCCACAACATCCGTCACCCAAGGAACTATGTACGACAATGCCACCGTGAGTCTCGGTCAGTTCAACAAAGTCTTTGCTGCTATCCCTAGCAGCTTTGTAGGCAATACTAGCATGCAGAATGGGACATACAATATCTCTTCCTATGATTGGGCAGGATTCCTTGTTGCCCGTCTCTACGAACGCGAAGACCCCAACTTTAGCGCCCTCAACCCCGCGCTTCTGACATCCATGACTCGCACTGTATACCAATGGGTCTATAGCACCTACTTCTCGATTTGGCGTGATATTTATCTCGAACCCCTCGCCCACCCGGTCCCAGCCACAAATTCCACCATTACCCGCGTTACCTGGAGCATGGTTCCGTCGGGTCCGTCACTTGCCATCGCGCTAGCCATTATTGCCTTCGACACGATCGTCGTGCTTTTAGTGTTCGGAACACGACATGGCCGGTTCCGAGCACCCCGAATGCCGCGCTCCATTGGAGCCATCATTCCCTGGATTTCGCACAGCCAAATGCTTCATGATTTTACCGATACACATACCTGGAGCAGTGCCAAACGTCATGCTCATCTCGTATCCCTGAACAAACGCTACGCTTTCCGCATGTTCTTGGGTGCCGATAACCGCTGGAGGTTCGCCGTTGACCAGGAACCAGAGAATATCAAACCTCCCGATCCGCCGGACGTTGCCCCAGAAGTGGAGGTGGACAAGACCACCTCAATTCAGCTACAGGAGATTCGAAGTCCCCCCTCTCCTACTCCGCCCTGATGATCCTGTCATATGTGCTACGACTTTTTTTCCGATTTCAATACGCTATATAATATTTTTAGGGTATATACTCATTTGCGCGTGGGTGTTTCTGACTTTCATGAACCTCCCGAAATAGACGGACGAACAAGCAGGCTGGCCCTCGCTCTGTTTACTTGCATTTTCGACGTCATGAGCGGGACGTCGCATCGGTACACTGTAGAATATCCGGAACCGTGTTTATATTATCTGGAGCGACTTTTCTTTCGCATATTGCCCTCCTTGGGCTTTGTTTTTGGTGTTGCCGGAGATCGCGATATGTCGAATATCTTGCATGAGCCCTATTTATATAATCGACGTCGTCAGTCGAGACTAGAAGTGTGTAGTATGCTATAGATGGCATCCTCCGTTGGGAAGTGGAGTCTTGGTCTTAAGTCTCAAGTATATTCGACTATCACGGACAATTCAAATAACTTTCTACAATCTTCAGGTGTATGAACTCTATAGCGAGCGCTACATCATCAGGTGAAGCCAAATCAAGTATCATGATCTACTGCGCGGCCCTGAGTCGACCATCAACCGCCCGAAGAAGAACGTAGAGGGTCTCCAAAAAGGGGGCTTGTATACCAAGTTCTCGAGATTTCCGCACTGGGAAGCCCAAGATAACGTCGATCTCCATTGGCCGTCCATTTTTGCAATCCGTCTGCATGCTGCTTCCAATGCCGGGCAAGGAATTGATTTTGTCCATAAGCTGGTCAACCAGATCATCCTTGAGGGGTACACCACATCCACGGGCGATGTTGATGACCTCCTGCATCAACTGGCGTGTAAAAGGCGTTGCATCTTCTGATGACTTCAACCAAGTTTGTGTATCCACCATAGTGAGAGCAGTCAACGAGTTCCATGCTACGTTCCAAACCACCTTCCGCCATCGATAGGTCTGTATATCCTCAGCAACCTGGACCTGAGTCTTGCCACGGCGGAGGAGATCGGCAAATGTTCCAAGGCGTTGTTGCTCGACTTGGCTTTCGACCTTGGGATTGGGAAATAAGCCCATCTGCGTAGCCTCGGATTTGCCGTGCGTGACGATTCCAGGACTTGCCTGTATGACTCCTACCCACGTCTGCAGAAGTCAGATGAGACTGGGATTATGATGTAAAGAGAACTCACCACACAGGTTATGATCGTGTTGTTGGGGAAGTGCTTTCGGAAGGGTTCCTCGTTACCAACGCCATTCTGGATGATGACAATGGTAGTCCTGCTGTCGATGGCTGGCTGTAGCTGAGCTACCACATCATCTTGATTGATTGCTTTGTGAGCGCATACGACATAGTCGACTGGTGAAATCTCTGCAATTGATTTTACCACTTGTTGGCTTGTCAGCAAAATAGCTTGATTTTAATCGTGCATATCTCGCATACCTCGGTGTGGACGAAAGTTATGCTGGCCATGATTCTCGCTATTGATATTGATTCCCTATTGGGGCCCAGATATTAATACTAGAATAGCCTCATGTCTAGTAAGCACTCACATTTGCCTGGACAGCTTCATAATTTGAACGTGCCACGACCGTTAGTCGCACGCGGTCGGAGCGACTCAGGATGAAGGCATAGAAGGAGCCAATCCTATAGAAGTTAGTATATCATCTTTTTTATGAAGAGGTTGAACTCACGCTCCCAAGCCGTAGACGAGGACATCAATTCGATCCGACATTTTGTAACGACCAAAAGAAAAGAATTGTCTTTTCCTGAGACTTTTCTACGTTTGCGATGCCATCGCGCATATTGTCTTTAACGCCTTTCCTACCGCCTTGGTCTCACCTATTCCCCGCGGCCATGAGCGTGGATTATTAATTTCTTACTAATTTTCTGCCTGGCAAAAACCGTACTTTCGAGGTTCCCCGCATCGGAGAATGGCCGCGTGGGGGTGGACTTCATGGATAACCAGGGGAGATGATATAGTGTTGGCATGTCATTGAATGGGAACGAGCTGCTCAGACAGTGATCTAATTTATAGCTCGATGTAGCCCTGAAGTTAGCTTGCGTTTCAGTGAATGCTTTCAATATCTCATTCTGACGAGGCAACTCACGCTCCCAACCTATATTCGACATCTCTAAGGAACATATGGGCTGAGTTGACTTGGCTGATTTAACTATAAAGATTAACGGTCAACCATCAATCCCCTCATAGAACTGATACCACGGCAATCAGTTCGGACTTCTCCCGAGGCCCCCGCGTGGGATGCGTTCATGGTGTGGGGTTGTCGTGAACAGCGAATATAATTCAGTCGCACTCAAATTGTTACTCCGGAATCATTCAATACACGAGGAATTCATCCAGTAACTCACCATGGCCAAGATCAAGTCCATCGAGCACTTCCGTGTCAAGCCTCGCTGGCTGTTTGTCAAAGTCACCGATGATGAGGGGCGCTTCGGTTGGGGAGAGGGCACACTGGAGGGACATTCTCTTGCGGTCGAAGGAGCACTCGATGAAATTATCACTCGCATTGTGGGATATGAAGCGGAGTATGCTTGAATCATGGTTCTTCACAGATAAAAGCTCTAACCACCTTTGACAGTGACATTCAGCACATTTGGCAGACAGTATGGCGGCTCGGGTTCTACCGGGGTGGACCGGTATTCATGTCAGCACTATCAGGGATTGACATCGCTTTGTGGGATCTGAAGGGTCGGAAGCTGGGTGTCCCAGTCCACGAGCTCCTGGGCGGGAAGGTGCGCCAGAAGGTACAGGTTTATGCCTGGATTGGCGGTGACCGACCAAGCGATGTGGTGGCTGCAGCGTGAGTTGCAAGAAACGAAAGGAGAGCAAAGGAGACTGAAATTCTAACAACCTCTGTCAATAGAAAAGAACGAATCGCCCAAGGCCTCAAGTGCATCAAGATGAACGCCACCGAAGATGTCAACTGGCTAGACTCGCCCGCCGTCTTACAGTCCTGTGTGGAACGAGTGAAACAAGTGAAGGCTCTGGGTCTTGATGCCGGTGTGGACTTCCACGGTCGCTTGCACAAACCTATGGCTAAGCAGCTGGCTAAGGCACTGGAACCTTACCACCCTCTATTCATCGAAGAGCCTCTGCTGTCCGAACACCCCGAAGCGATAAAGCAACTTTCCGACTATACTACAATTCCTATCGCATTCGGCGAGCGCTTATACTCCAGGTGGGAAGTTAAGAGATTCTTGGAGGATTCGTCGGTAGATATCCTACAGCCTGATGTTGCCCACGCAGGAGGTATCTCCGAAACCATGCGTATAGCCAATATGGCCGAAGCCTACGATGTTGCTATCGCGCCTCATTGTCCTCTAGGTCCTATCGCCTTGGCAGCCTGTCTCCAAGTGGCCGTGTCGATACCTAATTTTGTCATCCAGGAGATGTCGCTGGGTATGCACTACAATGTTGAAGCTGGAGATATTGATCTGAACAGCTACTTGGTGGACAAGACAGTCTTCGATATTACTGAGGGATACGTGGCTGCTCCTTCTAAACCGGGCTTGGGAATTGATATTGACGAAGACCTGGTACGGAAAATCAGCAAGGAGACAGAGCCTTGGCAGCCCAAGGAGTTCTATGGACCAGATGGCTCTATTCGTGAATGGTAATAATGACGATATCATATGGATGCCCCTGTTATGAAGAATATGGCGCATTCACCAGCGTGGACACAAAGTAAGATAAATATTCCAATCACTAGGATATATTATCACTTCTCATTATCACCTCTTCTCTCTCTTTTGGGCTTTGAGCGCCAAATTGTAATATTAAAATGTAAGATGATGGCCGGCTTTTGATCCGTATGACATGGCAGTTTCATCATTTCGATATACAACACGCAAGAAGTTTCCGTAACAACACGACAGCCTTAGAAAATGATGATGATAACGTTTACATCACAACTATAATTTATTCTTCTAATGCTGACTTTCCTAATTGATCCAGTGCCCGGCAAAATCTCCTCTTGTCTTGTACTCAATCACCATATACAGAGAAAGACTAGGACAAAATGCTTTTGCAAGCTCTCCTGACATTTGCAACGCTGGGACTTGCTGCCAACGACTCTGTGGTTTCTTTGTTTATTCCAAACGCTCACTCCCAATCCTTGGTGGGTGAAGTTTTGGGCGCGGTTCGTATCAATGGGAATGATTCTCGAACATTGAACTAAATTTCAAATAGCATTCAGCAACAACTACCTACAGTATCAATTGTCCGAATGGCACCAATAGCTCAGAATGCGGTATGGGCCCTGGGCTTTTTTTTACCGCAGCTCCAACGAGCGTCGAATACTTGATAAGTTCCGCAACCGACCTGTGCGTTTACTCAACTCTCAACTATTGCTGCAAGCCATAATAGATTGCTAATTGATTCAACAGATATAACCACGTTGTCTGCGATGTGACCGATCTCCCCACCGGGGCTTATACTTGTACCGACACTGTTACAGGGACAGCTGGTACGCCCGGCACCAGCACCTCAACCGTCGCTTGGGACCAGATAACTCTGTTGGCGGTTACCATAACTTCCACTGCTAGCGCGGTCGCAGCGACAGCAAATTCCACTCTAAATGGTACTACCACTGGCGTTCCATCCCCCGCTGCTGCTGCTACCACCATTGCCACAACTCCGGCGGCGAGCGCGGCTGGAAGGTCAGGACCTGCTGGTCTCGTACTAGCCTTTGCTGCAGTTCAAGCTTTGCTGGCAATGCTATAGTGTTTGTCTTGATTCTCCATTTGTCTGAGGTTCCTTGCCTTTCAATCTCCACAAAAGGGATTGCTACAAAATCTAGTTTAATAAAGCTTGATGTTATTGTTACAGTTGGTAGTTGAGGACTTTCAAGAATTCATACAGTTGGAATATATTCTTCCGGCACACAGTAAACATATCTGACATAGCCTTGAATACATTGGAACCTAAATCGGCCAGCGACAAGTCATGTTATGATTTTAAATCACAATTCGATAATATGTTAAGAGAACTATCTCACCCCTTTTGAGACTCGCGCTCAAACTACCCTGCAGGCTGTGGGGGGACAATAGCCATGATCGCATGCAAAACTGCAAAGACCGAGGTACGAATCGTCTTCGCCTACAAGAGGTGCCCCACGAGCTCCAGTTGATGGTGGAGACGGGACTGGATCCCCATACTCCGTACAAGTGCAGGGCCCAGCTGGACAATAACCATAGGTGCAACAAAAGGAACATAATCCTACGTAGTTATCCGATCCTGTTCCCGCAATGCAGACCTTATCTCCACTGCCACCGTTTGGAGGAGTAGAAGGTGATGGACTGAGAGTCTGAGTGACTGTAACAGTGATCACGGCAGTCGATGTGGTAGTAGAGCATTGTTCAGGGGGGGTCGTTGTACTTGCAGGCGGCGTTGTACTCGGGGGTGTTGTACTCGGGGGTGTTGTTGGAGGAGAACTCGGCAACGTGCTGCTCGTACTTGAAGATGGGGGAGCTGGGGGTACTGTGCCTAATGAGGGAGTCGGTTGACATGTATGGATACGCAAGCCCTGTGTAAAGGCCGAGAGTCCATCTTGCTGGAGGGGATCATCAAATCCCGCAGGAAGGGTTCCGACTATCATCAAAGTCAGAAATGGGGTAATAACCAGTGGTAATACCTTCACATACCATAGGCGTTGAAGTTATACAGACCACACACGCAGTCATTGATAATCTCCTTCAAACTGGTCCCTGACAGAATAGTTTGCCCATCACGAATTACCGTAAAGCTTTGCGAGCCAACTCCCATCGGCACCTCCTTTGCACTTGCACCTGCTGGTGCGTCGTAATTATAGACAGTCCCGCCGCTATTGACCTGCACCGTGGCTGGGGATGTAAGCAACGAAACAACGAAGACAGAATCCGCCATGGACTCCCAGCCATCCGGACGACCCATGAAATAGTTTCCACTCCCATTGTTTGCTGGTACCATGCAAGTATCCGTAGAGTCGCAGTCCACCCCACGTGGTGCAGGTCGATACCAGTACACCAGCTCATCAGATGATATATGGTTGTCGGGGGACGACTGGCCTGCTTTGAACGCAGCGATATATGGTTTCGAAATGTCAAGCCACCCGTCATGAGGCCTGTAGTTATCTGTTAGTTGGTCGAGTTGAAATAGGGATTCCTTTGGATGAGCGACTGATATTCTTACATGTCATTGACCCATTTTGAGGCCCCGTCGTCAGTATGTGGTGAGTTCAAAGGACCAATGTAATGAGACTCTCCATAGTCATTCCATGTCACAATCTCGATAAATCTCGGTTTCAACGCAAGAATCTCATTCCATCTGTTAAACCATAGGAGATCAGATGGGAAGTTCCAATTCTTGCTATAAGAAACCTCTGGTCCGAAATGCGTGAAAAACCACGGGGATACAGCTGCTTCAGAGTCAGAAAATCAATTTAAATTCAATGGAAATGAAACTGACGGGCAATATAAGCTTTTCCGCCAAGGGCGTTGACGTATTCATCATCTCCGTCGGCTACAGAAATATTGTGACCTGGAGTTGGGGCTTTGTTATTTCCGTTGTTTGGCCAGGCCATCCAGTTCAATAGCCCGTCAACTGGCGAGATGTCTGTTCCAGTAGATGGATGGAAATTGGGTGCGAAAAATATTGATCTTCCCACTGCGGCTCGCAAAGCTGCAACATCCAGTCCATCGCCGGCGAATGATGAAACAAACACCTTGTCATCGACGATAAGTTGCGCAGGTTTGGTACCATACTGGGCAATCTTCTGGCCAATTTCAGTAGCCTGTTCAATATGCCACCAGTTGAAATCGAATGATAGGAAGACTTTCATGTCATTGTTGGCAGCCGATTCGTATGCCAGTTGAAGTTGTTGGTCAGTGTAGGGGTCCACGCCAATGTTCAGAGCGAATGCGTCAATTCCCAGAGACTTGGCCCGCTTCATGTCATCGTCAAAGTCTGACGCGCTCTTTCTGTTGCTCACAATTCCAATCTTTCGATGATCAGTACATATCCAACACAAATAAGGTACTCGATGGAATATTTACCATAAAGTGAGCAAATACGAGTCGGTCTGTCGACTGTCTTCTGACACGAGGTATGTGGTAATTTCCCGTAGACGCAGCATGAACTAGAGTAGATAGTAAAGTAATCACACCCAGAATGAACCGTATCTTCGTCATTGTTTTTAAATTCTCTTAGTTTACCTTGAGCTGCTCTTTTGTTTCTGGCATCTTCTTTCATCTTTACTATGGGTCAGATCATTAAATATATCATTGATTCACCAAATCACTCGGAGACTTCTCGCAGCTGACCTACGAAGTTTAATCATTAGGGCAATGAGTGTGATGTTTGTTCCCTATCTCTCCGAATCCAATCAGTTCAATATTTACAAGGAACCATGTGGTTGTTACGGAGCTTTGGGGCGGAAAGTCCGTAGAGTTGGTGCGTCAATGTCCACACGATCAAAAATTTGCTGATAATGCGGGTTTCTTTTTTGTTTACGGGCCTCCGTATGTTGCAGGGTAGTAGTGTCTCATTTATTTTATATATACATGCGTACGAAGGTATAGAAGTAAAATAGGGACATCATTTCGAAGGACGACAACATCAATGATACCTTAGCGTGTATATATCCAACATTTTTTTTTTCAGGCAAGTAGAGACTCGGTTGCACTCTATACTGTGCTAGTTCAAGTTCTACATTCCCGCTATCCATAATAATACACAGTCTCATTTCCATTGATTTTAAATTGATTTTCTGACTCTGAAGCAGCTGTATCCCCGTGGTTTTTCATGCATTTTGGACTAGAGGTTTTTTATAATAGCTCAGCAAATGTAGTGAAATATGATTTACCTCGTCGGCCTTATATTAGTAATCTCCCGAATGTAACCTACAGATCAAACACTTGACGATGTTTGTATACAGACATTAACTCAAAGTCAAATTGCTAAACTATACAATCTGAACGGAGAAAAAGATTTATGATTCTGTCTACATACATACAAACATGTCCTTTGTGGAGAAAACTGTTAGCAATTACATTCCATGCAGCAGCTGACTACCCATGTAACCCACAAGGGTCTTCTCATTGGGGTTTGATGGCTCCAACGGGAAGTATTTTAGATAATGATACTACATTATATTTTCATATGGAGAAACTATCAGCAGATTATAAAATTTGCGGGGGTTACATTCCGTAAAGAACTGTAACTAGAAAGCCACATGGTCTTGTCACAATGCCACCTACATATAGTAATTCCTTTCATAAGGGAAGCGTGTACAACGCTCAACTGCGTCATTGCCGCTGACGGACACTAAAAACGATCCCGGGGATATTGGGATTAATTACTTGGATGATCTGAAGTTAGTGGAAATAGACATGTGGCTTCATTCCCCACTTCCTAAACAGGCATTAAGCGTATGCGGAATCGGGTGGCGCTCGGGAAGTATTTGGGGAGCATCCAACTGCGTCATTGTGCTCCAGGGATATCCTCAAGATATACGACATTAATCCGTAGCGAGCGTGCAAATACAATCTCCTACCAAAACGCTTGGCGTCAATATTGATGGTGGATCTTTCTACCTTAGTTAACCTTTTTTTACCTTTTGATGCCTGATATCTCAGGCGTAAATCGGAAGTTCTCTGATATTTTTGACTTCAATATTGGAAAACATTCGATATTTAGATAAATCTCTACGTCTTGAATTTCAACGAGAATGATCATGATCAGGCAATTTTTCTTTTCCAGAATCTCCTTATCTCTCAATGGCGCAATACTTTAGTGTCTCTTGGCAGTAAGTAACTAACTAGATCGTATGTACCAGCCGACTGGGGGACGGCTTTTTCTATACTACTTATAAGATAGGATCCTGTACTCTGTTGAGTCTGTTCACTTGAAAACATTGAAATTTGAGTAGAACATTACTGACCAAAAAATAGAGACAGATTGAACCATAAAATCAGCCTTGTGGGGTGCCGCGCGGCATATGCGTGTGCAGTTCAACCAAGCCTCCTGCACCGGCTGTCCACTGGCTGATTCCACAACGCTTGGTACAAAAATAAACACTAAGCCATGGCAGCAACCATAATTGGAGACTAGATTTATAGGGAAATTGTCTTACGCGTGTGTCTAGTTATGCCGCGTGGCCTTTTTTTCAAGACTATCAAATGCCAAAGCAAGTCTTAAATTATTCCGATTCTTTTTCGGTGATGTTCATTCATTCTTTCTTTGTCTACTCCGTACTGTTTTCTCGATTGAAGAACCATGCATTTTCTATTATTTGCACTTTGCACAGTGCTGTGCTCTCGGGTGCTCGGTCACCCCTATGCCTCTGAAACCACACCATGGATCTCAGCCACAGCGACATCCGTTGATTTATGGGAAGACCCAGAGCCGAGTGAGGTAGCCCATCTCTACGGGAAACGTAGATATGGCGAGATTCTTCGGGCCAGAGACACCACTGCGACAACCGACTCTACTACATCCACAGATACCACAACCGACACAACCACATCTACAACATCTACTTCAACAACATCTACGACATCTACGACCGCAAGTTCCACATCCTCAACATCTACCTCTACATCCGAGACATCTACATCTACAACATCTACAACCACATCTGCCAGCTCGACTACCAGTTCGACTACCAGTTCGAGTACCAGTTCAAGTACCAGCAGCTCCACGGCTACAACCAGCAGCACCTCATCAACCACAAGTGCATCAACGACAACTAGCAGCGCTTCGACTACGACAAGTACTACAACTTCAACTGCGAAGAGTAGTGCCGCAGCGGCACTGGACAGTGAGTCTTCAAGCCCACTAGGCGCAAGATTCCCATCATACTAACAATACAGAATGGAACCGCAGGGGTAACATAACAGGAATTATATTTGGCGTCTGTATGATCTCGCTGTTTAGCGGCGTCAGTCTCTTTTATTGTATGCGCCAGAGAGCAAAGACACGACGAATCGCGGCTCGGAAGCTGTTGCATTCCAATCCGTCGTACACGAAGTTACCCCTTGTGACCACGAAAGGAAAATCCACCACCAACGTTGAGGTTGACCGCTCCTCCATGATGTTCACCAGCCAGCCGGAGACGGAATACTTTCCAGCGCGAAGCGCACCGTCACTTTCAAACTATCACAGCCACACCACCTCCACAACATCTCGGACTACGGCGTCTACTAGAGATTACAGACCGCAAGCACACACCAATGAACAGACTACACCTTCGGTTTGAGATGTCAGATTTCTTTTGAGCGTTCACATTGCTTCTGGGGTTGGGGTGTTCTTGGTCGATTTGTTAAAAGCATCATCATGTATTTGTTAGAATTTGACAATAGAGTACAAATTGCACTGGTTTAAAATTCATGCAAACCCTACTTGGATTCATGAGGCCTGGAGTAGCAATACTAGCAGTGAGTGCATGAATAATTGAAGGAAGATCTTTAGTTCATTGTTATGTCACAGAGCCGAATCCCAAATTTGAGTAATATATATCTACGAAGGTACATAGTTAACTAGTTACTATCAACAGTCTAGTGCCTGATTTTTATGGTTTCATAGCCTAATTGGGATGAGCGGACGAGCGAGACGACAGTTCACCCAACCTGCGTCGTTTTTTCACCCAACCCGTGGCCTTAAATCACGTAAGATCTCCACCGGTTGGGTGAACTGTCCAGCTCCCACGGATTTTAGACCGCCTTCTACACCGCCTAATGCCATGAGTAATCGTGCCAGGCGCCAAAACACATACCGTCCGTGTGTTGGTGCGCCCCAACCAGGTAGGCTGGGGGGTAGGTTCGAATGCCTAAAGGCTTATATAGAGTATATAAACTAGGCTACCCCCTATATGTAGTAGGTCACATTAGGACAGACTTTGATTCGTCTACGCTCAGCAAACTATAACCCGTATGCGTCACCACCCCGAGCGGTCGCTTACAGGTAGCTGGTACTAAATTACAGAATAACTATAGAAGTATGACAAATATATTTAAAAAGCACCACATAACATATGTGTGTGTATATGTAAAAACTTGAATATCTTATAATTTTAAGTCTACCTGATATTTCGAATAGATGTCAAATAAACTAAAGCCCTTTTAATTAATATGTATAGACCTATTATTCCCCTGCCTTAGTAGAGGATCGAGAAAATGGATATTAAGATTTTGTATGATAAGTACTATTTGTATTAGTATACCATACAAAAGGCACCTGGTTTGGCAATTTTATCGTTGAGTGAAAATTATCGTTGACTGGGGCGTACCAACACACGGTATGTGTTTTGGGCGCCTGGCACGATTACGGAGAAGTAGAGTGCTGATACTTTTCTGTACTCCGTAGTTAAACCGCGGAATTGATTCTATTCCCACCCCACAACGGTAATTTTGGCCATATCCAAGCGTTGAGGTTATACCGACTGTATAGACCCTTTATTTCTCTCAGTTTTAGAGCTGCCTGACCGTAGAATTTGCCCTTGTGCGAATGAGGTTGGAAATTAATCACTATTACTAATATTGATGTCGAAAGATGTCTGCATTTTACTGCCTTTGTACGGTTGGAAATGCGTTATCGGAATAGCTTCTTCAACGCGCAAGAGCGACGAAAAATATAGTTTGAGATCTACAAGATGTTAGGGTGGAAATCAGAGCTTGATAAGTCATCTTACCTTCTACACGATCGAGCGAATATCACATGTGACTTGTCAAACTAAATAAAAAGATCAGGATAGTTCAAACTCGCTTCCTCATAGCTCCTAACAAACTATTTGAGTTCGGCTTCGATGATGCCTTGCCCATCGCCAGGAGGTGCCCAGAACTTGATAACCTGGAAACCAGCTGCTCCAAGCAAGCGAGTCCAATGAGACTGGGAGCGCTCCATGCTATTACAGAAAATCATCATTTCCCAATCCCACATCGCCGGTAACATAACACCGTCACGATCAGCCAGCACAAACTCTTCGATGATCAATTTTGAGTAACCCTGCTTCATTGCTCCAGCCAGCTGAGTAAGAATGATATGATTCTCCTCATCAGACCAGTCGTGGAGAATAAATTTCATATAATAAATACGGGCGCCTGGAACTCACGTTAATAATTGTCCAAATCGTGCATCAGAGTACGAGACCCACCATGAATCGGCTGTGGCTTAAAAAGGTCAAACGGTTGTTTTTCAATGCGCTCTGCATCTACGGTGCTCTCTTCCAAAACATGTGGCAAATCTTCGAGCACCAAGCGCCCTCGCACATGCGGATACCGTGCCATGAATGCTGCGAGGTCATGACCTCGACCGCCTGCGACATCAACCATAAGCGTCTCCGCATCATTCTGAGCGCCACATAGAAGACGCTCATCCACCGGGAACCATTCAAGCCAACTAGGCCGGGCGCCGCGGTCACCCTCCATGAAGGTATTGCAAGAATCAAGATACTCCGGATGTTTCGGCAACCAAGTCCAAAGACTCTCGTCAATCTTCTCGGCAAATTGTAGTGGGCCTGTGGTAGCGCCCTCTGGGTTTCGGTAGTCCTGTCGGCGAAGGAACTCGGGGACTTTGGCAAGAGTAGGCATGCCGACATCAAATATAAATTTGATTACCGAAATACTGAGTCGGTCAGTCAGCTGGCGTGTCATTGTATTCGCAACGTAGACGCGCGTGTCATATTCGCCAACATAGCCGATGCCAACTAAGATACGCAAGACTCGTTCTACACAGAAGGTTCATCGTCAGTCACCCATGCAAAATAGAAAAAGCCGTAGACAAGAACATACCAACTAGAATTGGACTCGCATTTCTCACGGCTGCCAGTTCATCGAGCGACACCGGCCGATTCCGCTCCGTCAGTGTGGTGAATATATCCATGTCGATGGCAATGCGCACACACATGGCATGAGTAGGCTAGCCCGAGTTAGCACAAATATCATCATCACCCTGCATGATACAATATTTACAGAATAGGCCAGATGATAGACCGAATCCTGCGGCTTTTGTAGTGCATTCACTAGATTCTGCGCTGCCTTCAGGGCGGCCACGCGATCTGCCTCTTCGTGTTGGCTTTGGAAAGCTCCCAGCAACTGCTTCAATTGGTGCTGCAGCTGGTCGAATGACTCGTTTGACACAGCGGTTGCCATCTTCAGTGTTATGGATAGAGATATCTCTATAAGAGGATGAGTTGTAACTTGACAAAGGTGTATAATAGCAGCTGAAAAGGAAAATCAGGTTATCGAATTTGCAATGATCCCTGGACTCTTTGATCCGTTTTTTCCCGCCTTTTGGGTGCTTTTGCGAATCATGTTTATAACTGACACGGTGGATAAATTGGGCTGTGGGTGTGCTTGCTTGGCTCATGAGATTCGAGGTTCTAGCCCCAAGTATCCAAGCGTAGTGCCATACTGTACGGCGTCTAGACGATCGTTTCAAGTCGGAAAGGATTTTCGGACGTTGTACCCACAAGTTTGCCGCTTATTATTTTTCTTTCTATACGGAGTTAAATTTGGAGCCAACGCTATGAGGGTGTGAAGTGCATCTCGGTCACCTTTGTACAATAGAGTTGTACAATAAAGGTGATATTTCAGATATGGGAATAAAAACAACAACAACGCCTTGTTCACCACATTTGACATCAGAAAGGATTGTGTGGAGCACGCTAGGTCGATGACCCCGTCCCGGACCGCATTCCCCGGCCCGCCAATAGATTTCAAGCCAATGGGATTTCCTCACTGGGTTGGCTGTGAAAAGACGGCTTAATGACAGGGATGTACTCATCAGGATGTCACAGTAGTACCCTGTTGTACGCCAAAGTACTCTGTAGGATTTTGCTAATATGAAATGGATGAATAAGGGGTATGCGTTGCGATCATTATGGTCGCTATACGAGGTTTCCCGTCCGCTTTTAAGGCCTTTGGGTGGTGATGACCCCGGCAGCAAAGTTGACAAAGATGATGAGCGATCCCGGTGTCAGTATCACGGCAGTTTCCTGGTGTTTTGGTGGTGTCGCCGTGGTCGTTGTCGGTCTGCGGTTATACACACGTGTGGCTCTGAGGCGCGCTGGGTGGGATGACTTCTTTATCGCTTTGTCACTGGCAAATGCTCTGGTATGCTCCTCATTGGTCCAAGTCGCCATTTCATACGGATTAGGACGCCATTTGAGCGATATTCCAGATGGCAATCGGCAAATTCAGGCGATCAAGTACACAGTCATAGCACCCAACTTCTCTGTTGTCAGCACTACAACTGGTAAGATGAGTGTGACCATTTTCCTGCTCCGGCTTATGGGACAATCTGCATCCGCAGCGCGCCGATGGTTCTTATATATCATGATGGCGGTGTCAGTAGCGTGGAATGTGTTAGCTATCGTGATCATCATTGGATTCTGCCGACCCCCAGAGCGTATCTGGAATCCGAAGGTGGATGGCTCCTGCTTCAGTCTCAACTTTCAGTTGGTTGCTGGAACATCCCAGGCAGCCTTCAATGCATTCAACGATCTGGCCCTCGCCGTTTTCCCGGCTTATATCTTTTGGCACGTCCAGCTCGCAATTAAGATGAAGGTCGCGATCATCTCAGTCATGGGAGCTGGTATTTTGTATCTCACTCCTTTCATCACACCCCGGGAGGCTCAAGCTGACTTATTAGTGCGGCGGCGGCAACGCTGGTCAAATGCGTTTTGCTCAAGAACCTACCTGTCCATTCTGACATTACCTGTATGTATTCCTCGACTCATGTTTCACGAGTACACCGACTAATCGTATATAGGGTCATGGGCCGACATTACTATGTGGTATACGTAAGTCATACCCCCAGGGATTTTCTCCGAATTGTTGACAAAAGTTGATAAAATCTAGGATTGAGGTAAGTTCTCATGTACTGTTTAAGCAATTCTAGCTCATGAAGATATAAGATGTACGTTATTATCATCTGCTCGTCATTGCCTACCCTCCGACAGTCCTACGCAGCCATACTGCAGCGCTCCCGCAAGGGTTCGGCGTACACGCACACAGAGTCGGCTCCTCGACAGAAGCCAATCCCTCTTATCCGTCTTGTTCCAGACGCTTCGCTGTTTGCCTCTCATATCGAGCCAGAAGTCAACCGAAATGATAGTCGTCATTCGAGTCAGGAGAAAATTTTGGAGCACATCGGAATACAGAAGACGACGGAGATCCATGTTTTTCAAGAGCCTCGAATGGGAGATGAGGGAAACCCACATTTCCCACAACCAAATCCCTTCCGGGGCTCTCGAAAAAAGGCTCATTTGTAAGGAATTATCTTGCATGGTTTACCTAAGTAGCCTCCCAAAATTCGTTGTCGGAAGAATTTGGTGCGAAGGTGTATAAACGCTAGTTAAATTACAACGACTGAGCACCCTTCCTAGTTTGGAAGTTCAACATCCACAAAATGAAGTTCTTCGCATGACACCACTCATCCCACAAGAGTTCAATGATGCAATTCTTTGAGGATCATTTAGATTTCGGAGATGACCACGAAGTTAAAACAATGGGCAACAACTTCGAAACCAGCTTTTCTTCTCTTCAGTTTCCTCCGGTCCCGTCTTGTCGTCACCGTGGCCCATGGAATCTTTCGGGACACTAGGATCATCAAGGTAGCTCTGGCGGAACAGACCGATCGACTGAATTTTCAGGCTAAAGTCACCTTGTTGTGCCCCAAAGAAACTATATAATTAGCATCTATGTTTCGCCCTCAGTTGACATAAAACTCACCTTCGAATCATGATCCGGAACCTTTTTATACACGACAAGTCCAACGGCCTAGCATCTTCTACCGGCTTGCCTCGATACGTCGGTTTCAGATCTTTCCATGAGATACGCACTTCACGCCCTGTTTCACTCTCGCAGAAATCATATTCCCAGACAAGAGCACTTTGTTCACGGCCGTCTGGCCTCTGCTGTGGTATTTCGTCTGTCAGGGAGAAAGTGTAACGTTTCCTATCCGATGGACCAACGTGTAGCTCAACACCATCGTGTCCGGTCAGGTCCCATACTTGTTCGTCTCCGATCGTGCGCTGTGAAGCAAACCCAGCACCGCCGAGTGTCTCAATGTCGAGGTTTCCGTGAAAAAGCACCCCTTCCGGGGTAGGATCGAGATTTGACACAGATGATCCACCACGGACGCGGTCATCGGAGGAGGTCCAGCGACTGAGGTCCCAATCTGGCCCGAAAATTATTTGGTTATTGGTAGGGTACTCCATCGTGAACTGAAAGATATTGAGAGGAGAGAAGTGCGCAGGTGTTAGCTAGATTGTGGGATTCTCGCGAACTGCGGAGTGCCTAGCAATCCGATCGATCTATGGATCGGCGGATTGACTGGCAGGGTGACGTCATTTATAGTTGAACGAAAGAACCCTTGCGGATTGACAAATAACTAAGACTATGACTAACTAGTTAACTAACTAACTAGAGCTGTGTTCGATCTGGTCTTCAAAATAAAATTGGGTATATTGGCTTTTCACATGAATTCATATTAGACATCATAAGGTTTCTTTTCAACATCAAAAACTGGCGAGCATGCCAATTTACTTCTCTCCCGCAGCCATGGACCGTATACCTTGAACAGAACAGGAATAGGAATCATCACGACTGCGATACATCCAAGCATTGTGCCTGCCCATTGCACCCCTAGGTTCTCCATCATTTGCCGGGAGAAAAGTGGGAATGAGCAGCCAATAGCTGAGCGTAAGATTGTGTTCGCGGCAATAGTGGATGCAGCCCTGTCAATTGTGTTAGTTACTAGTTTTCACAGGAGAAACATGGTTACATACAGCGAAGGATAGCAGTCAACGATATAGTTGAAACACTGCAAGAAGATCAAAAAGATCCCCGCTCCGGTGAGAAGTCCCGAAGCTACAGGGGCCATCCAGTGGATGGATGAAGTGTATCCGGTCCAGCCGAACCTATTAGGCATTAGCTTAGAACATCAAATATTGTTGAGGATTTCAAGAAGGGTACTCACCAAAACATTCCTCCTGCAAAGGACACAGCTCCTATAATCGCCGCCGGAAGGCGCCATTCGGGTATAGGCTTATCACCGTTTGCCGCCAGCTTTGTCTTATATGAACTTTGTATCATGAGGATATAAACGCCGCCAAGAAGTTCGCCGATGATAATGCCGATAAACGCAAGTCCACCGACACCCGAACTCATTCCGTAGACGCCTTGGAAGACAACAGGGTATGCGCCCAAAAGAGCATACATGAGGCCATAGACGAAGGAGATGTACAATGAGACCAAAAGCAGTATGGGTTCCTTGACCAACATGACAATGGGTCGGGCAAAATTGTTCCGCAGAAGCTCCTTCAAATCCACTTCCACTTCATCTTGCTTTGCGTGAATGCCCCAATTGCGAGTCTGTCGGCGTAGGGTGGCTGCCTTGCGAACAAGGATGACTGGAGCATATGTTTCCTCAAGGAACACAAAGACTAGGACAAACCCTAGGAACACCATGATTGCAGAGATGTACATTATCCACCGCCAACCCAGAGAGCTCATTGCAATGAAACCACCCACAAACGGTGCCGAAAAGGGCCCGATAAACACTGCCATGCAGAAAATCGACATGACGACACCTCGTTGTGTATTATTGAACAAATCTGCAAATACAGCGGGAACGACTGAAATGGGACTCGCCGAGAACAGGCCGGCGAAGAAGCGACAGATCATGATGGTCTGTAGGTCTTTGGCAACTGCACAGGCGATGGTGAAGATGGCGCATCCGAAAAGTCCGAGGGACAGTGGCCAACGTCTACCGATCAGCTCTGATCCTGGTGCCCAAATTGTTGGCCCGGCTGCGAATCCAAGGACATAGAGTGTCACACCAAGTGAGCCAACTTCGGCGGATGTGTTGAACTCCTTGCTCAGGCCAGAAATAGCAGCCGAGAAGACCGCGCTGGTAAACGACCCGGCGAATGTACCATAACACAGGATGCAAACTAACATTATTCTGTCGAGGTATTAGCAACTGTATCTTACATAGGGAGGGACGGTAGTGAACATACCGCCTAGATGTAGACCAATTGTATGGATGTAAGGGATCATTGGCTCCGTCAAACTCGACGACATAGTCTTCAGAATCCGGGAGCAGAGGTGGGTAATCCTTATTGGCACCCATAGGGAGCCATTTGTCACGGGGAGTAGGCCCTCTTGTAGAGCCTACGGTAGTTTTCTGTTGCAGTCGATATGTGTTGATACGGGTAAGCTCGAGAGGGTCGATTTCCTCAATTGTGTCGTCGGATCGATGGCTGTGAGAGTCAATGGGGAAGTCGATATCTGGCTCATATTTGTCTGGGTGTTGATTGAGGCACTCCATTGTATGCTATCATATCAAGGTTTGGGGAATAGACCGAGAGTTGGTGTGGGAATATACAAGCCTCTGGCCGAGGAAGGCAACGCAGTATATGTCCCTCTTTCGGTCGGCCCATCAATCACATTTTTCCTTCCTAGTCTTCTAGGTCTTCGGCCTAATCCTTGATCCATTGTAAAATGGGCCCTGATTGTCGGAAAATGACCTCAACTAGGGCAAAAAGACACCTTTGAAAGATCCATACTTTTCCGCTGTGGCTTGAGGTGCTTTAGATATCCACTATCCAGTCACAGTGCTCTAGCAGAGTAAATAAGTGACCAGTCAGAAGTCATGTCAGTCTCGGCTATAATCGGAGGTGTGGCTGACACCCGCTATGGAGTGGACTGCCGAGGACAACCGACCATAGCCGTTATCAGGTTTGTCTCAGCGAAGGAAAACTCTTCATCTTTTTTTATTTTCAGGCTGAAATATAATCAACAATGACACCATAGTATAGACTACTTGCGGACCGATTCCGACACGCCTCGTGAAGCCGGTTTGGCGTGTCTCCCGTGCCGAAGCCGTCGGGGTGGAGTTCGGAACAGGCGTTTTGCTTTCCAGATCAACAAACAGGTCACTCTTTATTGGTATTCAATCAAGACTCTATATTCGATAGAATCTAGTGACTCCACTAATATAAGAATGTCAATTGTCAGGCTAAAGGCGAGAGTGTACTCAGCTCAGTGGTAATTTTATAGAAGTAAACAACATATAGGATCAACGAAACAGACGATCTGTGTAATGGGGAGACGAAAAAACATGATTGATTTGAGTTTCAGATTAATCAGACTTGTTACACTACTGTTAATTGCTCAAATAGAAAATGAAGACCTGGGAGGGGTTGGAGGAAATTGTACTCCGTATCGAAAATAGCAATGCGCGCGGTAACATTCCGTGCGAGAAGGTTCAATCGCTCTACAAGACCTACACATTTCTGCCATAAGATAAGACTGCCTGCCGATCAGCAACTAAGAGGGGGTGGGATTATATTGCCTATTGGGCTGAGATTGGTGACCGATAGTAAAAGCACTGACCGTTCGGGGCTGTCGAATAATATATTTTGTAGCGTCTTCCTCGATCAATATGATGCAGCGCCAAAATCCACCCACGGGATATAGAGGGGAACGATAAAAAAGCGGACGAGATTAAGCATCATGAGCACCCCGGAACCTAAGGCTACAAGGGTGGCAGGGTTCCGACGGAGATGGGCACCTTGCTGTGCCGGCTCAAGCCATATTCAATTTCGTACTTTCTAGGGTGAAACAGATCAGCTCCTATTCTTGGCTGGGCCTACATCGACGTAGTCACATATACCGAATTGATGTCAATAGTTTCGATCCAGAGTGAAGCAATAAATCGAGACGCGTACATGGGAACACTGCCCGGTAATGGAAGTTAGGTCGTCATTTCACTCTGCTGTTGAACACCAGGTAGATCTTAATTCCAGTGACCAATTGAAGTAAATGCGACTGCTCTTGTTATCGACTACTAGCCGAACACCATTTTCTCTGCCGTGCGGATCATTCTAGTCACCTCCCCAGCCCTTCATATCCTGCTTTTCAAGTGTTTCTCTTGACTGTGGCATTCTTCAATGGCTTTGTTGCTTTCTTTCCTTGTCATTTATATGCCAAGACCTTCATCCCTCACTTATATTGACATTGCATGTTTGCTTGTGTTCTTTTGAATTACAAAATCCTGAAAATAACAAAGTTCGTCGAGGGAGACGACAAGAATTTCTGGTCTAGCAAAGAAGAGTTCGACCGACTAAAATGCGCATAGGAAGAACCTAAGCCTCGCAAGTTACTTGGTATGTGTACGTTTAGCAGCTTATTAGATATTGTTGGATATGGTGATCACCTGACCATCAGTCCGGTGCAGGCACCAACCTTCCATAACTAGAATAGTCGGGTATTCTGCCCCTTCGGAAATACAACTCTCTCTTTCATCGCAGCACTACACTGTAGTCCAATCGAGAGATCAGGTCGTGTGGGCCCGCCTGAGACCTCACGTTGGTCAGGCGGTCAATGCTCACGTCGATACCCCTAGTTTAGGCTTATGTAAATGCTGTTTGGTCTGGAAATGTACGGTATCTTTGATTAGATCATCCCGTTTTGGTATGAAATATGTGGTATGTTTACAAGGGATACATTCTTGTATACTAGTTATTTACTAGTTGTTTACTACCTAATTACTGATAAATAACTCTACATCGAATATATATATCTTTGGATATGCACGTATAACTACTTACAAACCATTGTTCCAATTCGTTTACTAGTAGTTACCATGGCGCATTATCAATCTACCTGGTGGAAACACCGCTATCATAAGCTTGAAGAGCTTATAAAGGCCGAGCCTATTCCTGAACCAGACGAGCCTGCAGAGGCAGATGTCGAGCTTTACAATGCATCCGATGATCGGATCCTGCATGAGCGCAACGAATACGAGGTATGTTTTTGAAGAAATTTACTAGTTTCCTACTGGTTTGTTACTAATATTTTTCAAATAGGGAACGGAAGATGAACCAACTCCCCTAACAGAAGCTACCCACGACGCAATATCTGCTACAGAGATTGAATATGTACCTCTCCTTCCAGAATATCCGCGTACTCATCCGAAAGGCTATGTATATGTGGTTAATCTCCGACATCTCTCTTCACAAGAGAAGAAAAATGCACTTAATCTAGTAAGTTGTTATATAATCATCGATATTATACTAGTTATTAACTATTTTACTAGGTCCAGTACGCTAGTAGGCGTGATGGCGGAAAAAGTGATATTTACTGCTCCTTCCTTGGTTGCCAAGTCACGAAGACAGCATCTTACTGTTCCGGCATGAAGCACTGTGTTCATCTTGACGACTATCTCCGTAACCTCTCCTATACAGAGGTTAATGAAGAGCTTGTAGGGCGTATGTTCTCTATAAAGAGGGATGCTCGACAGTCATACCAATATTCGTAACCCCAACGTGAAGCGGTAGCGTATGCGACCTATTTTACTAATATTTTATTAGTAGCTAACAACTATTTAGTTTCTGCGATGCTCTTCGACAGAAATTTTTGGAGAGAAAAGCTTGTAAAAAAGCAGACGCTACCTGCGAAATGGTCTACGGAAAATTCAACCACCAGGTAAGTAAATTCGTTCTTATTCTTTTTACTATATCTTTACTAATATATAGCCTCTAATAACTAGAATGTAGCAGGAGAGGAATTGCCATTCGTTCGTTGTTCTAACGGCTCAGCTAGTAACCACGCGAATCATTACTTTACAACATTATATACAAAGCGGAACAGGCTAGATATAGGGCTTCTGATTAGTCTTCTTCAAAAGGAACAGAGGGAAGTTACCACAGAAGTATGCACTGCAATCTACCAAACTAGCTCACGAGCCCAATTTTGCGGTATGAATTCATATTACTAGTATATTATTATTGACTAACTAGTTTTATAGATGTTGTGCACCTAGGCGGACGCGGTGCGATCCAGAGACAATTCCCACAATGCACAGTTAAATTCCGTACATTTGTGCCAAAGGATATAGAGAAGCATCCATATGCTATCTTTTACTCTGCAGGGATACATAACCACCCGCCCCCGCCACCGAGTAAGCCACCATACGACCTTATAGAAGAGCTTTGGAATCTCTTATCTCGGGGACAAACATCGGATCTTACACTTAGTAAGTAACCTTACTAGTATTATAATACTATTTTATTAGATACTAATTAGTATCTATAGGCGCGTTTCTTCGGAGTGATGGGGTTCGAGACCTCGCCGCCAGATACGGCGCTCAAACCCTGTCTGAACTACACCAGAGCTTTGCAAATAAAGAGCGATTTTCTGTGGTCCTTACAAAAAGGAGAGCAATTGACTATCCAATGGGTAGACATTTAGCAGGTGTTTACTTCGAGATGGAGAAAAATCCGGCTATAAAGGTGCGTTTTACTAGTATATTATTACTACTATGCTAATTATCCTTTAGCTCTATGTACGCGAGATTGTGCATGATGAAAAAGGTGCCTTTATATTTTGTGCCCTTAATGAACAGCTCGAGATCCTTGCTTCATTACATTCATTCGAAGTTGATATGTTATATAAGCGAGTGAAAGGCGTTTTTAACGAGGTTATCTTCGCAACATTTGTCCCAAAGCATGGAAAAAGTTTGTTTTACTACTATTATATCAGTATCCAAAGCTAATATCTTCTAGTTATGACGCTATTCCGAGTTTTCACAGATCAGGAGACTACAAAAGCGTATCATTTTATATTTGGAAATGTCTTTAATCTCGTCGAGCGCTGTATAGGTAAGAAGATCAAGTTCCACTATCTACATGGTAGTGGAATAAGGTCTATTATCACTGATATGTGCCCAAAACAAATGACAGGTAAGTATTATACCTTTTACTACTATTATTACAGTAACTTACTAGTATTAGGGCTTGGAAAAATGCTCCAGGAGACTGACCAGAAAACCAATAACCGGGATCTTGGTTGGAGATGGCATACTATGAATGTTCTTATCTTCTGTAAGATACACTTCATACGTACAATTAACAAATTGGTGCCAGCAAGCCGGGACCCAGAAGATCTCTCACATATAGAGGGAAGAAGTCGACTAGCCAGCTTAATGGACTGTAAAAGTCGACAGAATTATTGGGAGTTGGCTGACCTTATTATCGGTATATATTTCCATTTGAAAAAACTAGTATTTTACTAATATTTATAGCGCATAACCCTGAGCTTAAGGGTTGGGCTGAGCATAAGAAGATCGATGTTATTGCAGCTGGGCTTTGTAATGCATGCTCGCCAATAGACTCTATGTTCTTCGAGGAAGCGCGAAAGTATACAAATGCAGTAGAGCAAAGCCACTATAAATCCTATCATATGGGTACATAGGATACGCTCCTTGGTGCAGTCACGAAGTGAGTGAATATTAATTATTTACTGGTATTCTACCATTTACTTACATTCATTTAGGTCAAAGATCCTCGACGAAACCGACGTACAGCAATACCATAGCCGTGAAGCTTTCGATATCAGACATTCCTATCATGCAGATGATATGCAGACACGGTTTAGTAAGAGTATACAGCGAGAGGGTATGTATATTTACTACTTATTTACTGGCATCTAACTAATAATAATTAGAATCTCTGCGACGGAAACGTTACCAAGTCCTAGATGATGATGTGGCCCCTGAGGATAAAGAGCTTTATGAGTTTAACTCTTCAGGCAATCATTCAATTCCTCGGGCAGGATCCAAAAAGGCTAAACGCGGCCGTGGAGCAAGCAGCTCACAAGGTCGTTCAACAAGTCGTGCAATGTATGTACTCTTTACTAGTATGATACTAATTACTGACCATTGATAGCACACCCGCTGTATCTAATCTTCGGCATGCTACGTCAGTCAACACTGGCAATAACAGCCAGGATGAGAATAGCATTGAGAGTTTAGAAGATCAGAGGAAAAAGGTTGAAAAATTGAGGGAGGATCTTAAACAACAAGAGAGACAGTTAGTACTACGGGAAAGGGAAAATACTCTCTAGAGATAGGGTTGCGATAGGGTTACTTCATATACAATAATGTTTAATATCTTCAATTTACCAGTTTTATACTACTTTTCACTATAGGGTTATGGCAAACGCCATGTTTTTTTTATTTTTTATACAGAGAAATACTAGTAAAAAGCAGGATAAGCATAATAACAACCTTTCGCAGGAACTCCACCAATAGCAGCCAAAGTAGGAAAATACTAGTTCTTCACCAGTAAAGAAAGGAAGGCTAGTAGTATCACTCTTCCATTTCCTCTCCCTCTTCCATTTCGTCTCCCTCTTCGTTATCCTGTTCCTCATCCTCCTCTACAGCACTAGTTACAAACAGCTTAAAATTATCACACCGGTCAGCATTAGCTTCACGGCAACAACCTAATACTAGTTAATAAGTAGTAAAAAGATACATTTCTTGATAATATCTTACCTTGACGATCATTTGCATCCTTACACGGCTCACAAGGAACCTGACCACCAAGCTCCTTAGATACCTTACGCATATTGGTAAGGTGAAGCTATTCCAATATTAGTATATAATCAAAACTAGTAAATTAGAAGTAACTCACAGTGCCATCTGCCTTACGAGGAAGCTCAGGCTTCACTTGTACTATAGCAGCAACATTCGCGTCATACTCATCCCGGATCGCAATGTAGAACTCTATTAGAGGTCAGAATACTAGTAAAAAAGTAGTAGAAGAATACCATACCAACGGCATCATGCTCGTCCTGTAAAGTTGGACGACCACCCGAACTCGCCAATTTCATATCAGTATGCTTGTCTGCATAATGCTTCCTGAGATTGTTGGTAGACGTAGCAGGAGTCTGTAAGGTAAATTAGTATTAGTTTTTTACTAGTACTTTAACAAAGAAATGAAGGAAATGTCAAAGAAAACCCACATCTTTCGGGCAGTTGGCATAACGACAAAAGCGCTCGCCGAGGAATAGATCGATTTCCCCCTGTGTCTATTCTCTATTAGTTTTATTCATTTTATTAGTAGATAAATAGTATGCTCACATTGGGATCGTTTAGTTGAGGGAGATCTATACCCTCCCTCGATTTCAGGGTGCAGTACCATCGGTATGCAGTCTGAATGCGAATAACTGTTAGTTTCATCTTCAATCTATCGTATTTCCATCTTTTCTGGGGCCTTTTCATATCATCTCATAGGGTTATACTTACATGCATCGCGTACTTCACCATGAGAGCGGTAGTTATATGACAAGTAATGTTGGTGGTTATGTAACTAATAAAAAAGTAGTATGGTACTGGTAAGAGAGAAGTGGGTAAGTTGAGGGAAGTGGTAAGGTACTGAAACCCTTAAGGCACATAAGAACTCTTGGCGGGTGGCCTCAGGCTGCTAACCCTACTGAACTCTCAGGCGGGCCCACATGACCTGTGGTCACAGTCCAATCAGATATACCCTTGGCTGCCTGAATCCTCAGTACCGCCTTCCTAATTTGCACTTGCAAGCCCCGTGCCGTGTCCGTAGCCATTCCTCTTCCGGTAGAATGACATCGAATCATTGCAACTTCGCCTGACCCACATATCTTATTCCATTGCAGCCCCCACCACTTCTATTCCCATCCAACCAGGACTACGTGTCGCAATGGCCACTATCCGCCCGGCTGAATTTCGGGAGACTTGCGCCGAAAGATCCGAAACACGCCTCAAGTGACCTTGTTCACCACCTCATGTTACTCCAGCAGTTGGCTAGTAGTCCCCGACATAAGACAGCAACAGCAGCAGCTGGCCAAGTAGCAAATCCTCATCGTCCCCCACCCGGTCTGGGGATCCTCTGCAAAGGCATGGCGGAGGCCAGTTCACTGGAGATTCAACGGCCACCGAAGGCTGGCGTGGAGTTCGTCGCCATGAGGTCGCGATACGTATATTGTGGGGCTTTATAGAAATATCAAGTGGGATGCACCTGGACGAGGTCATGATAAACGTCTCCCCAGAGCGCCGCCAGATGTATACCGACCTTGTGAAAGCTGCAACTGTGAAAATATATAGCCAGAAGATTGAAGCAGTGGTACAGCCAGCTCTGGAAAATTTGGTCTTCCCGAAGTTACACACTTTGTACCTTACTCTAGTCTTTCGCGGCTGGAATACCGAAGAGAGTATCTGTACCCCGGATTTGAATATGCTGAGTCCCCGGACACTTTATATCTGTTGTGGTGGCCACGTGCCGATCACATGCCGTTGCCTGGTTTGCCAGGCTTCACCTAGCTATTTGACTAACTAGATCTCGATCGTTGTAGAGAATCTAACCTTCTACATATCTCTCTCATCGCTCAAAAATATCGAACATTGGCATGCGCCCATCTATCTATTTCCTTCCCATTGGGACTATCTCGCTGATCGGATTCCTGTTCGTTTCACTAGCTATCCTCTACTGCATTAAATAACTGACCGCTACTTGTGCACATCTAGAAGCTTTTTCCAAGGTTGTTGAATCTTCGAGTTGAAACAGATGTCGTATACCTGGACGATGCCATTGCCGCATTCAAGGCTATCGTCAAGAGTCAAGACAAGGTCACCTGAGGGAAGAAGCAGTTCTCTTCCAACCACCTACCCCGAACCGCCTCGGTTTGCCTCTTGTGTCATTCAAGGAAAATGGCAGTCTCTGCGTCAGGTTCCCCCATTGACATGCGCGGCAAGTAGCGAAGTGGCTAGAGCTCGGACGGCGGCTCAAACGTCTACAATATCTCGCCCAAGAGTACCTTACCTCCAACCGCGGTGCCGACAATGCCGGTCCGAATATCGGCTTTCATAACTGTCTGGATCAAATTCTCAAAGGAGTCAGCTACCCAAAAGAAAAGGTACAGCAATTGACAGAAATCACCGCGTATAGACTCGGAGCTATGTACGAGGCCCGATTACTTGCGAAAATAGGGCTCCAGTTTCCGTCAATCTTCGATATTGACCCAGAGGACGCACTTGGAAACTTGCCCGAAAAACACTTGACGCTGAAAACGTGGTCATTGCTTCTCTCGCACGACATCAATACAACTCCCCTTACGTTTTTGCTCTTGAAAATGGAATGCCAAAAAGTACTTGTCCTAATTAGGACTAACCCCTGTAACTGCAGGACATCGCTGTGACAATAGTGCTCTACGCCGTTCTTCGAGGGGGGTGAGCACTAGAACGGAAGGGGAACCCCCAAGAGTTGCTAGACATTATCCAGCACATATGTAGCGAATATGGTTCTGGATTGTGTGAGCTGAAGTAAACCGTTATATACAATAGCCAGTCGGTTCAACCATCTTGCTCTCACCGACGGGTCTATAAATCTGGTATCAATTAAAAAAATAACAAGAAACTCCCGTAAATATAAATACAACACTATTGACTCAATCCGTTGCCAGATTGCCAAAGCTCCAAATGCACAAATGAGGAAGCAAGTAAACGATGTCCACACGTGCTCGAAAAATCAACCACCAAGCATCATGAAAGCCATGAGTCCAATCCATCCAGCCACAAAAACAGCGGTCAGGATGCCAGCGCCCGCCCTGTCACCGGTTGTCACTGTAGTCGTTGTACTGGAAGCATCACTGTCACTTTCACCTGCCGTTGGATTGCTGGTACTGTTTCCGCCAGTGGTCGAGGTCACCGGAGAAGTCTTGTTAAAGTTGATCAGATTTGCCGTGAAGACTTTTGTCACACTGATCTCTTCCTCCATTCCCATCCACCCGTCCCATGTAGACTTATACCACCGGACACCACAAGTGCCATTGCTGTGGCCCGTGCAGGATGCAGCGGCTGCCTTGGCCGATGTTTGGAGCTTCGCGAGAATGGTGTCAAATGTCGATGGAACAAGGAGAGCAGTCAATGCCAACCATGTGGAAGTCAGTCCTTTGAAAAGGACCTCGTTATTATTGCAGGTTTCTGAAGGCTCGCAGTAATAGTCTTCGATAACCCCACCCGTGAGGAAAAAGTTCTCAATTGTCGCGTTCAGTAGGCCATTTACTGCTGTCAGCCATTGAGCTTGGGTAGTACCGTTTGTCTGTAGGCAGTAGAGGTTAGTACACGTACTTGAACAAAGCCAACATGAATTTGAAAAGGGCATTTCTCACATAGTTGTACATATACGCCGCCCCCATCAGGTACGTGCCGTAGTTATATGTCCATTGGGCGTTTCCTTGGGTCGCACAATCATTACTAACATCGGTGGAATCGGCAACGTTCCATGTTGTGTTGCTTAGCAGAGGTGACGAGACAGACCATTCCCAGATCTTGTTAGCCCACTGCAGATAGATTGCATCTCCGGTGTAGCGGGCTAGACGTGCAGATAACTGAAATAACCCCCCATTGGAGATAGAATTTTTCATTGTATATCCAGATTGGTAGGGCCAAATCTGCCACCGTAGACCACCGCCACAAGAGGTTGTATCCCATCTTTTGATCTGGGTATTGAAGACACCCTGAGCTAGAGAGAGCCAAGAGAACCCAGTCGATCGGTCCGGAAATGAGAACTCAGCGGCCGTCATAGCCGCTAGACCCCAGAACATTTGATCATCGTTCCCCTGGTAGATACCCGGCATTAGAGATTGTTGCCTTTTGAGACTCTGAAGATGCTCACCAGGTAAGAACTGTAGTTGCTTGGCATATAGTCCCCATCCGTACCTGATTGCCATTGCAATCCAACACTTAGTTCCTCGTTGTATGTCGTGTCGCCAGTAAAATGCCAGTACTCTAACAGGGCCATAAAAAGTGGAGCTCCTTCCCACCATTTGTCTGGAAAGGCTCCAGGAATTTGACCGGTCTCGTTGCCGTAATAATATTTCATCATAGCGTAAGTGGAGGTACTCGCGGCATCTTTGATCGATTCTGTTATGAGATCAAAAGTTAACTTCTCTGGTAATTGACATGGGCCGGGGAGGCGCGGAATCTCAACTCCACCACGTACGTTCATCGCTAATATCCAAATCGATTGCGCGTGCTACGCCGGAAAGGAGTAGTGCAGCGACAGCTCCTTCAAAGGGAGACACCCCGAGAAAGTGCATCTTATCAAGGTGGTGTATGGGAAACCATACAAGTTTCACCAGAGAGGGATATAGGAGATCAGAGAATAGCGTAGACCGATGTGCTCGAAAATAGTCACTGATACATCAAGGAATGAAAGAAAATATTTTCTCTAAAAATGGACACCACTGAGCAATCTTATTTCCATACTATCATTTTTAATTATAGAAGAGCATGCGTAAGCCTCGGCGCTAGCGTCGTCAACTCATTTCATTGTGGAGTGCAAGGCCGGTGGTGGGGCCTAATGCCAAGCTTTTACAAGCTTTTTTGGTTTGGAGACATCGGAGATAATATGCAGAGCATAGAGTAGATCTGATATTCAATGTGGTTGGCTCTGGTTGGCTTCATCTCTGGTCCGGTCGCTCATTCTCTAGCGGGATTCACACAAATCATGAGATTGATTTTCGGGCTCAAGCGTGCGTCTGATTGGTGAGTTTATCCTGTTTGTGCTCGCTCCTCCACCGGTACCCTCGGTAGAAAACAACCCATAGAGCAGGACTGCCTAACACCCAAAGACCAGCGATGAATGTACCTGTCCATCCAATGCCGATGCATTTGATTAGAGGCGACGCAATAGCCGTGGCCCCCGCACCCAATAGACAGCGAAATAGATTATTTGCTGCCGCAGCAGTGGCGGCGCTTTGATGATTGATATCTACAACCAAAGTACTCAAGGTGTTGAATGCACTTGTGGTTGTAAGACCGGTGAAGAACAACATCACAAGGGGGCCGGCCAGCGAAGTGCGATACTGCATCACCCAACCGTAAGCTAAAATACAAAGGCTAGCCATATAGATCAGTGGAAGAGTGATCGCCAAGCGTGCTCGTTCGACATTGAACTTTTCAATATCTTGCTGTCGGTTTTTGTGAATGATCATTCCCTGCAACTGTGCCTCGCGGCGAAAGTTCCAGTCCATGACTCGGCCAACTACCCAGCGGGAGCTTATGCTTCCGATGCCCATCGGAAGATAGCACAATCCAATTTCAATCGAGTTGAATCCAAATCGACTCGCCAACTGGGTCGACAAAGTGCTAATAACGGCCATGTACCCTGCGTATAAGAAGGATCCGTACAATAAAACCAACCCCATCTCTTTTTGTGTGGCTATCAAGAGCGCTGTAATTGGATTTGGGCGCTTCTTCAATCGGTGGACGGTGGAGTGATCGGCAGTCCCTTG